AGAGCGGCGAAAATCTGCGCTTGAGAACTTGAGCGTCAGGGGGACGACCCTTTTACTTTTGCCGCGACCCTTCTTTTTCTTTTTTTTTTCTTTCTTTAAGTCGAGCGCGTGGTACAACTCCCGATATGCGCGTACGCTCGTGTCAATGGTACGTAACATCTCGCCTAATTAATGCGTCGCTCGGCGAAAGAGACGACGTATCGCGCGTTCAAAACGTTATTTCGCGCTCTTGGCAATTTGAGGAATGATTAAGCGCGCGCGGAGATGAAAAATGTCGGTAGGCGAGTATGGAATTTTATGCTGCACGCATACAGCGCTCATTAAACAGGTGTCGCGGGCGCCGCTGCGCATTTTACTCATTACACGTTGAAGAAGAAGACGCCAGGTCGATGTATGTAAACGTACACCTCGTTTTCGTAAGAGGGAGAGAGAGAGAGAGAGCGCAGCTCGGCTGCTCGGATTACGCAATAAAAAGAAAGAAAAGGAACGTCTCTCGGCCTTTTCGGTGGGGCTCCGGCGAAGATAGAGCTTTGCGGATGATCTCATATGAACTTCTCTCTCTCTCTCTCTCTCTCTCTCTCTCTCGCTCTCTGGCCGCTCAAATAATGCCGCTCTCACGCGGGCAATCCTCGACGAAATTGCGGAAAGCGCCGTCGCCCCGGCCATTCATTGGATTCTCTCGGCGAGCAAATTAAGGTCATCGGCGCCGTCGGCCGCTCTCGCTGACATTGATAATCAGCGGCTGCTCTCTGTTGATACGGGCTCTCGGCGCGGCGAGACATTCGAGACGATGAGTGTTGCCGCCGCGTCAACGGAGCTTTAAGCGTTTTTCGTGTCCGTCGTCGTCCTGCGGACCCCCTCGGCGCACAAGGCGAGAGCCCGCGCGTCCGTATACGGATTCTTTTCGCGCGATCGTTCTCCGCGACGGCGACCGTAATTAGGTCGGCGGCGTTGCGACACAGCCGATACGAACTCATTATCAATCGACGTGCAGCGCTCGTGGACAGTCCGCGGAGCGCGCGCGATAAAGCCGAAATACGAACGCCGATTCCCGGAGGCTGAGGCAAGCGAGGAGGTGCGCGCGGAATTCTCGATAGCGCGGCCGAAGAGGAAAAGAAAAATACAAGAGCGACCGACGGAATGACCGCAGCTGCTCGATTTGCATCGGCAAAAGTAGTCCGCGCGCGCGGGGCTCTGCGCGCATGTCAAGTACTTATCTTGCCCTCGAGGCGCCTCACAGCGAGAGAGATGTATGTACGTAAATGCCGTTACTCATTACCGAGGCCGATACATCGGATTAGCATTGTCTCGCGGCTATTATTTATGCGTTGTGCGCGCGTCGGTCGGCGGACTTTTCATTCGATTAACATCTCGCGCGCCCGCGAGATATTTACGCGAGGCGTGCCGTAACGTTCGCTCGATCGAGCCGCTCGTACACTTTTGCGAAATCGCGATTTTCCCCGGTGAATTTTATAACGACGCCGCGCGAGCTTTCTCCGCGACGTCTCGGTCGTCGAGAAGCTGGAAGCGTTGCGTGAATTTCGGCGCCTCCTCCCAGCCGGCTATGTATAGCGATTCGGTCAGGCCGCCGTCGCCGCGCTCGAGAGCCGTTCTTCGGAGTGCTCGTTTTGCGTACGCAAATCGGCGACGCGCTCGCCGGACGCGTCCGGAGGACACGCCCTCGAGGGCGATGATTCAATCGACGGCTTTATCCGCCGCGGCAGCGCCGAGAATACCGCCGGCGAGCGTCGCGCGCGTAATCCCCGAGCGCAAAAAAACACGAGGAAAGAAAAGCAAAGGGAAAAAGTGGAACGATCGCGGCATCCAGCGCCGAGTGCTCGCCGGGATATTTGGCAACGCGACGCTGACCTCGGAGGCGGCGCAAGTGACCCGCGCGCGCGGCACGAGCACTATCTGTCTGCCTGGCCGAGGACAAGCGATTAATCGCGCGTCTCGACCTTGGCACGGCGCGCTCGGTCGCGATCACGGCCGCCGTGGCAGATCGCGGAAAGCCGGCCGATCGCCCAGAGGGGAGCGAACGCGCGGCTCGCCAGATTTTTCGGCGGGCAGGGCCGCAGGTGCGCGCCCGGGCGTTATTCGCGCGATAATGGCGTTACACACGAGACGGGCATGCTTGGCTGGCTTCGAAAAGGCCAGTTCATAAATTTATGAGAGAAAGATAAAGAAGAAGGATTCGCCGGGTCGCGAGTCGGCGACGGTGCGCTCCCTCCCGCGCCTTCCTTTGTTTGCACGCACCGACTTCTGCCTTCCCTTTCCATTCTTTCGTTCTCGTCTTCCTCGTACGCTCTGCTTATGCTAAATAGCTCGTTCCCATCGTCGCGTCCCTCGATCTGCGGCTCAATTTACTAAGTCGCAGGATTAGCCGAAGTGTACGTCAAATTTGAGAAAATCCAGGGCACGGATGATCGTCACTGTGAATGTTCGAGCAGTTGAGCGTCGAAGATGCTGGTAACATAACGAACGTAAGTATATTTAGGTCCAACGCTCCATTGGCCTCATGACTATTGAGCAGTCCAAGATATGATGTGGGATCTCGTGCATGGCTGCATCAAATATACACGCGCCCGTCTGCCGGCGTTGTTTGTTGTTGGTTGTTGACATCGAGAGACGTTTATATATAAACTTGATGGAATGTAACAGGGGTAGACGTTCGAGAATCGTTGCGTTGAGAAGTATCCGCGTAATATTCGCATTAACGGCCAGCAAAGTGTCTCGTTCATACGCACCGGCTATACACAACCAGTATTACCATTAACCTTCCTCGCGCTCCTTCTTCTTTTTTTCTTTCTCCCCCGTCCATAAAGTTATTAAGCTCGGCGTATTAGCCGCGGCGGCACTTACATGCGCTTGCGCCGGAAAAAGCAACGTGTGCACAATGCGTGCGGGGCGGCATACCCGCCCCGGCGTCGAAATTCCTTCGGCTTAAAATTATTGAAATCCTTTCGTTGTTTCCTTTTCGCGCGAGCGCAGAATTCGCCCTTCATAACTGAAAATTGCATGCTTAGCTGGCGCCTGGATAATAACCCGCGCGCGCGCGCGCTTACGTGCACGTTAGTTTCACGCCGCGGCGAGCAATCGATTATCAAATTAATTGATGGTCCACTCTTTTTCCCGAAGCTGGCCCGAAGGCATCCAAAGAAATTGCAATTTCGCCCGAGCTCCCGCAAAAAAAAAAAAACAAACACAGCTTCGCTATTTTACGACAAGTATATCGTCACTTTTTGGTTTCGCCGCGCGGAAGACTTTAAAGTATCTGGCGTATTTTAAGGCCGCAAGAATAAAATGCGACGTGACCGAAAAACACCGCTACGACGGAACTTCTTCGGCATGGAAGTCTGTACTTGAGCTACACAATTGCGAGACTCAAGACTCCGTGGAATTTTCGTTCGATGACATTTGCTTCTCCCTTTTCGTGAGTTGCGAAACTGCTCGATCGATTAAAATATTTACGCGAGACCATCTTGCTTTTCGAGTGGAAATAACAATGGGATGACAATGACAACTGCTCGTCAACATTTCTGATATTATTTGACGGATTATAGATGAATTCAGAAATAAGATGTGTGTCGAAGTTGACGGTGGTTAAAACGAAGATGAACTGGATCCATCGCTATAATTACCTTCGCGCGCATACACACACACACACACACGTCAATCAATCGTAATAAATAATACGCGATAAAATCACAAGCCTCGCTACCTAAAATTTCATATTATTTTCGAAGATGGATAATCAAATGCGAACGCTGTCACATATAAAATACATCTGAGAAAATGATATGATCACGTGGGCAGGGAGCGCATCAAGCAAATTAAGCCCTTAAATATATCTGCAACGTTAATTGTTACAGCATTAAACACTCAGCATTGTCAAACTTCTTATTCCTCCGTATATTAATAAAATGACGATAACGTTATCGTTCAGCCGCGATGATTACGTCAATCAAAAGCTCGACTCCTCTCTTTATTCAAATAAACCGAATTGCACACACTGAAGCTCTCGGCGACGCTGAAATCCTTCCACTATCGCATGGAAACTTCATTTAACCGCGCGAAGCTTCACAATCGCAGAAAAGAAGCGAAGAAACTTTACATCACGTTTTGTTCTCTGAAGCATGAGAATATCGCGATATCGGGTGTCACGGGCGCGTCTCCCTCTCTCTCTCTCTCTTTTCTTTATCTAGCGAAGAAAACGAGCGTTCGTAGCAAAAATTACGCGAGCGAATGGTGGTTTAATTGGGCGCATAAAGGAGGATCGATAAAACATTAACAATCAAGCTGAATGTCGGTATACGCGACGATCAATTTCATCAGCGAGAGAGAAGAGCGAACCGCGCTGGCTATCCGCGCGCGCTTTGCAATCACTCGCCGTGTCAAATGTTTCGATGAGGATGCATAATGTAACGAGACTGTTTGACAGGTGTGAGCGGAAATTCCTTTTCTCTCTCTCTCTCTCTCTCTCTCTCTCTCTCTCTCTCCCTCTTTCCCTTTTTTTCGCTCCGCGTAACAAACGACGCGCGCGGTCGCGCTTCCCACGGATATCGAATTAATATCTCATCGTCGTTATCAGAACGCGAAACGCGACACTTCGGAGGGCCGACTTGTGTGTATGCGCGCGGATTCCGCGCTTATTGGAACGGTCGTAGCGATTGTTGCGATCGGACGATTGGCGCTCGCACGAAGCACCTTTTCGCCGCTTCTTTTCCGTTGGCCACACCTCGGCCGGCGCGTCTCGACGGACAATTGACCGGCGATTGTCGGTACGCAACGATAGCGTGACAAATCGGTGGGAAAAAACGGCTCCTCGCGGCACGCACGCGTCGACAGTTGGCTTATCGCGCTGGAAACGAAAAAAGAAAAAGCGAAAAGGAGCGAGAGCACGAGAGGACAGTCACACTTGACACCCGACGAGCGGAGGTTCCGCGAAGGAATGCAGAAAAAAAAGGAGTCAAAAGCAGAGAGCGGGTGGCTCGTCTTACCTCGAGGCCTCGTGCGAGGCGATTCCCTGCGCAGAGCAGCACCAACAGCAACAGCAGCAGTAGCCGCCTGGTCGAGTTCGTGGTACCGATCATCGCGGCGAGCACATGGGTACACGATCGGCACGCACCGGTAGCCTCTGCGAGACAGGCGTGCCGGTGAGATAAAACTTTTTCGAAAGCACACGCTGGCCGTGTGTGCGAACCCGCGGTGTGCGCTGCAAGCCGACCACCGCCGCCGCCGCCGCCGCCACCGCCGCCACCGCCGCCGCCGCCGCCGCCGCTTCTCCCTCCGCGCAGCCTGCCGAGAGTCCCCCCTCCCACTCTCTCTCGCTCCCTCCCTTTCTTTCGCTCGCTCTTCTTTCACCGCGATCATCCTGCAACCGGCGCGATGACGAATCTCCTGCGATGCATTGGTGCCTTCGCCCGCGTGGCCACCTATATTGCGACACGACGCCACTTTCTTCGTCCGCGACTGCCACCGCCGCCGCCGCCGCCGCCGTCGCGGCTTCATTGACGTTTGCCATTGCCTCTTTCGCTGATTTCTGCCAATTGCCTCGCGGCGCTTACAGCTTCTTTGCTCTCTTCGTACTTACACTCGTGTGAAACGATGTCGCGCTCATCAATTATGTCTCGCCAGTTTTACATTGTTTTCTGTAAACACGCTACGTTGATTGACGGATCCATTATGCCTCTCCTTTCCTCTCATTGTTTCGATGTGCGCTTTCACACTCGTAAAATAGAGTACATTGTCGTTTATTTACGGGCTTTAACGTGTCATTACGATTGTATCTCGTGTGAGTGTGTTTGATGTCACAGAGAATGCGCGATGACAGTGATCGAAATTTAGCCAATAATTCTAGCCGCTGCTGCTAATTTTAATTTTGCATCGGAATCGCGTGTCTATACGCGTATTCTATAATTAGAAACATGACACTTTCAAGCGTATATTGACTTTTTCAATCGTCGATCGCCCTATGTCCAAATCTCTTCTCCGGTTGCCTATCATCATACGATTCGAATTTTTTCAGTGACACACACCGCAATCGCACTTGCACAACTGTTATCTGTAATTATACAAATAACTGATAAACGAGAATATTACTAAGTAACAAACGTAACGGATTATGAGTATCCGTATCGGATGAATCAAAGAACAATTACAAGCATCGCGCCGGCCATCGCGATAAAAAAATAATGAATCATAAACTATGACGTTGAAATTATAAAACCAAATAGACTTGACGCCGTTTTATCCTGGACATTTTATCCTGGATGGCGCTATATCGTGTGCATATTACTCACTTGCAAATTCGAATGCTCATCTCGTCTTTCAAAATGATTTTTTATAAAAAGTCTTATCACAGATGACACTCGTTATATTTTTATTCGAGAGTGGTCTGACAATAGTGGACAGCACGTTGTGATATTTAAAATGTATGACGCGTGATCAAACTGATACAGCAAATCAATTGTAATCAAAAAGAAGCGTCTCCGATGGAAAATCTCTTGAATATTGTAAAACTTGACTTATTATTTACATCAATATATCTTCCAATCGCGCATAATTGAATCATGTCATGTTAAGTGTTTGACACATCAATATCAACCCGCGTAACTTACATAGGATAATGTAAGCACTTCATTTATAGTCAACGTGTTAAAATTATCATAGCTTATTGGAAGACTTAACAACACAAAATTATTCATCAAAGTTATCACAACATCCATCAGATAAGATTAATCGTTCAAGTATGAAACTATCGACTAATTCAAGAAATTAAATGATAAAATTTAAAACTCACTTATTTATTTAAAAATAAATTATCTATTTAAATAATTTAGAATGCAAATTAAATTAATACGTGCATTCTTCAATTATAAGAATTACATTTCATGCTGTAAACATTTTTTCTCTTTTTGGATGCCGCCTTCCTTTTTTAAGTACTTGTATTAAAAAAATTCAGCTAATTCTTATTAGTAAATAAACAGATTTCTCAAGGAGGCTGAGAACCCATTAGCAAAACGTCGTTGACTTTATTTTACCTAAGGGTTGACCTATAATTTTCGTTTTTTTTTCTTTTTTTGCATTACTTTATTAGTAAGAAAATTATAATCTACCTTATACTCGCCGTTGCTATTTGAACTTGCATCTTCATTACTATACAAGCTTAAAACAATTATTTTATACTAATCGTTCGCGCTTGTTTTATACAAAAACTCATAACCTTCTGTCGGTAAATAAAAAAAAAATCTCACTGATCTCCTTTTATCGCTTTCTTATCATTAAATCAAAATAGTTTTGAAAACTGATTGCGATCAGTCTTATACTAACTGAAAAAAGAATATTAAGTATCGATTGAAATACATTTGTTAAAAATTAATTTCTTAAAATTTAGCAAGTAAAAAAAATGAAACTTCAATAAAATAACTTTTAATACTTCATTTCATTCTCAGGTTGACTAAATAGATTGGAAAAAACGTTTAATTGTAACAACCACGTCAAAGGAGATTTCGCTGAGTGGTATAAATAATTTAATTATTAATAATTGTTCTTTATAAGTTTATGAATAAAGATTCATTACATATGAATGTTTAAGAGTAATACCTCAAATATAATAACCATAACATATTTATACAGTTTAAATAGCATCCCGAATGAACAAATAAGATAAATTTAGAAATACTTGCTCGTTTATATATTAATTTTATAATGTCAGTTGGTAGTCTTCATGTTAAAATTAATCAAACCATTACATAACGACTAAGAAATTCAGAGAAAGAACATTTTCTAGAGAAGAATCTGAAAACAAAAAACAATTTTAATCTGACTTAGCGCCGAATCGTTTTAGGCAATTTATTGAGGTATCCTCGAAGCTACCACTTTTTAAATGGAATTCGCAGAATGAATTCTGTTATAATTTATTTCAGATAATAAAAATCAATGAAAATTCTATTTTAAAACTTCGGTAATACTTAGTTTTTCTGTCAATTTAAAATCTTACGATTTCAGTACTTCAATAGATATGCCTTGAGAAATACTTAATAATTTCATTCAAACTATTGATTGTAAAGTGCACAATTTTTACCAATAATTTTGCAGTGCGAATACATATTCAATGGAGATATTATTGGATAAGGTCACCCAAGTAAATTTAATTACAAATAAATATTTCTTTAAGTAAGTCAAGGAATAATAAAAAGGTTCAACAATAATTTAATTGGAAAAAAACTTCAAAATATATTCATCAAACGAAAAAACATTATAAGAATACTGTTATTGTAAAATATGATATTTAAAATTGTTAGGAGGACAGCCTTTAACTCCAAGACCTTTGATACTGTATAAGGCACCGGAATCTGGCTTTAATTTTCTTTGTTCAGCTGTCATTCCAACATAAGCGGACGTTACGTATAGAGTGTCTAGTTGCGGGCCACCAAAAGCTACACTAGTAATTCTGTCAACAGGTAACTCTATTTTTCGGAGTAGTTTTCCTCTTTTAGGATCGATTTGAATTACCTAAAATTATTTAAATAAAATTATGTAGTTCCTTTCAATTTAATAATTAATTTAATTTAAAATTCTCAATTATTTAATCATAAAAGTATTACAATTTACTATAAATATTTTAAAATATTTCCTAATAGTCAAGAGATTTTTAATATGAAAGAACAACTAACATAATTTTAAACGAATTTAACTTACAGCTTTTCCATTGAATAGGGCAACCCATAAATTTCCATCAGCATCATTGGTCATACCATCGGGTAATCCTTCGATGTTATTGCTCTTTATGTCGAATATAACTCGCTTATTAGCTATTAATACACACAATTATATTTGCATTATGATTTTATCATGGAGTTATATATATATAAGCTGCTTTCTAATTGCTTAATATAAACAAAAGCTTACTTATTGATCCATCAGCGTTATTATAATCATAAGCCGAAACTTGACGTGTCATAGAGTCAATGTAATACATAACATCTTTTTGCAAATTCCACGTTAACCCATTACTGATGGAAACTGGTGAAAGTACTTTTTTCACACTGCTATCTGAATCTATTAAGTACAGAGCTCCTCTGTTTGGCTCAATAGTGCTGTTCACCTCCAAACCCATGGTTCCTTGTGTAGGTAAAAAACAGATTCTTTATTCCTTTGGAAATAGAATAAAAAACAGTGAGGCATTCAGATTGACTAACCAGCCCAGAAACGACCAGCGGGGTCGCACTTTCCATCATTGATCCTTGTGTCAGTGCGGTCAGTGTCTAAAGATGCCAATACTTTAATCGGTGGGTTGTCATTGTTACTTTCGCCGTCCCACGACACTAGTACGACGTTTCTGCCAACGCCGGCAATAAGCTTATCTTTAGTACCCTCGACTGGGACAACTACACCGACATGTCCATCCTCTGAAATGAAATAACGTCAAAATTGAAATTTCCTTATTAACTATACATACTTTATACGAAGCTCGACGCACATCAATTGTTGAATATTTATTCCTATTCTTAACGAAAACATTAGCTGATCTAAATTTTTCTTATAACCAAGTGCAGTTTTGTACTTGTAACCAAGCTCTTCCATTTGAATTTCCGCGTTTCACTTTATTGCCTTATTCGACTTTTTATTCAAACTCTTATTGTAACGACTCGTATGCAATAGGTTGGGAGATAAATGACTTTTTATTGCAAAAACTTGTAACACTTTGAAATTATTGGTTCAAAAGAAGTGGTGAAACAATAGTTATTTGTTTTTATGGAACTTATAGATAAAAAGTAAAAGAAAATTATAATAAAATAAAATTTTAATCTTGAAAAGTTTAAATGGGTTGTAAACAAAGTTAAAAAATACAGTCTCGTTATATATATGTAATAATTTTTATTTTTTCAACTTTTTCTGTACTTATTTATCTACTTCTTTCATAAAGCTTCATTACTGGCGGCATTTTTATGCTATTTATTGTAAGATTGGTTTGTTTTTTGTATAAAGTTTTTTTTATAAGACTGTCGATTCTTTCTTTACGGGGACCCAAATCAATTTGAATAGAGTTGAATTTGTATGAATGTTTTCTTTATTTTTAATGATTTATAACCAATCCTCAAATATGAATAATACAATATAATTAATTCAAAGCGAAAGTTTATTTTTGCAATTGATTTTTTAACTGATAGATGGATGAATATCAAGATATTTTTTAATATCTTAGTTTTGAATAGTTAATAATATCACGCTAGACTACGGAAAAATTAATAAATAATATAGAATAGAATAGAATTTCATTTATTTTAAATACTTTGACACGACTAAAATCTCCTTATATAAAGAATATTGAGACGGTGTTTTAGAAAAAGGACATAAGTCAATTGAAATATTTGTTTATTTTTGGCCATATAAATTTATCATTTTCGTATCTTTATCGATAATACCTTCTGACTTAACACAACTTTAATAAAGAGCAAATATTTACAGTGATGTCTTCTCAAGTGTGTAGAAGACAGTAAAGAATCAAACAAAGCCTACGTAAAGGTGCGGCTGAATATTATAGTTTTTATTAACTTTTTACAATTTAAAGAGACAGTATTCGAGGGACTTTAGATTTTGCCACGAAAATCAAGCTGGGATGTTTTAATGCGACAAATTGTCTATGTGCACATTAGCATACCTCCAATTTGTTTGAAATTAACTGTCGAAAAGAATAAACTAATAAATAAACAAGACTCACTCATGTAAGCGTAATTGACTTTTCCAGTGGTAGGATCCAATCTCATAATTTTCTGACCATTGATATCAACGTAATAGAGCTTTTGACTTGTCACATCCCAATGAGGACCTTCGCCTAGTTCGACAGCATCGACAACTTTTTCAATTGTGATCGACATTTCCTATTGAAAAAGAAAAGCAAAGATTTAGTTGAAACACTAGAAAAAGCGTAATAAGACGAGGCAAAGGACAAGAGAAATAGAACTCGAAGACAGCATTATTTACACAGCAACGAGCAATAGCGAGAAAGCAGAAAGCAAGAGCGGCAAAGTGTTTAGCGATCATTGTTGTAGCTTAGGTTGTCCGAGGCTCTCGGCGGTTCGTAGCAAAGTGACCGAGTGATATGCAAAATAGTGCAGAGCAAGACAGGAATGAAAGCGAGCGGAAAATTGTATAGAGCGCACTTTCAAGGTTCGGCGACACGTCAACGGGCCAGTAGTCTTTTCACAACTGGCTGCTCCAGATAAGAGTTATTAATTACTATGGCCAGATGTGCACAAGTCCCCTCTTTATGTACAGTCACATTAAGAACATCGTTATACTTGTTACTCTCCTTTGCGACGATATCAGATGAATTATCGTCCTCCGATAACTAGAACAAATTTTTTTCCCGAGGCTACGCTCGATTGTAGGTGTGCCAATTTCTAGGTACACGAGTATTTTTCCAAAATCCTACGGCTTTTTCTTCATAACTCCGGAGGATTTCACAGTTCTAGCGTGCGAATTATTAAAGCAATCAAAAAATATCGGGGTCCTGAACGCTGCGGGCAACCCACCTTTTTCACAATATTCCCACAATGTACTCTTTCATTTTTTTCCAAGATATATTTTATCGCGGGCGCGCTCATTCGATATACGCAAACAGTGGAATCATTATAAATTTCAGCTTGGCCGACCCAGCCACTCCTTTCAAATCTTCTTCGCTGCTCTCGTCATATTCTGTATCTATATCGAAAACTGATATTTTCAAGGTTGCCTCCAATAACTTGGGTGATAAAGTTTCGTTTTTTAGGCTTGTCGTGGATTATCGAAGAAAACTTAATGTAAAGCGTTATAACTTTGGATTATGCAACATTTTATAAGTCAAATTACGTTTCTCGATGGCTTGCATTTCAAAATTCATATCACTTTTTCTATTTGTAACAGAAGATTGCATATCTGCATCGTTATTTAAAAGTTTACAGCTAGTTGAAAATTGCTCACTGCCGTTAAACGTTGCCGTAACAATCCAACCGATCTTGAAAAATCGACGATAACACCTGCTGTCGCAATCACGGCTCTGATGCAGTTTTCGTACAAATTAAAAATTAAAATCTATTGCTAAAAAATGAGAATGTGTCGACAGCATACATTTCTGGTGAATCCATTAGTAAAGTGCAAATACTCCAATGATTGAGAGAAATCAATCGTATCTTTAATAGCAAATACATTATAACTTCTAAGACGAAATGAAAAAATAATTATGTCGACTCCGCTTTTTCTCAATTTATTCAAAAATGAGGTTTATACAATTGTACGATCATTCATCTGTCTGCAATTATTTCACTAATTACACAACCTCATTGTTGCTAGTAAAATATAAAATATAGCCGATGAAGTGTAAGCGTACCTATGTAATAGCTGTAGCTTTGATTTCAAGGTAAGCGTACGTCACAAGAAAAAAATTACAGAACCACCGTGGCTTAATTTTGCAAAGGAAAAAACATTTTCATTGTAAAAATAATGTCATTCTTGGCAATAAAGTTACTGCAGCAATTCCTAGAAAAAATTAATCTTTCCGTTATACGTTTTTGAAAACAATTCACCGTAATTCGTTAATTTGTACCTATCCAAGTGCATTGAGTTAAACCAAAAAAGCTCAGCAGAGATAAAAAAATAATGATCTAATAATAGTGATATTAAACAACAACATAATACGATTGATGATCAAAAGTGTACGTTGTAAATTTCAGTTTTTCAATTATTTAATGTTGCATTAATCGAGGATAAAATGTCTTTGTACCGGAATTTGCAAAAGCAATATAATCTTCGTTAATAAGCACTTATACCAAGTATTTCGTAGCTTCGGTCAGTTGGTGTTAAATAGTGAAAATTATAAGTTTTGTTTACTGTGGTATAAAAATTGTTCTAATAAAGTTATCGTCATGAACATTTTTTATCATGATATACTCGGTAAATGCTTTGATTTTCTTTTAAATCCCAAAAGTCCACATAAAAGCCCTAGAAAATCCCCTTAACTGCAACATCTTATTTTTAGAAAAAAGTGGCTTACCACGTAGTTCTGAGCGTTAAAGAGAACGAAAATCATTTTTAAAGGACTCATTTTCTTCCTTTAGATGAGCATTTCAAATTAAGTGCAGAATTTTTCGAAATAGTCAAATTTATCATTTTTATGAGAACTTTTTTTAATTTATTCAAAAAATATTCTGAAAAGAATTTATAACATTGACTGTTTCGAAAAATCCTTAACTTAATCTAGCGGTGTACTGATATAAAGGAAGAAAATGAGCTTTTTTAAAAATGTTTTTCGTTCACTCTAACGTTCAGAACAGTGTGGTAAACCACTCTTTTATTCTAAAAATAAGCAGTTACGGTGAACAGGACTTTTCAGGGCTGTTACATGAGATTTTAGGACCTAAAAAGAAAAAAATAAAAGCATTTACCGAGTACATCATGATGAAAACTTTAATAAAATATTTACACCAAAGTAAAGAAAACTTCTAATTTTCATTGTTTAACAGCAACTGGCTCCCCTTTAAACATTACCTCAAAGCCTGTAAAATTGCAATTTTCACATTGTGGATAGCGATACGTTCAATCATAAATGTCTTCCGATTAGCAACATATTGCAGATAATAAGAATTAGGTGCATAGCATTACTCATTTAAATAGATTTTATATTTTTAATATTTTTATTTACGGAATACATACTTTCTGTACAATAGGAATCAATAAACACAGTAAAAATAAACTGATCAGCTTGTGTCACGTGTATCCTCAGACGCACTAAATGGCAAATGCCGAACACTTTCACATTGCGAAAACTCGTGTCGACATATGTGTGGCGCGTGCACACATACGCGCGTCGTAATATCCAGCGTTGCAATTGCTTGATGCTAGAAAAGAGCGCGAAATTTTGAATTGTCGTATATTTTGAAATATTTATTATATCAGGATGAGATATATATTTCAGCAGTAAATTTGATTCATGAATAAATAATATAGATAATAATCTACAATAATGAAAATACCCTCTTAATAAATCATTTTGAAAACTTAAGAGTTTTGAAATTATTTGTACAAATCGACAATTTGATAACCGCACCTGTGTAACTGAAATTAATATTGTCTTCGTAAGATGTGGTTGGAAGAAAAAGTGAATAGAATAAAATAGGAAAAAACATTTCTATCTTTTGTACATATTGTAAATTAAAAGATATGCAGGCAACAGAAACTATTTATCAGAATATTAAACTCGTTCAATTTGAAGAATGTTCACGGGTATTTTTACTAAGGCAAAAAAATACACAATATTAAATGTATTACTCATACTAATATAAGATTGGAGCCGTAATCACTGTATTGAGTATGTATTATTATATAATAGTATCATAACTTGATAACATTTATTAATCGTAGAAGGTTTAATTAAGCTGTTAGATAATTTTTTCGATACATCTTAAAATGAGTAAAAGTTAATCGACTTTTGTGAAAAAATAAAAGAGCGCGTTTCAGGCGCTAAATAACATGACATAACACTATAGTATAAAAATCGCTCGTTGGTAAAGTTCACGGAAGTTAGGTGCGCATCATGGAGACGCAGACTCTCCATTAAGGCCTTTCCACACTGAGGCTATCAGGAATATTCCTGTGATGTTCTTATTCCGTGTAATTTTTAACCTTTCGAACATTCGTATAGTTCACCGTCTACCTTCCTATACATAATCAGTGGTTTAAGAAGTGCAGAAGGCGCAAAACTGTTCGGTCTTCTTAGACCCCGGTCCCATAGCTACGTATGAATGCGGACGGATACGGACGCGAATCGCAACTCTAGTAACATCACTAAAAATATCTAGTTCGATTATTTAGTACCAACACTACCGGTAGTGAGTAAAAGTAATTGTTGTTTAAAACTGTAGCACCGAACGTACCACATTTAATGTTCAAATGTCAGGTCTACAATTTACTTTTCAAATTCTCATGAATATTGCTTATTGATGAGTATGCTAATGTAAAACAAAGCTTTTGGGATAATTAATACATATCATTTATATATATTTTCTTCTTCTTCTCATATATTCAAGTACTTCCATAAAATTAAGGCCTAATTCCACTAATTGTAGTTGAAAGTCTATCAATTCTCTATCATTTGCCATCTTATAGACTGCAATAATGTAAAGGTTAGATAAGCGTTCATTAAATGTGGTACGTTTGGCGCTACAGTTTTAAACAACAGTTACTTTTGCTCACTACCGGTAGTGTTGGTACTAAATAATCGAACTAGATATTTTTAGTGATGTTATTAGAGTTGCGATTCGCATCTGTATCCGTCCGCATCCGTACGTATCTATGGGACCAGGGCCTTAACTTCTTAAACCACACAGTATATACATAGACGTAGATTGTGAACTGTACGAATACGAATGTTCCGGGAGGTGCAAAATCCACACGAAACAAGAACATTACAGGAATATTTTTTCATGTGGAAAGGCCTTTATGGTATGCATTCAGTCAGAGTAGAATCATTTTTTGGAGGTATCAAAAGTCCACATTGTCCAAAATTTGCCAAGAGCTAAGAATGTTAAGATGCAACCAGAAACATGCGTCACGGTGATAGCTACTTTGTTTACAGAAAATATTGAAGTAGAGTAAATAATTAACGATGGATTATTTTCATACATTATGATTGCAGAAAAAGTGCGTTACATTGTAGTGATAAAGAAATTTTCAAGTGTGAAATTAAATTCTTTTAAATAATTACTTACAATATTTATACTGATGGAGTGACGAAAATATTATAATGGAGACAATAAATCAAGACAAGATAATGTATCTATGTGATAATTTACCTTTATTAGCATATGCATTTTAAAATTGTATAATTTTTTGTGACTTGTCAATAATTATTTTAAATATATTCACATACTAATGTATTTAACTACTTTCGATATTAAGTAAGAATCGCAGTTGATAGTGATTCTATCTCTATCAACTATCATAAAAGGTAATTTATATAACTTGTTATGAATCATATTTTTATTTTGGTAAAGGTTATGATGCTACTTATGCTGTCTAAATTATCTATTTCAGTTCAAATAAAAATAACACTAAGTTACCTTTGCTAACAGCATTTGAATGGATCCAAAAATTGAAACATCTCCAATAAAAAAAACAGCTAGGTTTAGTAAAAATGTTCAAGCAAATGAATGTGTCCGTCAATTCAAGTTGAGACGACATTTTCCTAGTACAGTAATAGAACTAAAAAAAAATGGCATAGGAAAAGGCCATAACACAACACAAACTGCAGCTATCACAAATATAATCTCAGCCTTACCTTTATCAAGCAATATGAAATTTATTTCAAACAAAGAATTACAGTCATCAGAAGTACAAAATCTTCAAAAGTTGAAATTGAAAACAATTAGTGGGAAAAATTTAGGGGAATTAAATATGGCTATGGCTAGTAAAATTCAAGGAAAAATCATAACAGTACCTAAAATAATTCAAAACTCTGGTAGATTAAAAAAGTGGACTGAATCAAATACAGAACAAGTTCAAGGGCAAAAGCCAAGAATAAAAAATATTACCCAGCTTCTCACTAGTTCACCCATCGAGGAGCAGTGTAACAATTCAGGTGAAGCATGTTTTTCAAAAACAACAGTTCAAATTGTTAATGGCGAAAAAAAGTTGTCTTTGAATGCAGCTCAAAGTTGTAGTAAACCAATTATAGTTCAAACTGCCAGTAATGATGTTCTAAAGAACATAGTTAATCCTAACATAATATTTAGCACACAGCCAAAACAACCTCAATTAGTAACTATGAAACAAATTGCTGGTTTTCCCAAAGTCTTGATGGTTCAAAAAGGTAATAATCAGGTAGGTATACCAACTGCAGAAAAAATTAAATCATTTAACTTGGTAAACAAAAGTTTGTTGAATGATCAAGCAATCATGAAGGATGATGAACTAAACATTGTTCAAGCCCAGTTAAGTAATTCCTCTATGAAAAAAAGAGATGGTTCATTTTTAGATCAACCAATAACTCCTGAAAGTAAAAGATCTTGTAGGGATATGGAAACTCAGGAATGTGAAACAAATCAAGACAAGAACATCAAAATTTCTAATAAATCACTTGGTGAATTTTCAGAATTGAAAAATTTTTCAAATAAACTAGTGAATGTAAGTACAACAAAGAAAAATATAATGGTTATTGTACCCAATGATGCTGCTAAAGAATTAACAATGGATTCTAATTCTTTAAATATGGTTGGTGAAGATGCTATGCTAAGCAATAATAGTGAAATCATATTTCTTGAAGATGAAGATTTAATAGAATCTGACAATTATAACCAAAATATTGAACATTTGAATAAAAGTAAAACTATTCAAGAAGAAATAGAATCAAATATTGACCAAAATACAAAAAATTCTAATTCCGAAAATCTATCTGATGAATTTAGCATTTTAGAAAAAGCTGTGCTAAGTGTTCAAGATGAGAATTTACGAACAAAAGCTTTAAAAGCATTGAAAGATTGTGGAATTAAATCAAAGAAAAAAGTTGTCATAAAACGTCCATTACCAACAAAAATTATAAATGAATCTGCTGTTCAAACTAAGGTATTTTCGTTATTGAAAGAAGGAGAATTTTTAGAAGCAGATGAAGAAAATGATAATTTAATAAAAATTAAATTATCTCGCAAATCTTCAAAACATTCAATGGCTACTACAGGAAATATTCATAAGAATGAAAATTTTGACAATACAGCTGAATACAAAATGAAACTAGATAATATAGTAGCAAAATTCTCTCAAAATAATGAAGTTGTATTCAATGTTAAAAATGCTTTTGCACAGAATAGCAAATTACAAGCTGAAAAAATTATGAAGAAATTGCTAAAAGACTTTGAAGCAACAAAGTATTATGATGAAGATGGCTATTTAGGAATTCATAAAGCTGTAGTAAATAATAATTTGCAAGATGTACAAAAACATATCCTTATTTTAAAAGCAGTCAAACGTAATATTGATATATGTACAGAAGATGGACAGGTAATTTTATACATTTCTATTTATATTGATTTTTCAAGATATCTATTATTTATTTATAATATTTAATTAAAAATAATTATTAATAACAATTATTCATAAAACTGATTTTTTATTAACAGACAAGTTTAGAATTGGCTGTTGAATTAGAAGTTGATCCTCAAATTGCAAAAATACTTCTAGACAGCGGTGCCCAACCTATATCATCAAAAGCTGTACATGATTCAGCATTAATTTTAGCTGCGAAAAAATCTTCAAGATTATTACCTTTATTATTGAAATATGTTGATCGTAACCATAAATTATTGAATGCAAAAAATTCAGAAGGTCCTGAAAAATTATACTATATGACTTACTTTTATAATATAAATAAATTATTATTATAATAATGTTTCTTTTACAACATTTTTAGGATTCGCTGCTATTCATTACTGTGCTCAATCGGGATATTTAGAAGGTGTAACAGAACTCATTAAACATGGAGCAGACGTTAATGTACAAGATGAAAGGTCTGGTAGGACAGCACTATTTTATGCTGTTGATACTAAAAGTACTGAGGTTCTTCGAGAAGTATATAATGAAATTGCTCAAAAACTTGTAGATAATGGAGCTTTTTCTAATATTCCCACATATTCAAAACATAGTGTACTTTCAATAATTGATGATGTAAAAAGTCATAGTCTTAAAATTGCGTTGAACCGAGCTATTAGATAAAATAGTACATTACGATATAAGTGCGCGAAAGTAGATTCTAGTCTCGTGTAGCGTTTACGCCCGAGCGAAGCGAGGAAAGGTGCACGAGACGAGAAGCTCTTTCTCGAACATGTGCCGTACCGTATTTTTTTATATGACGTGTGGAACGTACGTTTTTTGCCGAGCGTGCGGGAAAAACGCACTTTCCGCACAGAGTGCCGAAAAATTTATTTCATAACAAAGTCAAAGTAATATAGACATCATAGAATTTTTCACAAAATATTTCTAGGAATCGTTTTGTGTGGTATTAATTTATGTTTTCAAAGGAATTAAATTTTGCAATCAAGATATTTCTACATTTAAAATATATTATTATGCCACTAATGTATAGATAAGGTCTGTTTCCAAGCTATATTTAGAAAGAAGAAATATCTTGAACTAATAGATTATCATAATAAAATTTAGCTGTAATGACGATATAGCTCATTATTTTATTTTCTCTAAATTTGAAAATCTCTTAACATGGGAATAACATAAAGCTTCATACTAAAGTTCAGTTTAAAACATTAAGTTTGGCTGTATCTGATTTTGTGGAAATTCTTTGCGGACACTATAACTTGACGTCATAACTTTTCAAATACTGATATATTGAAAAAACTTATTTGTTTATTTGACGTATACTCACTATTATCGTTTTAATTTTTTTTTTCTAATTGAAATAATTAACGGCGCTGTTATAGATATTATAAATTGTAAAAAAATTTATCAAGTTGGATAGATCAATTTTATAGATTTTCGCTTATAAAGTGCTTTCTGATTTTTATAATAAATAACATAGGCATCTTTATATTTTGCGTAACTCTCAATGTAATTGTAATTTTGTTTTTCATTACATACCATACAAAAATCATCGCACAATATCACGAATTGAAATTTACAGGTGAAAAAAGGCGTAAAACATTAATATTTAAAATTCTGTAGTTTAGTCCATGTATAATTTTTGGTATTCTAATACTTTTTCATGGTAAAACTTTGTAACAAAGATTATATATTAATTTGTACGTTAATACATATGTATAAAGTAATATTAAATGAAAAAACTATTTAGAAATTCTAATGGTTATGCACGAATCACGATTTAAAATATCTGCTATTGAAATCTATTGTCAATATTCTGCAGCATGTTTTACTATCTTTACATTTTTAAAAAGCGATTAGATTTGAGCATGCTCTTATATCTGTTAAAAATTTCAAGGCTGATAAAATGTTTTTTTTATTTTTTCTAAGATTAAATGTTATTTTTATAAAATTTACAAAATGTTTTCTGCAATTGTTTAATAGCAGATCATTTTATCAATTTTACACATTGTAATAAACTCAAGTATATAAAATAAATTATTTCAAAACATTGACTATTTCTGTAAATTACAAATAAAAATTATTGTTAAGGTAAATTCTAAATGTACTATTATCATTGTTTGAAATTTAATGATAAATTATCATAGTAGTTTTCTTCACTAGTTTCCTTAAAAACATACCAGGCTGTATTAAAATTTGTTATAAGTTCCAATTAAAAAATGTTAATTATCGTAAGATCAAATATAGAATTATTTTACTAAAAAAATTCCTAAAACAAAAAACTGGATACCTAATTTTTATTTAATTCCTTTAAGACCAATTTGAAAAAGCGGTAGTAAAATTATCTCACATTATTTTGTATGCCTTAGCAACCTATAACATATTTTAAAAAATAACTAACACTTTTCTAATTCTCTGAAAAAAATTATATCAATATAGTATATTTTGATACTAGTGCGTGAAGTGTTTTACACAATTTCGAAAAGCACTTTACCACGCATGTGCGAGATGTCCGTTTCGGTTGAACTTTTTACCCTTGTGTTGCTGTCGAACCATTCAAGTTACATTTATAATTATTTAAATGTTTAGAATATACAACCTAATTATTTTACTGATGCCTTTAACAACCTTTACGTGTAACTTCCCATATGCCTTGCTATCATTAAAATATATATACTAACTTGATGGTCTCTTATATAATACCACTACAACGACTCGACTTACGCGTCACAAAGTATATGTGTAGTAAAAACGAAAAACGATAGGTATACGTACCTAATGTGAGCGCTTGCTCACGATCGCTACGCAATTTAGTTTGTCGGTGTCCATGGTGTGAGAGCCATCGTATGCGTGCAAATTCCAAAAATGCGATTGTCAAGCAAAAGGTAGCCCGAGCAATAAATTGCACAATCGAGGCATACTCACCATCAAAGGTTAAATGTTTCCCTTATGATATCAGTTTTGGACGAAAATGCCGCACCTCATGGATTCTCTACCGCCACAGGATATAATGATTGAGGTTAGGAAGTTTATTTCCGCTACCGCTAGATCGTCACAAAGTTCAAATACTCTCGAACTTACAAGAACCGCGCTTAGTCTTTTGAAAAATGTATCGGCCACAAGAGAGGCTGTACTCGAACACTTCTGCACGGTTTTCTCCGTTGCCGTCACCAAATTTGTCCGGCAAATTGAGGTTCGTATTAAATCTGTAATGTTTATTTATTTTTTTATTTGTGCTCCATTTCATAATAACAAGCTTATTTGAGTTTGTGAATTAAATTTGTAAAATACGTTAATATCTACTGTAAGAAAATGCTAAGTATTATAAGTCATTTTTGCAGACCAGGCAAAATGTACCAATACCTGAAGAGAACATCATTGCTGAAATACATACAGTATTGAGCAGCTTTATCAACAACAACCCAGAGGCATGGGCACCGATTATCTCAGCATGGTCTCTAGAACTTCTTGGTAAATAATAAAATGTTACTTACAACAAAAATAAAAAATATATTTCTGTTTTTAAGCAATAAGTAATAATAAATGTTCATAATTACAGGAAATATTTCATCGGACTATTCAAAACGTATGAATATGCCAGTAAACGCAGGACTTAATGATTCTCTGCAACAATGGATGTCTTGTCAAGCAACTAGAACCCTAATAGACATAACAGCACAATGTCTGCAATGTCTCATGTATTCTGATTCTGAATCATGTATTAAAACCTTACTAGATACAAGTGTGATGCATAGCCCACATTTTGACTGGGTAGTTGCTCATGTAGGTAGTTGTTTTCCTAATGTAGTTATAACCAGAGTACTATCTTGTGGTCTGAAAGATTTTTGTAAAGACAAAAGAATTGATTCTAAGTTGAATTCTGTTGTTGGAATTCTCAGTCATTTGGCTGGTAGTCATTTTTATGATATCAGAACTGCTTTGTTAGATTTATTCATGGTAAGTTTACATTATATTTTTTTTTTAAGTTTACTTAGAAATAAAGTTTCAGTATTTGTTTCCTTATTATTTACAGTGGAGTTTGGATGAAAATGTTAATGTCAATGATGATATGAAGACACAAAGATTAGCAACTGTTCCATTTTTATTAAATTTAGCATCTTTGTCCTCAATGCTACTTAAAGCGCTCACTGGTGATATCTCACAAATTTGTAAGTAAAATAATAATCTCTAATAAAATAACAGTATAAAATTATAGTTCCAATGTTAATGCGAAAATATATATTTACTTTAGTGAGGCCAGATGTTATACCAAGATTAGCATTATTTTCTGCAGAGTGGGTGAGATATTTTAGTAATGATTCAACAAAATTGATAAAAATTGTAGTACATTTAGCATTAGGATGTGATCAAGGTGCACTCCAAATTATTAATACTTTGTTAGACACAAGTTTAAATCCTAGCAATGTAGGATATCACAGTGTTAATGCTGCACATAATGTGAAAAATGTTTGCAGAGAAATACTTGAATTAATGTTAGAAGAAATTGAATTTACAGTGAGAACAGATCATTCAAACACAAAGTTAAATAATATGCGTTTGATAATTTCAATTAAACAAGACCTACCAAGTGTTATACCAATGCTTTTGAATCCTCATCCATTAAGAGTTAAAACTGCAGTTAGATTATTGTCGATTCTTGGAACTCAAAATCCAAATGTGTTAATATCGGCAGCTAATCACCTTTTACAAAATGCTGAAACGAATTTCCATCTGGGTGTGTTAGTACGACTTATTACCGATAACGACATTCAATTTGCTAAGAAAAATAAGAGTGAAAATAATTTATCAGATTATGGCTATTTTACTCAAGTAATTGAGCAAGCTATAAGAGATGTACAGTATTCCAGTGTATCTAATGATATTTTTACACGACGAGTTTTCAAAAATTTAACTACATTGTTGAAGTAAGTTTAGATGTTACTATAGCTAATTAAACAAATATTATAAATTTTATTTTTTTTCAGATGGGAGAAATCTGGCAGAGTATCGAGCTTAAAATCAAATTTTATAACACGAGCTGTGAGAGTTAATCTTCTACAAATGTCAGTTTATCTTACAAAAACAAACAATTATGACTTGGCAAACGATATTGCCGAAATGTTGAATTGTCTCGATCCACCGAATAACAATTTTCCAGCTAATGTTGAGCTCACCTTGAGGTTGACTAGGGCTGTAATACGTTATTTCTTCATTTGCATAGCAGAAAATGGTACTGTAATAAATTGTAATTAACGTAGATTCTCTAGGAAAACTATTTAAATTATTTTTTATTACAGATATTATAAAGAAACAACGTGGGGTTAAGATTGTGTGTCGATTTTTAAAAGGACTCACTAATTATTCTCAATATGCTCGAGTTCTAGCATGTAGAGAGATTTTAGAAACGACTATATTTGGAGATCCTGCACAATTTTTTGGTGCGAGAAAAAAATTTACATCGAACAAATCGAAAACGTTTCTTTTACAGCAAAACCATAAACAGGTAATATATGACGGGAAACTTTTTCCCTCATTGCTATAGTTGAACGCTTTTTATTACTTTCTATTCCTTCAACTAGGGTACTGGAGCCATTTTAGCTCAAAGACACTCATCTGTCTTCCATGCGGGTATAATAGGACACGGTCCAAGAAAGCTTCCTCTTGACAATAATATAGACAAGGAAATTGTGACTTTGAATAAGACGTTATTGATGGATGTGATAAAAGTAAAGCAAATTTTTATTTTAAGTAAATGGAAAATAACACAATAGTAAGTTATTCCTGAATTTCAGGCGTGTTGTAATCGTCCAGACATTATTCAATGCCCGGTGGATACAGAAGCTTTATATTTAGTTAGCTTATTATTAGTTGAATTAATATCTCCCGATGTCATGTACAATGGATTACCATGGCCTGATGAAGAATTTGCCAAAGTAATGATTGACAATGTCACACGATACTTTTTATAATTTCAAATTCAATATCATCGTTCTTATTAGGTTACCGTGGAAAGAGATTTACAAATTCGGCGAACTTTTGACGATGCGCCCGTATTGTGGACGCTATTGCAGTTGACAGCGTGGTACAGACCAGCTTTAACCTATTGCTCGGTACTTATGAGAGCAATTGTTGCAACAGTTTTAGCTAATTGGGATGCAAATAAAGGTGTTATGATAACTAATATCATGGCTTTAGGACAATTACTTCCTATGCCACTAACCAGTATTCCGCACATTCTTCCGGTTCTTGAACCTCATCAGGTTTGTTCAACTTTCCTTTTTGTTATTTTATTATACCTTGTTTGGCGCAATTTCAGAATCACATATATACAAAATTTCAGATTACAACAGTGATGCGTGAATGCGTTTGGATGTACATGCAAGAGCACGTTCCAGCGCCTGCGCTGTTTACGCGAGTTGAAGGTGCAACGATTTCGTGGCGAAATACCGATACTTCGACTCCTGACATCAGATTTACAGAAACATTGAGACTGTTATTACTTGCTAACATACACGTTTTAGGTCCTTTATACGCGACTCTCTTTTTCAATGAGAACAAATAGAACTGAAAAGACTTTTTTTAAATTGAAAGTTGATTTTTCGAAAGTATTTTATAGATAGTGCATACTGTTGTAAAGTGTTAATAGTAAGGAAATTAGTACGGTTACGCCAAAGAGTCGAGGGAAAAATGATTTTTTTTGTTATTTGTAAATATGTTTTATATTATAATGCCAAGTTTAAAAACATTTGATGAAATCACAAGTATTTTATAAACATCCACACTCGTACTAAATTGAGTTTACACATTGCACTATGAATCAGATTTATAATAAAATTCAAGTATAATAAGATCAAAATGATAGTTTACTATAGCTTGATTATTTAGATTATTATACTTTCAATACAGCAGAAGTAAATACAGAGATTGTTAATGTATTGTAGAATCGAACCAATTTTGATGGTGGCGTTGACTGGTGTGAATGGTACAAAGAAAATTCTAAAATATAACCATTAAGACTCACCTAGAATTCTTTATTCCACTGCTTCAAATGCTTGTTTTTTATGTTTCATGTCCGCATTGACTCTTGTCTAACTATTTTCACGATATACACATACATAATATATGTGAAAATGACTTAAAAATAACTTTTATTTAACAAAACAGCGAATTTCTTATTTTTATTGATTAGACCCCCCTTACCCTAGCCAGCAAACTATAAAAAATGTCATAATAATATGTCTAATTGTACCCTCTCGTTCATCTTGTACGTTGTGATATTTTACAGCTTTACACGTTATACTGCTCTTGAGTTTCGCTGTATCAAGCCATAAAGCTCAGCATATAAGTCTCTAAAAGTGCACTTCAAAATTCGTTTAGCTCTTTCTGTCGAGCTCACATAAAGGAGTTTGTCATAATAGGTAAGCAGTCTATTATTAATCACCATATTAACTCATTTACCATATTGGCAAAATCTTTAAAAGGTATTTTTTTTATAGTCGTTTATCATAAGTTTACCATTATGTGCAGTCATGGAGAAAATCGTAAATTTTTCATTGATAACTTGATTTCTTATTGCTAGTAGCAAGTTGCATTGTTAAAATTTATTTCGCTGCAGGTCATAATTGTTTTTGAAATTTAAATATAAATTGTAAAAAGCGTACCTCGTTTCATGTTGTCCGATATATACGTATATAATACAATTCAACTGGTTTTCGAATTTTATTAATTCATGTAATAATGAAAGTGTATACACCTCCGCAGTTGGTTACTTTTAACTCACCGAAATAGAGGTACGTTGTTATATATTTCGACATTGCAGGTAGAAAGCACGTACTTCGCTTCGCTCGGGTGTAAACGCCATACGAGACGAGAAACTCTTTCCCGAACATGTGCCGTACCTAAGTTTTTATACGACGTGTGGAAAGTGCGATTTTCAACGCACGTTTTCACCCGAGCGTGTGGGAAAGACGCACTTTGCGCACGGATTATTGAAAAGGACATTTTTTTTTGCTTCGCATTTTTTTCCACATTTCCTTCGTTTAGGCTTCATTTTCTCCGTCTCTCCTTTTTCTCGCACGTGTTGAAGTTAATACATTTGCGATCTGTGCGATAACAATATCTTAAAGTCATTACCCGGAAAAATCGTAATGTTGTTGCTCGATAAAAATTGAGTTTTTTATTTAAAGTTGTTTGTTTGAAAACGAAATGGAAATATATAGGCTGACTGGTTATTACTTCTTAAATTGGTAATCGTCACGTTGATTCTTGATAAAAATATACATTTAAAATTTAAACTACAGTGAAATGATAATTCAAATATATATGAACATACCTTATGTTATTTTTAAATTTACAGAGGTAAGGTGTTAGTTTCTAAAGGCCTTTCCACATTGAGAGAATATTTCTGTTTCTTGTGATGTTTCGTGTGATTTTGTACCTCCCGGAATTTTCATACAGTTTATCATCTATGTCTGTGTACATACTCAGCCCCGGAAAATAGTAAAAATAAAAAAAATAAAATAATTTTCAATAGAGTCGAATTTGCTCGGTTCAACTATGTTGGCCAAATAATTTACACGCATTACATTTTCTAACAAAAAAATATCAAAGTATTTTTTTTACGCAAACTTTAAACCACAATATCTTGCTGAAATATCAATATTTGTTGAATCCTAAGATCCTAAAAAATTGTTCACTATCACAATAAATTTGCCTCGTTATAATATATTTTAAAAATACATTATTTTTTATAAAGAAATTTAAATAATGTAATTTCTATCGCTGCGACTGCTGATTAGTGCATGTATATTATTTAAATTTCTTTATAAAAAATAATGTACTTTTTAAATATATTATAACGGAACCAATTTCTTGTAATAGTGAAAAAATTTTTAAGACCTTAAGATTAAACAAATATTTGATAGTTCGGCAAGATATTGTCGCTTAAAGTTTGCGTAAAAAAGAAACACTTTCATATTTCTTTTTTTGGAAAATTTAATACAAGCAAATTATTTAGTTAATAACATACGCGAACCAAATTCGACTCTGTTAAAAAAAATTTTTTTTTATTTTGAGTATTTTCCGGGGCTGATCTGAGGGTGGTGTTATTATTTATCTAGATGCAAGGTTTATGCTTTAAGCAGAAATGGCTACAGTGATTAGAAATGGTTACAGTAGTGCTTAAACGACCTAGCTTATTTTTAATTTCCCATGTCGCAAATTAACCCACGCCAATACTGTATTTTGCGCCTTTTGCACTTAAACCATTGAATACATATAAGGAGGTAGGATGTATCTACATACATCACAGGAATATTCGCTCATGTGAAAAGGCCCTAATATGGAAAGGTTTTATAAGTGTATTAGGCAGCGCACCGACACCTTCGAGCATATATATATATATATATACTACTAGAGGTAGTACTCGAGTGGCCGCGCGCGTTGCTAGCGAAGTGAGATATGGCACATAGCAGATATGAAGTTACATATGATATCTCTTTATCTAATCGTACGTGATTGGCTGCCTCTGTTTCATTACTCTAAAAATCGTTCAATTACAAATTTTGTAGTTGGTAAATAATTTAATAGATAATTTTTTGTTTAAATAAATAAAGAAAATGACTAAAAAATGCTGTATTCCTAACTGCAGATTGCAGAAAGATGATCCTGGCTGCTTAAATTTGAGTTTTTTCCAGTAAGTTATAAATGTAGTATATATGTATTTTGTGGTTACATTTAAGTTTCTCGTTATTTTTTATTTTCGTTTTTTTGTAGAATACCAAAAGATGAGGATTCACGAAAGGAATGGACTAAAAGTATACAATAGTACATTACGATACAAGTGCGGGAAAGTAGATTCTGGTCTCGTGTGGCGTTTGAACCCGAGCGAAGCGAGGGTGGAAGGGGACACGAGACGAGAAACTCTTTCCCGAACATGTGCCGTACCGTATTTTTTGATACGACGTGTGGAAAGTGCGATTTTCAACGCACGTTTTCTGCCGAGCGTGCGGGAAAGACGCACTTTGCGCACGGAGTGTCGAAAAATTATTTTAAGACTGAAATAGAATTTAAAAAAAATTCTTGTTTGTGCTATGCATTTTGAAATTTCATGTTTCAACTATGGAGGTTTATGTAAAATAGTAAGACTTAAAAAGGAATCATGTCCAACAAAATTTGAAAAACTGGATCAAAATGAATTAACACAAACCTTATCGGATGCAAATAATTCTGATTTATTTAGTGAGCAAATAGATTTGTCATCAAAAAAAAGTATGGTTGTATCATCACATACAAATTCAACAAATAATCTCAGCATCAGTAAAGATGTTTATGAAAATAACATTTATACAAGGTATGGTTTACTTTACAAAACAGCTTTTTTTTATCTACATTTAAATATAATTTATTTTATGCTGATGTGAATCTTTATTTTAGACAATTATGTGATTGTCAATTACCAAGTTTAGAAGATAATTTTACGAATTACAAAATTACTTGTGAAAGAAAATGATGTAAACAGATGATAATGCTTAACTAGAGTAAAGATTTATCCATTCACGTAGTAGTATGACTTAGACTAATAAGATTATTAAAAGCTTTTCAGATTATAGTAGTGTTCAAAAGAAAGAGACTGAAAGAAATATTTTTAAGAAATAAATATTTAATGTAAATTTAAATTCAATAAACTTAAAAGATACCAACACTGTACGAAGATTACTTGAGAATGCACAAGCAGAGGTTAGAGGTTTACGTAAACAGAGAAGAGTCCAATCAATGAAATTACATCGTGCAAAGAAGAAAATGAAATGTAGCGACTAACTGGTTTTTCAACTAAGAAAACGTAATTTAATATCTGAGAAGGATTTATTCCATCATTAGGGCGCGATCCCAAAGCAAAAGATTGAATAGAATAGTAGGCAGTAAAAAAAACAATTAAAGTGCCTTAACTATCTCAGCTATTGCAACAATAAGTATATATGTTATCGAAAATCGTTTATGATTATCATCCTCCCCCCCTTTGGTGTCTGTATTGTTGTATTTATATTTCTTATTAAATTGGCATGTTTATAATTAAGTAATAAGCTTATTTTTTAATAAATTAAAAGCACTTGAGTTTTATTTCGTATATTACCCACATATATTCTCATATAATACCGTTTGGTTATTTATTAGATTACGTGGGTTAATGAGACAATCAATCACGTGCGACTAGAGAGATAGCATGTAATTTCGTATCTGCTATCGCTCTCGGACTGTTGACACGCTCGGGCCGCTGGAGCGGTACCTCCAGTGTATATGCTCGAAGGCTGACACCGCAAATATTGAACGTCACACGATTACACTCTTAATTTGACGGAATGGGTAACATTGATGATCATTTCTATTATATTGCTTGTATGGCTGTACTATAGGTAGAATAAAAATCCAGACAAGAACCGGTAGGTATTTTCTTTCTTATCCAAATTTTTAAGCAATGTTTTTATAGGAGCTCCGAATATTTAAAAGAAAAAAAATCATACTTTTCTAATGTCTACATATCTCCAATACTAAGAGGTTTTAGAATAAAATAGGAGAATAAAAGGATTTTAGAAAAAAATTCCCTGTTTAACTGCAAAATGTGAAAGTAAAGTTAAAATAAAAAAAAAGAAAAAAATAATTTTCGGTTTTTTAGAATTTGAAAAAAATTGTTCTATCTTTTTTCTAATGTCATGAATAACTATTCAAAAATATATTAAATATAAACAAATTAACCACGTTAAACGATTTAATTAGTAACTCATTTATTATTAAAAAGTGATTATTGTATTAATAACAAATTTTTATACTATTTCAAACAATTAATAATATTCCATTATAAACTTTATAATATTATACACATATAGAATTATTAATAGACATAAATTATTAGAGGAAAGCATATATGAGTGATATATGTGAAAGGTATACAATATATTATAAATGACAAATAAAAATAGATAGGAAGTAGCCGATCAAAGTGTGTGATTATGTGAACAGATTCATCTTCTTTATTTATAAACAAACTCTTGTTAGTGTTGTGTTTTTCAATTATCTGTACATGGATTTACATACGTACATAACTTCCTTTCTATTTTTATTTATCATTATAATGTAGGTATATTTTTTGCACATATCATGTATGCTTTATTTTAATAATTTATATAGACTAATAATTTTTCAAATTAAACTATTTTCATACATTGTATATAGTACATAATACATACAAACATACAACTTACAATTGAACAGATATATATAATACTGATTATGTATAATGAAATATTATTTGTTTATAGTAGTGTAAAAAGTTGATCATAATAAAATAGTTTATTATTTTTAATTTTTTTATTTAATATATTTTTGAAGAGTTTTCATGGAATTAAGAAAAAAAATGATTTCATAATTTTTTTTCAATATCTTTATTTTTACTTTATTTTTATACTTTTCAGTTAAAAAGGCAACTTTTTCTTTCTAACACTTTTTTCTGACATCTCTCAGTATTAGAGATATATAGACATTAAAAAAGTACAATTTTTTTTACCAAAATGCTTATTACTCGGGTAAAAAATTCGCGGGGTGTTATTTTAAAGAGTGGTAAAAAAATGCCTATTAGTTTCCGATGGAATTTTCATCCTATCTATATCCAAATTGGCATAGAATTGAATAGGGATTGACAAAATTAAAATTTTTGAAATTTTTTTAGGCGCAAAATTACAATCTTTTATCTTTTGACTCTATTAATTTTAAATAAAAACTTTTGTTATTACATTCAAATTGTAAACCGATTTTTTTCGATACGATAATTCTTGGTAATGATATAAAACGTTAAAGTTAAACTAATTTTGTTGTAGGTATGGCAAAAGAAATTATCGGATAGTGTACATTAAAATTGAAATAAATATCCGGTAATTAAAAAAATTTGAAATCAGTTTCTATTAAAATATAAAATAAAAAAGAAAATATTTTTCAGCCTGATTGTTTAATAAAGTTAGAATCATCTTCGTTTTTATTTGCTGGACCATTTTTAAGAATCCTTGCCAACAAATGCATTGACCAACTAACACGTTGCTACTTTTTTTATTTAGTAAATTACTTTTATTTTTTCGTATAAATATAATATATGTTCGCGTACGTATGTTGTATGTATATAAATTTTTATTTGTATAACAACAAACAACAAGGAAAAAAAAAAGGATTTATGAAAAATGTTATCTCAGACTTTTAATTCCACTACAAAAACATCAGTTTTATGATCCATAGGAGTGAAAAAAAAAGAAACACTTCCGAGAATAACTCGAAAAAGAATTTCACTGTATAAGAGTGTTGTGGTCGTGGTTACTTCGTGTCTACTCGCCTGCGGGTTCGCGACCGTAACCCTTGATATCAGTCTTTAGAATAGCAGAGTACTCATACCACCCATCTCACTTTGTTCCTTGACGAAGATTTCAAAGTATTGGTAGATAATGGTGACGGCCAACAGAATACCAGTTCCGGAACCGATAGCACCAAGGAAATCAGCCAATACGGAAAGAGCTCCAATACACAAACCACCAAAAGCAGCTGCAGTTGGGATGTATCGGTTCAGTTCGTGAATCAACGATTTCTCACGATGACCCTGCATCACCATCTGTGAATCTTTCAATTGTTTCGCAACCTAAAATTCATAGAAAGAAATTACCAGAACAAAAATTACTACTAACATTTTCATAAGCATAGTTTTATTATTGTACTAACGTCCTTAGCAGAGCTTCCGGAAATTTCAATCCAGCTCTTTGAGAAGAATGCGCAAGATCCTAACATGAAAATTATGTAAAGAACAGCATGAACAGGATCTTGCACAATATGACCAACAGATTCAGGTGGTGAGAGATAGTAACACAGCCCTCCAACTGGATAAGATCTAGCTGGACCACCACCGCCAACATCAGACCAGACACCAAGTAAATTCACAATAATATTTCCATGGAATTTAATAGCCAACATCTGAGATATGACATATAAGTTAGAAACCAGTGCAGACTGGAGAATGATTGGAATGTTGCTAGTGTAGAAAAGTTTGATAGGATAACTACTCTGTTGTCCACGATATCTGGCAGACTTAATTGGAAGATCCACTCGGAAGCCCTGTAAGATATATTACTTTTAAATTAAGAATTGTATGTGTCTGTATTTATACTTGTTTTGAAAAATATAAAGCACGAACAAAATACAAATGAATTAAAATATTATTTTGTCATAACCTGGAAGTATATAACTATAGCAAAGACCAAAACAGTGGCCAATAAGTTCATCAAGTTGGGGAGGTTCTGCCTGTAGAAAGCCTCTCTTAAAGCTCTGACTTTGTCTTGCCTTGTAGCCAAAAGATGGAATAGAGCAATAACAGCACCCTCAAATTCAGTACCTCGTCCCGTATTGACAGTGGTAGGTGAAAAGGCTTTCCAAACAATGGTTTCACAGATGTTGGTAGCAATGAAGAGAGAAATACCACTGCCAAGACCATATCCTTTTTGAAGTAATTCATCAAGTAGCAGTACAATCAATCCCGCAACAAACAACTGAATAATGATTAAAAGACAAACTCCAGCCCCAATTTCAGCAGGATCTCCATACATGCCAGTCATGACATAAACAATAGCTTGTCCAACAGTGATGATCATACCAAACACTAAAAACATTAAACATGTAAAATTTGTTACAAATTAAAATTAATTAATCAAAAAATATTATGAAATTGCATCAATATACGTTTTTGAGCTCCATTGAAAAGAGCCCTATCTTTTGGCGTATCACCAACTTCAATGATCTTAGCTCCAGCCAAAAGTTGCATGATAAGACCCGAGGTGACAATTGGTGAAATACCAAGTTCCATCAAAGTACCTCGATTGGATGCCAGAATTACACGAATCCAATAGAATGGATCTGCGCTGTCTGAAGACATGATTCCAAAGAGAGGAATCTAGATAGCACGAGTATAATTTAATAATTGTTAGAGAAAAGTTTCAAAAAATGTATAAACAAATTGCATTTTGGTTTACCTGGCAGCAAACCAAGAAAATGAAAAGAGTGATTGCAGTCCATAGTACCTTTTCCCTAAATTGGATCTGTTAAAAAATAATATAGATTGAGTTACAGGTAGATAATGAGGCTACCATCTGTCGACATGTATTAAACGACGATGTGATTTGAAAAATGCGCAAAATAATGAAGGAAAAATAAAAAGTTGTATCATCAAAAGTAGCTCGAAATACGGTACTTTAAACGGTACAAACCGCTGACCGATTGTATCTATAATAGCTAATCTTTTGAAAGTCTTCCAGAAATCACTATTAAGCTTACCTTTCTCTGAGGCTTTTCTATTTCTGGCAGAATGCCACAGAAAGGCTTGATTATCTCAAGAAATTTGACTGAAAATAATATATAAGTTAATTGAAAAAGTTGCAATATGTTGATTGCTTGCGTCTCGATCCGGCGCCGCGTGAGATCCACGTTAGCACTGAATTATCGATAAAGTTGAAAAAATAATACTCACTGCCCATTTTATTTCTTTTTGTGCTATCGCGCCATAGATTCACTGACTTAAAATAGTTAATTGATGGTGCAGAAGGTGTCCGAAACCTTGCAGACGTTAAGGTGTCTTGTGTCGCAGCTGCACGTACAAGAGCGAAGAGAACACGCGAGTTGGTCCCGCGAGGTTGCCCCGAAAAAAGTTGCTTTCTCTCTTTCTCTTCCGTTCTTCAATGTAGCCTATGGACACGTATGAATTAAGTGCCCCACTCCTGTCACGTGACTTGATGACGTTACCGCTATGCTTATCTTAACTCTTAACCTGTACGACTATGCGCGATTGTATTATGATTGAAAAGCAAATGTGTCCTACTATTTATTAGTCTCATTTAAATCCCGAACCTACTTACAACTTTTTTTTAAATAGCTACTCATAACAATACTGAATATTCATTATGCTGCGTTACACTTTTTCCATTACATATCAAAGCAAAATTTATTGTAAATTTCCTTCATTCAAAACTTTGTATTGATTTAAATAATCTGATTACAAGCTTATTATTATTCGAAATTAATAAATATATGTAAAAATATTTTATTTTTAAATCACAAATAATAAATAAAACATAAGACAACTTACAATACTATAAAAAAGTTAAGATACAATGAAAATAATAAAATATAAATAAGATTCTTTACAAAGTAAGCAATAAGATTTTTATAATATTCAGAAGATATTTCTTCAAAAAGAATAACATTTCTCAGTTGTATGGAGATAATTTTTATCATGACAACTTTTAACTCTTGTATTCAAAGTTGTAGAAAATACTGTTGAAATCCTAGACATTCTATGGAATCTACGAATTATTTGATAATTATAGTTCAACGTCTCTTCTTTTTTTCTTGCTTTCTTGGCTTGTGTGGTCTCCTAGGAGTCACTTGCGGACTGTTTTCAGAGTATTCAATATCACTAGGATCATCCTGAAATAAAATATAAACATTATGATTTTGTATAGAATCTAAGGGTATAGAAATTAAAACATTGTAAATATTCAATGCTTATATGATTATTTAGTGTAATATTTGTATTTACTTTGAAGGCAGTTATGCCATCAGATGAACTTCCATGATAAACTACAATAGCCAGAATACAAGCTACTTGAAAAACTGTTCCAATATACAATCCATATCGAATTAGCACTTCAAAAAATGTTTCTTCTGGTGGCAGCAACAGTCTTTTTAATTGTGGGTCATAATCAGCCATATCTGTAATTAAAGTTGAAAGAGTAAATTGATGTACATTACACAAAGAATAAAATGATTTCTTTCATTTACTTTGTACAGCTCAACAAATAGAATGAATCTATTAAATTTATGTAAAGTATTGTTTATATCAAATATTGTTTATAGTAACGTTTGTTTTTGGACAATACACTTAATTTATTATGTATAAAACAATATATTTCTTTTTAATTAAAAAATTATGAATCGTAAATCATAAAGAATTAAGACATCTAACATATTAAATATTTAAAATTTTTTAAATATAAGAATTATATATTACTTAGGATTTTATTTAGGTTGTAAGATTGTATATATTCTTTTATATTTCCATATTATTTTTCTCAAAGTAAAGCAATGAAAGCTCTACAAAAGTATTTTTAATATGAATTTTACAATGATCAAATTAACTCACTGATTGTAAAGCTTAAACTTTTAAAAAAAAAAAAATTAATTGCGAGAAGTGCTGTTCTCTGTTTATTATATCATCTGTAGCGGCATTTTTAAAAGAATTCGAAGTCAGTCTTGGCATGAACTATTTTGGCATCAAAACAATAATATTGACATTTCTCGCGATCAATCGAACGAGAGTTTTTAGTCAAGCAGCTATCATTCTGATTTGCAGTTTGTCGCTAAATCCTTTTTCCAGGCCAGCTCGCCGCACAGTGTACATATGTGTGTGCATTTAGAAATCAATAATTTTCAATCAGTCGATTACAAGCTGACTCCATTTTATGCGCGAGATTTGCGTTGTACGAGTGCTGCCAACCTTTGCTGATAATCGACTATTATTTCGGCCCCGCGCCCGCTTAGGCACCGGTAATTTGAGAAAATTCGGCTTCCCGTTTCAGTCTTGAATTTGTCGATTACAACCTTTGACAATCGCACTACTAATACCGAGGACTACACTGCTATTCAATTAGCAGCGAGGGCTGAAATATCGGCGCTTAGTTGCGAAAATGATGATTTTTTTCTGCACCCAGTCGACAGAGCGTGCACTCGCGAGATACAGTTTTGCAGTGTTCAGGTTGGCACTGGACTCGGCCGAGGGGGGCTTGAGCTTCGAGCATTAGACGCCAGATGTTATTTCAGTGCTCACGCTGATAGTCTCGACATCTGCCGTCTTTGGTGCGTAGTCGCGGCCGAACACTTTCAAGCTTATTTTCTTGCTGAACATTCGTGAGAAAGTCAAACAAACAATTGAATGATGCGTGACAAACGATTTAGCATGCGAAATGATCGAGTGACGATCGTGATATGCAAGTTTGATGTGGAGGAAGTGGAAATTTGTAGTTGGCGGGGCGCCGGCAGCGCCGGAAATCATCTGGCTCGGTGGCATTAGTTGCTTGGGAGTCCGTGGACGTGAACCTTTGTTTTGTCAAGAAGTATGGCTGCCATCTTAACTGTCCGATGGATGTTTTCCAAAAAGTTCGCGGATTCTCGTGCTTATTACACTATTTAATAACGTAAATAAAAGTGAGAGCTCGGGGCAGTATCCAGCGCGATGTGACGCATCTTTCTGTCTAGACAAACCAAGCTGCCCTGCTGCCAGATCAACCCGAACATGTTTGTGTTTACATCCGACCTCTCAGCGAGTCTCTCTGTTCCTGTCATTATCAGGTAAGCAAACCCTCATAGACCATAATTCGTCGATAGATCAAGTGCGCGATTAAAAAGTGTCGTCAAACAGTAGTGCGCGATTTTCGAGAGCTCGAACTTATTCCTTGCGCCAGCCGCTTCCTCAGCCCTGGATCGTCGTCTGTCCGACTTAATTTTAATTTCCCCAAATAGCTTTCGCTGTTATCTATTTTAATTTGTATCGTTCTACGATGTTTTCTCTTTTGTTTTCCCGGTAATGCGGTCATTATAGAGAATGAACGCTCGCGACATAACCAAGCTGGTTGTCCGCTACATTTTGGTGCTCTCCTTTACTATAGGCAAGCAAACGCCTACCCATATCAAGCTTTTCAACTTTTTCAGTCTACATTTCTCTCTACCTCCTGATGGACGATTTTCTTAATATTCACATATGCTTTTCGTCAGTCTCTCTATCTCTTTCTCTCTCTTACTGATTCTGGCGATTTGTGTATCGCGCTGATTTTTCGTACTTGCAAACTTTGTACGCGAGCGGCGGTAGTAGCGAGTGTTAAATTAAAAGATTCGAGAAACAGTCGGGTCATTTGCTTATTATACAGACTCTAGATTCTCCTCTCATTGAATTTGCGCTATTTTCACGTCGCATTAGACGACATTTAACATGACTAGCTGCCTTTTCTTGTGTTTCCTCATGAAATTTTTATATTTTTCATTAGCAACTGGGTCAGACTATAGTGTTGAGTAGTAGTCCAACTTGAATTTTCAAATCCACTTGGCACTTTGTTTATTAATAAACATCTTAGAGGGTTTCTGAAGACTTGTTTTCGTCAAACCATTTGATGACCTACAGACTTGTATTTCTAACTTGATTAATGTATGCATACGTATTGTTTCTTTTACACAGTGAGGTTCATTTTTTCAGACTAATCATTAATTAATCATTAATGTTATATACTGTTAGATACTATTATTATCCATTGGTGACTTTCAAATATGTCTAGCTGTATAGAATGGTGTAAATGCTGTTCTTGTATTGAAAATATGTGTGGTAATTAACGTTGCATCATATATTTAACTATGCTTATCTTGTGAATGAGATAAATTTAATGCTACAGAAGTGAATTTAATCAACAGCATATATACCCTTGTTGATTATACAACAGGTCTATAGTTATGCTTTGAAATCAAACTAGTTATTAGTGCTATTGATATTAGTAAATATCTCAGTGAGGTAGAAATTAAAAGGATTATATGGATGCTTGGAAAAAAAGTAGATGCAACAGTTGAGTCTTATAGAATACATCATTTTCTCGCTATCCAAGTCTGGAACTTGTGTTATTGATGAAAATTAGGATGGCTAAAATTGATCATCCAAGAAGCATAAAAGAAAATAGAATATGGAAAAAGTTAGTTTGCAGATGGGTGTTATGATATAGATCTAACCAGGGTATCTTTCACTGTTAGGTGTAGGTTATTTGGACTAATGGTATCCTAAAATATCAAGATCATGTAGCACTACGGATATAACCTCTGAGCCGTTATATCGTTCAAAAAAGGCATCATCTAACATCATATATATATATACATAATACGTGCATGTATATGTAACGACACGTACATGTGTAAGCGAAGATTGGTATATTACGTAGTTAGCAATGGTTAGCTATATATATACATATACATAATATACATCTGATGATGGCTATGGCGTTGCGTTAGAGTGCGAAAGAGTGAAAAATGCGTTGGCGGCCTACAGACGGCGCTGTTGTCAGGCGCGAGCTAGCTGATGTCGGCCATCTTGCTGGATGTCAGTGCCCCTCCTTTCCTGCCATAATCTCACCCTCCGCCCCCGGCTCCTCCCTAAACACGTTCTCTCTCTCGCTCTCCTCGCTGAACAGTTCTTTTCCGTCTATTATTCCTCACTCCTTCCCTCTTTCTGTCCGCTTGCTCACGCAACACAGACACGCGCGTGCATGATTCGCAATACACACAGCTGATGCTTTGACTTGGCGCAGGCGCGCAGTGGCGGCGAGACCCACACACAGCACGAGCATTGTATACTCAGCTTCGAAAACATCGATTTTTTTTTCCTCTTTTCTTCGCTCGCTCACTCACTATGGCGACGATTTTTTTTCCTTCTTTCCCGTCGACATTGCACGTATGCAAATTCGACGCCGCGCAAAGTCTTATCTGTTCGGTCTTTTTCGTTTTTTTTTTTTTTTTTTTTTTTTGTACCGCTGGCTGGTTTAGAAAAGAACGGATTCGAGGAAAAAAGTGCACAGCATGCGACGAGCGAGCTCGAGCGCCGGAAGCCGGGAATGCCTTTGAATCGGCTAATTACCGCGCGGACCCTCGTGCGTTTTTATTCGATGTAATTGCCTAACCGAATCCCGTCATGTGTGCCTTTTTTTTTTCTTCTCTGTCTTTCCTGTCGCATCGCGCTAGCCGTGCGCGCCAGTCGTATACCTCGACAGACGCTCGTCGATCATCGTAATTTCTTTCAGGCCCGCTTGTTTTTTGCAGCTCGCCACGAACAAAGAGAAATCGAGCGAGGCTAGCCGTTTCCAAAGCGATGCCGTGTGCGCGCACCAAGCCGCAGATTGAATTCCAAAGCAGCCCCTTTGAGGACGCGCGGCACAGACAGCGCCGGGGTACGTCTTCCCGGCGCGCGGCCGTCGGTGTTTTTCGAGTTGCGGGGGAGCTTTCGCCATATTACCACCGTCTCAACCTACCTCAAGCTTTTTATCGACTCGCGGGGCGAGCATGCCACGCGGCACATGGCGTGCGTTACACGCGAGCGCGAAGCTTCGCTCGCGTCGCGTTCGCTTTGTCTTGGCAACAAGTGTCTTCTTTGCGAGAAACGACCGACCAGGCCTGCATTGATTCTCGAGCTCCGCGTTCCTTGCGAAATTTCGCGCGGCAAGACAAGAGAGATACAAAAGCCGCGTAGGCGGAGAGGAGTTGCGTGGCGAACGCGCGCATCGTGCCGCGCGCCAATTCGTATCGACCCCCTCCCCCTCCCTCGCTCTTGCTCCCTTGCCGAGAGAGCACCGGTTTGTTGTCAGCCACCGCTGGCTTACGCGCTCGCGGGCAAACTTATTACTCGTCGGCGAAATATATAAGTGAATCTCTTTACATGCTCAGAGTCAGTCGAGCTTTCTGCGTCGTGACATTTCAATTGCTACTAACTATTTTACGATCTTCGAACCAACGTCTCTTTTTTCCAGAAGCACCTCTATATACTTTTTAAAACTTAAGCAAGGGATGACAGAAAAAGCTCTCGCGGTAGCTTAAAAAAAAGAAAAAAAAGACGCGAGAGGGTAGAAAAAAAGTGAAAAAGAAGAAACAAGGATCGATAAGCCGACGTTGGCCGTAGTGGTGGGTGCGCGCTCAGCCCCCCGCGCGCTCGAAGGAAGCTGAGCCGCGCATTGGTCCGCGCGGGTCTTGACGTCAGAGAGAGAGAGAGAGAGAGAGGAGAGGAGAGAGAGAGAGAGAGAGAGAGAGAGAGAGGGAGAGAGAGGGAGAGAGGGAGAGAGGAGAGAGAGAGAGAGAGAGAGAGGAGAGAGAGGAGAGAGAGAGGAGAGAGAGAGAGAGAGAGAGAGAGAGAGAGAGAGAGAGAGAGAGAGAGAGAGAGAGAGAGAGAGAGAGGAGAGAGAGCGCCACATCACGCATACATACTCAGCCCGTCGCTCGCTGTGCAGGAGGGGATCCTTGCCTCCGATGATAACCTATTGTCCCTGCGCGTCCTTTGTTTTTACTTTCGAAACCGCGAGGACGACCGAACTGTCGGCCTTGCTTATCGGACAATTCTGTTTTTTTCCCCCATGTCACGCTGGGGTGTCCGGCCAAGTTGCTTACCCTGTAATCTAGCTACCCTCCGTCTGCCTATTCGCCGCATCGTGTAATAAGTAGCTGAGGGACAGGGACTCGCATGCGCTGCCACAATGAATAGGCGAACTGCGAGCGAAACTATCGATTCGCGCGATAGAGCCATTTCGGCCAACATTTCGCGACGGAACCGAGCGCCACTGGCGTGGCATGGAGCGCCACGGTCTTGGGAAATGCACACAATCTTGAGCGAGCGCTCGCCGCCAGTGGCAAGAAAAAGCGCGGAATCGCGCGTACATTGCATTATTCATAAATACAAGCCATTTCTCCCCTCCACCACGAGTGTGCGCATCGACTGTCCGTCCTAGAAAATGCAATGCCGACTCGGCGACGTGTCGCGCGGTATAGCATTTAAAATAACTATGATCTCAGCATAAGCGCGAGGCTGACGCGGATAATGATTCGTCGTGCTCGTGCAAACCAGTTATGCCTGAGTTTTGATACGGCGAATGAGCGAAAGAGAGATCTCTCTTTCTGGCAAGTGACGAGGGTGGAATTAATTGAAAGCAAGCGTCGAATCGACGGCGATGGAGAGGAGGGAGAAAGAGAGAGAGAGAGAAAAAAGGGATTCACGCGTATTATTTATAGCTCGAACTGCGACGCGACGACTGGGACGACGCCGATTAGACTTGTTAGCAAGGGGCAGAAAGACCGAATCGAGGCCCTTCTTTCTTCACCTCCAGTTTCAAATTTGACATTATAGAATTGCATCGTAACTCGAGCGCGACTATAGAAATTCTCCGAAGGCAAACCGTGCACATTCGTTTGCGAAACAAAAATATAAGGTAGAGCCCCGTGGAAGCTCGGGAAGGAGGAGGATATCGCCCGCTCGCTTGGTCTCGCGACGAAGAGGGGGAAGCGAAAGAAAAAAAAAAAATTCTATACGTCCGTACACATACACGCACATCGAATAATCTATGAGTCGTTAATATGAATTGTTCATCGGGTCGAAAGCGCGTCAGCGTTGCCTTCGAACGAGCAGCCACAAAAAAAAAAAATTGATTTACCATCGCAAAGATAACTGCGCGACGATGACGACGGCGACGACGACGACGACGACGACGACGACGAAAAAAAGAGCGCAACCTCGAACTGGCAATAAACTTTTTTTTTATCGTTTTCAAAGCAACTATTTCCAAACAGCTTTAACGAGCGTTGCGCAAAGAAAAAAGCGTTAATTGCTCGGTCTACACGAAAAAAAGCATCGGAACTTAGCACGCTCGACGCGCGTGAAATTCGGCTAAAAAAAAGCTCATCGCGTCGAATAATAGACAAGAGGCGACCGCAGAGAGAAGCAAGCATATGTGCGTGTGCAATAGGAGAAAGCAGCAAACGAGCGAGCAGCAGCAGCAGCAGCAGCAGCAGCAGCAGCAGCAGCAACAGCAGCGTAACCTTGGACTTAATGGCGCGCAGTCTAGTATGCGTCACTGACCTCTCGCTCTGTCCTTCTCTCACTCGCTTCGCTTCGCTTTACGAATACACACACATACACACACGCCCACACGCGCGCGCGCTCACATGCATACACACACAGCGCGCGCACACATACATACATACACAAAAGCTAAGAAGACGAGTCAATGCCCTCGGGTGCCCGATCTTACGCTCAGCTTTTGAATAATTTTCTCAAAATAACATCTTACTAAGTGTAGGTTTTGTATTAATTATAACGGTCTATGGAAAAGAAATTGGCCATAAATTTGAGAGACAACGGCACTAAAGTGCGGAGAGCAGCGACGGCTGGTGCTGCAGTTACCAAAGAATCAATGGCAAAGGGTCGAGGTACGGCAAGTAGGTCGCAAGCGGAACATACAGCACACGATTCGCATAGAGAAATGCATTGCTGCCAACAAACGCGTGGCGCTAGTTTACTGTGTGCTGGCGACGCAACACATAAACACACGCATACCAACGATCCTAATCGCGTTTCCTCTCTCCATTCTCTTACACGCGTATACTCGGCCAAATTTAAATAGTAAAGTCTCGAAACGCGAATGGGAGCTTTAGGAAAAACTTAATCATTTTTAGGACATCAAAGTATTTTAGGAAAAACTGAAAATCGATCAAGAATAATGTTTTTTACAGATGTACAGGTTAGGTAACCCTCCACCCCTTGCCTTCTATTGAGCCTTTACACGGCTGATTCGATGAAATACAGTGTTTGTTGTTGGCTTGTGTGACCCTATTTGTATGCACTTATCTATCTTGATAAACACCTGACGTCTCTTTTTCTCCTCTTGACGTTGACAAACTTTCTTATCTTAGCAGAGAGAACAGTCAACAATGAGGCTCTCGTTATCGACGAGATTTTACCTCGGAGATATTCCAAAGAAAATTCTAGGCCAATGCGTATGCGTCTCTCTCTCTCTCTCTCTCTCACTCACTCACTCTGAAATCGGCGGAGTTTTCAGCTCTATAATCGCTATATTTATCCTCCAAGGCCTGGGAGCGTCGGTGGCAGTGGCGAATTCCTGGCAGACGACAAGGAGGACAACGCGCGAGCACATACGCGACATGGAGAAAGAAGGAATCGCGAGCTGCATGCGACAAACTTTGCTTGCACTCGTGAAGAAATTTCCCGCTGCTCCTCTGTCTTTTTCTCTTGTTCTTTTGCTAAATAGACTCGCGACTCTCTCCATTCTACACCAATGGTATTGCGTTGTGAACAGCGATGACACAACGCGAGCAAACGTAAAAATCATTAGTAGATTTTTCTTTTTCGGGCACAGTTAGCAATGTAACGAGAGACAGAGAAGGTGGGGGGGGGGGGGCTTGACCCGTTTCTCTTTTGTATGTGACGTGAGCGCTGTGTTAGAAACGGAATAGAACTCTGCTTGTGCATTAGAAGTGCAAGAACCGCGTGAAAGCTGTTTCTCTTTCTCTCTGTCTCTCGTGAAAGTCCCTCTGCATAGTCCATTCTTTCCCTCTCGATTTCTCGATTGCCGAGAATGCAATTGGCGAGAGAGCGGGGTCCCTTTCGATCTCTCGACTATGCCATTGCTTTTTTTTTCCTTTGGATTTGTAAGCTTCAACGAGTTTTCTTGCTACGATTTTCCAACCTCATGATTATGCGCTTTTCAATAACTTCGATGGCTATCGATCTAATACCACTTTCTAATCGTTATGCACTTTTCATTACAAATCTTTTCCTGTTCTTTATGCTATTCTCATGCAATCGATAGAATTGAATGTTAACAGACTTCGCAATACCGATAATAATATTTCCGTAAACATCTTTTTTGTGCGCTGGGATCACTTAGCTTGTCAAAAAATATTCAGGATCTGTCTCCGGCATAGATTTAATAACTTGAAAAATTTCACTTTTCATTCGTAACATTTTTTCTGAGATTGTGGATCGACGAGAAAAACTACTTGGAACCCATTTTGTTTCAAATCCGAGAAGCTGAGGAATTTATTATTTTCACGGACACTTAATTTTACTAGTGATTATTGACAAATTGTTGATAATAGTTTAACCGACAGTCTAACCACAATATAGTAAAAATAAAGATTAGATTCGAAAAGTCAAAAAACACAAAAACAAACCTTTGTTAGTGCATCAAATTGTAAAGAAAAGCGGTTGGCACCTTCATAGTTGGGCTGCCCGATCATTATCTGTTTAGGGTACGAAATCATACCTCATTAAATTTTTTGACTAACTAAACCCTAAACCAAAGTACTTAGTGACACTTGTATTGGCTATTCGTGTCTCGAAGGCGCACCAGTCCCTCAACAGGTCAAAAATTTGAAGGTCTATTCATTGGGTGCAGGTACCGACAAGGAGAAAGGCCATTTAAGGGCGAAAGGTCATATTTGAAGGTACTGCGAGAATCCTCACGTTGATTTCTCGGTCGTTGAAGGTTCAGGGATGGTTCCTACTACAAACTGGTACTTATTGAGAATCAATTACCGTCAAATTCATCACCATAAATTGATTTAAAAACAAATAATAGCTATTCTTTTATTTATGTTTTAGCCTCCGACGATATAAAATCCTCAAATAATCGACAACGAGAACACAGGAAAAAGCAATTTGAAGCGCAACCGAACACGGAAAGGAAGACATCATCATTATCGACTACCAAGCAGAACCGTAACTTCTCGAGCAGAAAATATTTTTGAAAATCCAGTTTAAAAAAGAAGCGACCAGCAATAATCCGTAATCGCGTTGTTGATCGATCGAGCGATCGGTGGCGAGACCCACCACCAAAACTGCAGCCCCGCAAGGCCTCCAAAACGTCGACCCCTGGAATAATTAAGTTACCGGGGGCCGGAGCAGACGAGTCGTCGTCGGCTCAGCAGCAGTCGTCGTCGTCGTCGTCGTGCTCGTCGTCCCCCGGGCCAACCGCCGCCTGCGAGCGTATCAGCAGCAGCAACCCTAGGCATCGTCTGCAATGATGCCGCGACCGCGCGCCAGTCGTCATCATCCTCATCGGCGACGATGCCGCCGCCCCAAGAAGAACTGGCGACGCTTAGACCGCTCGGCCAACAGCAACCCGGTACACTCATGCCCAGCAGCCCTAAGCCCGTCAGTCAACAGAGCCTCGCCCACCTGTACGCAGCCCCACAGAAGATGGCCAGCCTCTACTCCATCCCCGCGCCCACGGCCAAAATGCAAGTGCTCGCCGAGGCTGCCAGCCGCGAAGCCGAACACCAGAAGCAGCAACAGCAACAACAACAGGGGCCTCAACTCATTCGCAGAATAGCGGTACCCGGCGCGGTAGCTAACAAGTCGACACGCGTACACTCGTTCGCCGTGCAGGTGAACCATAAGCAACAGCCTCCACAGCTGTCCTTCAAGCCGCTGGGTCCACAGGCGAGCAACGTAGTGAAGAGCAACAATGTATCCAGCATCTCTAAGTTGCATAACTCCAATATCGTGCTCAAACCTCAGCAGCAGCAGCAACTACAGCAACAACAACAGCAGCAGCAACAACCACAGGCAACTGCCGTACGTGGCCAGAGTGCAGCCACCGTGCGAGCACCCGGTCAGCCACAAACGCAGGTTCTCGTCAAAGTTGCTCCGCCTCTCAACGCAACTGGCAAGGTCGGCCAGACGAAGACCACCAAGCTGGTAAATGCTGTGAAGCAACAACAGCCGGTTATTCATCGTCAGGTGATCATTCCGCAGTCCAGTTGTATCAAGGCTGTGCCCCAGAAAAATAGTGGTTCGCAGCTGCAACCAAAGCCTAACATCGTCAAACTCAATGCTGCTGCTGCTGCTACGGCCGCGGCTAATCTCAATGCTATCAAGAATGTACCGACGACGGTCTCGGTGATACCGACCCTCAATGCTTTGCAACCGGTCAAAGCCAACATCAAGACTCTTCTGCCCCAACAGCCCACTAGCGCTATTGTCGGCAACGTGGGGGTACTCCACAAGGTATCTACCCCAGCGTCCAAAATTATCCAGCAACAACAGCAGCAGCAACCACAACAGCAGCAACAACCACAACCAGTAATATTACCACACAAGCAGGTAATCATGTCTACTACATCATCTGTGCAGTATGTCCCACCGGTCAGACCCTTGTCTGGACAGGTCAAGACCATTATTCCCGTTGGACTGGTAGAACCTAAGAAAGAAAATGACATCAAGTAAATTGTTTGATTTTTAGTCAATTATTTGAATTAATCGCAGATTACTTATCTTCATTTACCTATCTTATAGAGTCGAGGTAAAAACTGAAATAAAGCAAGAGGACGATATAGCATTGAGTCCTTATCAATTGCATGCCGTTCAAAAGAGAATGCCACTGCCCTACGAGGTAAGCAAAAGACTTTTTCGTCTTTTGTTTTCAGTTTCTTTTGCTCTGTGTGTTATTTGATAGCATTTTGTGTAATCAGTGTCTCCAGTTTGTTCTCCAAGATCACAATTACGGAGCTCCACCGCCGAGAACACCGCCACCGCCATCGCCACCCCCGCATCCTGTTATCGTGAAACCGACGGCGGCGCCGCCCGTCAATGGGACACCCAACACATGCATACCCGTTCAGCATCCGTTTGTATTTAATCAAGGTAATTAGAGTTTCGCTAGAAATAAATTTGACGAATATATTGTAAGTGCTTTTGAAAAAGCAGTTGAAATCGCAGCAGTACCGACTGTACCCCCTGCACCAGTGGAAGATGACGCAGCAAGTGCCATAAGCAGTGACAATGGCCGGGAAGTCGAACCCGAGGGCGAAGAAACCGAAACTGCGCCCGAAGGTGAAGGAGACGAAGAAGACAGTGTTACTCGTTGCGTTTGGTAAGTCGGTGATACCAGTATTTATAATATTATCTTGTGGTTAATTGAACTTGTATGTTTACATTTTCTTGTTCTATTAATAGCGATTTCGAGCACGACGATGGTTATATGATTTGCTGTGATCGATGCCTGTAAGTATTAAAGTTATACATAAATGGAAGAAGTACAAACGTTATCAAACGTACATTATCTTGGAAATATTTATCTCTTTTCAGTGTTTGGCAGCATGTCGACTGCATGGGTATTGATCGTGCCAATATTCCGGACGAGTACCTGTGCGAGGTTTGTCGGCCACGACGAGTCGATCGTTCACGCGCACGTGCTTTGCAAATGCGTAAACGCGAAGAACTTCGTAATTTGGACTCTGCTTCGGATTCTTCGTCTTCGAGTTCTGGCGATTCCGACGCCGGTCACAATGTACCAGTAAAAACTCGCAAAATTGCTCAACACTCGGGTGCAAGAAGAAAAAACGATTCAGCTCCAGTGCGCAGGCTAAACAATAATAACAACAATGTGGCGAAACGGCAAAGAAGGGAAACTCAGCGACAATCCAGCACGATAAGAAATAAACAAAAAGAGACGCCAATACAACCTGCTAAACAACGACAGACCGGAAAGAGAAAAACTAAAAGACGAACAAGCATAGAAGACAAAGATGAAGATGTACAAGATGCTTGGGGCTCGAACATGGCACCGCTGAGACAGTGGATCGAAAGGTATGAGGAAGCTGTTACGAATCACTACAGCCCCGAGCTTAGAGCTAGGATATCTAGTATCAAGGTCAACGGTACACATAATGATCTCAAACAAAGTAACATCGGCACAGCGGCTACTGGCAAGTGCCGTTTGAACATCCAGAGTAATAGTGTTAGAGTAAGTAATTTTGTATTTTCTATCAGTCGTAAGTCACGCGTTTTCTTTTGTTTTTTCTTTTATTTTAACAAACAGTTAGAACTTTTAGTCAACATTAAATTCGATGGCAACTGTTAGCTCTTGTTATATCTTCGTATTATTAATATAATTTTATGAAAAAATGAAATATCAAATTTTCGATATTAAAAATTGACATTCCTAAATAAGTTTAAAGACTCATTTTATATTAATTAGTATACTAAGAAACATTTCGTTCAAGTAGTTTAACGTACAGTTGACTATTGTTAATATCTTTTGATTGACATAAAGTATACTATTACTAATGAATAGCCGTGAAATCAGGGATACTACATGAAAAATATATTTACAGTATCTGGTAGCGACGACATATTTGCCAGCGAACACGCCAGTTGTGGAACTACGTGGCAAATACATGCTCAGTACGCAGCACAGGCCGTCACATCCGCAGGGTCGTCAGCATGCGCAACGTCCAGGGCCATTTGTGTTTTTTTATCGGTTGCCGCGGGACGGCACCGAGGTTTGTGTGGATACCCGGACTTACGGAAACGACGCTCGTTTCGTCCGACGAAGCTGTCGTCCGAACGCTGAAGTGAAACACTGCATTGAAAAGGGAATTTTACATTTATACATTGTGACTACAACAGCCATTGAGAAGAATGCTGAGATAACGATACGTCATGACCAACACGACCTCGTACTCTCACCCAACTCTAACTCGTCCGCTATGCCAATCATGTGCGCATGTAATAATCCTAAAGAGTGTCAGATAACTACTCTTAATTCCCCACCTACCACCAGGAGAGGGAACAACGGTCCTCTAGCTGAAAATACCGAGTACGATTTCTCGTTCATTATTTTAATAATTACTTTTAACAACATTGTGTATAATATATTATACAAATGTATTATAGTAAACATTATCTATTGATAGAATTTTTATCGTTTATCTAAAACAAATTAATTTACATGCGCATCCCTACTTAATAACTACAACAAACTCGAGTAAAACATTTGTTTTTACAAAAAATATACGTTTTTTACATAAAAATAATTTTTCACTAGTTTTTATAATTTTGACATTTTTTACAGTGGCAGAGAACGAAGGCGACGAGGTAGACGAAACACTGCAAGTGAAGATACTGTTAATGAAACCGTGTCGTCACCAAACACAACGCCGACGGCATCATGCAGTACTACGACAACGGTATCACAAACAACCTCAACGCCACCAACTCCAACCCAACCGAATCCAAAGAAAACTGTCACTATCAATCCGAATGTAATTATCAGAGAAAGTCCGAGTGCAAGTACAGTGAGCAACGTTAGCAGTGTTGCTAGTAGCAGCAGTAGCACTAGTAATAGCGCTGCTGTAACTCCCGCGGTTACTCGTCAAGCAGCGAAAGAAGAACAGCAACAATTGCAGCAGCAACAACAACAACAACAGCAGCAGCAACAGCAGCAGCAACAACAGCAGCAACAACAAGCACAGCAACAACAAGCACAGCAGCAGCAACAACGACAACAATCACCACCACAGCAGCAACCGGCGGTAAACGTTCAGACAACGCCAAGTACAAGTCATCAAACGTCTACGAAAGCAACAACGATACCAGTAACGCCTGTAACTTCGGAGACCAAAAAAGAAAAAAAAAAGATGACGCGCGAAGAAAGGAAGATGGAAGCTATCATGAAGGCATTCGAGAGATTAGAAAAAGCTGAACAAAGAAAACAAGAGGTGCAAGCTCGAAACGCTCAACGTAAGGATGGACACAGCGACAACGATGAAAGTGGTGGTCATGCGTCCATAAAGTCGAAGCAAAGCAACGTTGACAAGGGACATTCAAAGCGTAAGCGGCGGAAAGGCAGAACAAGGTCTACCAGCACCTCGCAGCCTCAAGGCGTCACTCGCAGAACCCGATTGAACTCCGCCGAGTCTGACTTGACTTCGGGCGACGAATGCAACTCCATACAGTCTCCACCACTGCCCAACCAAAACTGCTCGTATTCACTGCGTATGCAAACCGCTAAAGAGTCGGGTAGGCCCGGTAATAGTAGCGGGAGCAACGCGCAGCAAATACCGGCAGCAGCCGATCTGTTGCTGGCGCTCGCGAATTCCAACGTGCCGGGCTCAACCTCACCCCAGCAGCGTCCTACACCCGCCAAAAGTCCAACCTGTGACAGCGGAGCAAGCAGCAGCTCGCAGAGCTCAACTCCGTCAACCCCCTTGTCCTCGGCATGTCTACTGGTGGCCGCGGCCGTTGGTCCCCTTGCCCCAGGCTTCAAGTTCCCCAAAACTAAAAAGGTATTAATGAACGAATGGCTGAAGGAATCTCCTGAGCCTCAGTGTCAGCCAACCGAGGCTCGAGGCTCCGAGTTTCCATCCGAGCCGACCTCGGACTTCCTCTCGCAAAACTACGCAGCCAAAAGTCTCGCTACCCTCGTACAGGCAGCACACAGCGTCTCCAACATCTGCGACTCGCCACCCCAGCGTGGCAAGCAGCAGTCAGCCTCGCAGTCGACCTCGAGCGGCGGCTCTGCCAAGAAGCGCTGGCTCAGGCAAGCCATCTCCGAGGAGTGCGACTCGCCGAACAGCAGCAGCCGGCCCGAGAGTCCACCCAGCGAGATGGTCGCTCCTCCCAAGAAGCGACGCATCGCTCGGGAAAGCCTCTCATCCGACAACTACACGCCACCAACGACTCCGACCATGATGCAACAGGACAGCGGTAGTGCATCCCAGCATCGGCCATCCGTCCACGAGGTATCCAGTCCTTTTTACGGCAGCGATCAGTTTTTCTCTAACTTGATCGTTCGATTGCGCCGTTTTCACTGCGCAATTGACGATTCGGTTTGTGCAAGCACATTCACAACATGTTCGCTGCGTAAATCCATCATATCTCCATTTTTCAGTTCAATGTAATTGTCACTTTACTTTTATTATAAGCTTTGTCGACTGTAAGTCACTACTTTAAGAGTCCACGCACAACTCGTAAGATTAAGATTTTCACAATCTTTTACAAAATATTCTGACTATTTCGTCTGTTACAGCTATTTTAGACGACAATCCAAGGTCATTTAATTTTTACTTTAACTCTTCTCTAATTTACCAACGAAGATCTGCTCATTCTAAAAAACGTAATTGATATTTGATTCTCATAATTTGTTGTAAATAGTCGATCGTATTTATTAAGCACTCGAATCGTGCACCTTTTAGAACAATCAGATCAAAAAAGCAAGGTCCAAATATGAAATGTAAATTTTTATGATTTATACTTTAAGTTTCCAGTGAAAACATTCATGGCCATATTTTTATCGCAGCGAACGTGTTGAAAAAAATTTTCAAAAATAAATTTCATGTTCACTTGTATGTGGTACATTTTTAAATTACTGTGAAATCACGCTTAAAAATTTATGCATGAAAGTTGGTTTTGTTTGAAAATGTTTTAATATTCTCAATAACCCATTGAAATTCATTATAAAAAATTTTAATCAACATGATAATCGTGTTTGCATGAATTTCGGAAAAATAAGTATATATCGCTATCATTTTTGATAGATATGTATGAGAATACTTTCATTTACATTTACTTAGCTTTCTTTATAAAACATAAATGTCATGTAAGTAATGTATATTACAGGATGATTATATGGAACAGTTGCCATCGCCAAGTACCGAAGATATGGGATCACAAAATGAGTATGATTCAGACCAAATTAAAGATGAAATAAAAGCAAAATCTACGGAAGAAGTAGACACCAAAAATGTCATTAACAATTCGGCTGCTTATGATTCTACTGTCAGGAAGATTGAAACTAAATATCATTTTAATTTGAAATCGACAAAGGAAATAACATCAGAGGAAGATAAAGTTAGAAGTAAATGTAAAATGGAAACTAAATTTTCATCGCACAGAAAAGCTGAAACTTATTCGTCTACACCGAAACTTGAAAGAAAACCTGTAAAAGTGGAAGAAATTATAGAGCAAGGTACCGTAGAAATAATCGATCAGAATGAACAAGATTTGGAAGCCGATGACTTGAGTTCACCAATAGCTGCTATGGAGTCGGATTCCGAATTGAAGAAACGGGTAGCAGAATTAAGATTGGAGTTCGGTGGAGGTATGGCGGACTTTGCAAATAGCAGTGCTGAAACTGAAAAATCTTTTGAAGATTTGAATGATTCTACCAAGCCAGAAGAAGATAGGTATGCTGATCAATCGTCTGTTGATGAATTTGATGTTGAGGCTCAGATGAAAAAGATCACTGGTGACGATGGGGACGATTATAAAGAAAGATGCGATACCAGCTCGGAAAAAGATAAAAGTGTTGACGGGATTGAAGGACTAATGGAAAGTTCGAAAGAGGATTCAGAGTCAGATATAGATGATCGGGATGCAGGTGACTCGAAAGACTGTAGTAACGCTGATGAAAAAGGCAGTGAACAAGAAAAAACTGTAGTAGAAACTGAAGAAAGAATTTTTAAAGAGTTTGAATGTAAAAAGAGGCCCATGTCACTGGAGGAGGAGTTCGAAGAGATAAAAAGATCAGCGAAATCAGCTGTAGAAGAGGTGAAAATTCTGCCTCATTTAGTTGATAAAGAATCACTAGACTCGATAGAAAAGGAAATAGAAGAACAATCGGGTTTAAAAAAAATCGTTTTGCGTTTGGATAATGAATTACTGAAGCCAGATTTAAAAATGACACTTACACCTGAAGAGTCCATGATGGAATTAGATTCTATGGAACTACCTTCTGAAGAAACCTCTGAAGAACAACCAAAAGTTTTTCCATCTATTCCACCGTTGAGTGAAAGAATTCGTAAAAAAGCAGATCCTAACCCAACTGCAAAGTCAAAACTAGATGAAGCGTCGATTATTGAATCTTCACTAGATTTGGAACTTGTAGAGGATGGTCAGACCTGCGAAGAGAAAAAAATTATGTCTACAGCCTTACGAGAACTGTTAGAGGCTAAGATTGAAACCGAAAAAGAGCCTGCGCCTCCTGTTGTAAATAAAATTATATTAGAGAATAAGGTTAGTCCTCAACCCGAAATAAACCCAATGAAAGCTTTAATTGAGAAACCTGTAGTAGAGCCATGTACAGTACCACCAGCATCACCGTCACCGTCACCATCACCGACACCATCACCGTCATCACCACCACCACCACCACCACCACCACCACCACTACCACCACCTACTGTCGATGAAATTAAAAAAGATGTAGTTATTCCTGTAGCGAAAAAAGAAGAACCTGTACCCCCAGAACCCAAAAGGCTAAAAGATCCTAGAACGGTTGTGCCAAATAAATTATCGGCGCCGTCGCCATTAAAAAATGAGGGCCCACCGCCGATAAAACGGAAGGTAAATTTTGCAATACAAAAATAAACAAATAAAATCATTAAAACCAGCAATTCATATTTATAAATTAAGAGTAATTCTTTATTTTTCTTTGTTTCAGCTTTCTATTTCCGAATACCGAAAACGTAAACAACAGTCGTCAGAGACACCACTGGAGCCCGAAAATTCTGAAACCTCGACAGATGGTAAAAATACAAGTAGGGGTCGATCTGATAGTGCTAGTAGTGGCACATCCTCATTGAGCTCCGACGATGAAAGTGCGCCTAAACCATCTCTTGAACTACCTAGTCTTAACACCTTGCCTCTTTTTACTAATACTGAAGGAGAAGAGAAAAGGGGTAAGTTTAAAACAATGAATTATCATTAAAAGTTTGAAAAGTTTGTCAAATAAATAGAATTTTTTCTCAAAGCAGGTGGCGAGGATGGAAAGATCGGTTGGTCCGCTGCACCTACATTAGTTGAACGACAGCGCGAAAACCTTACAGAGCGATTAAAACGGGAATTTGGACTTTTCTTGAATGACGATGAAGAAGAAAGAGTTAGGAAACAGGGTAAATAGTAAAAAATTAACTAAAACATTTGATTTATGTATCGCTCAAAATACTAAAATTTGATATAAACTTGAAGGTTTAAATAACGAAGGTACCCTGAAAACAGTAGCAGCGGTACCACCTAGTAACACGACAGCTGTTGGCTTTCCTGTCGCGCAATTACCACCTCAGCCATATATTCCACCTCCAGGATCGACGTCAGTTCATTATACACAATACCCACCTAAAGCAGCGGGAACAAACGTAGTTCAATATCCAAATTATTCCGTACCGCCACCTCCGATCGGTGCAGCAAGTTACCCTCCACCGCCTATCACTCAACCAGGTCCAACTGGAGTCCAACCAACTGCAACGGGAAGTCAACCATCGTTTCCACTACCCCAAGCACCACCGGGTTCGAATCCATATCCACCAACGCAACCACAGTTTTCCGCAACCATAGCGACGACAACGGCAACGCAACCTGTAGTTGTTCCATCAGTTCCGCCGCCTGTACCGGTTCCACCACCTAGTACTACAATATCACGTTTCTCGTCAGCGACAGCCCAGGCTACCGTTCAGCCCGTGCTTACTTATTCAATGCCACCGCCACCACCGCCTCAAACGCAAAAGACCTTCTACAATCATCCCACGCCAAGGTCTTAATTTTTAAACACAAAAGCAACGGACGAACAATTTTATCTCAACTTTCTATTTTGCAATTCCAGTTAGGTGATTTTAGTTATATCTATATGCAATTCATGCGTATTCACATGCAATCAGCCATTGGTTAGGCTACGTAAAATGAAAGTTATTAGTAGGGCAGTATTGAAACGTTGACAGAGAAACGTCAAGGCATTTTCTCATTCCACTGGATTTTTTGTTTAGCTAAAGACGAAGCACGATCAGCGCAAGCTTGAACGGCTCATCGATAATTACGCACTTTTCTTTTTTAATGATCATTGAAGATCAGAATTTTCTTTGACAGATTATAAAAAAGTAAATTTATAGTCGTTTCATATACGTGTAAATATATAATTTTACGTTTTTGCATAATGTAGAATATATTCACAGTAAGGTATCTGTTTTTAACTAAACAAACACTATAAAGACGTCACTTAACAGTTAATATTCTAGATTACGTAAGAGACCGTCTTATACAGTCTTGTTCCTTTTTGGTTTTCGTTTTTCCATTTTTTTTATTATTGAATTCTTTGTTTTTATACTTTGTCTTCGAGTGTCAGCAATAAAAGCAATTAGCAAATTAACTTACGCTGAATACTGGAGTTCCAACTAACTTATATTAGTGGTTAAACATTTTGCAAGGTAACATACCGATAAATATGTTCAACTACAATCGATTATTTATACGTGAGAACATTGGTGCTTTCAGAACATGGTTAAACATTAATTTTTCTACGTGTTAATATTAGTTCTTTTACGGTTATCGGTCTCTACGTTACGGATGCAATTACCCCGGTTGATTTATCGGGTAAAGATTGTTCTTTTTTTACTTTTTATAAATAGAAATCATAGTAAATTACAGTAGTTAGTTTCACTACCGGGTGCGTGAAAATAATTTTTTTTAATATAAGACGAGCTTACTTGTAGCTCGAAAATTGTAAGTACAAATCCAAGTACTCGGTAAATTATATTATAGAATTAAATTATTGAAGCATCGTTATTGCGTGATTTGTTTTCCAAAAAATTTTGTTAAATAACCGACAAAAATCAGACAAAAAAAGCTCGATTAATGTACAAATGTTTGCAATAATTTATAAAATGAATTGCATTTTCATCCTATTTTTTACTTTTGCACACAAAAAATTGTTATAATTGCTTGACGAACGATTTGATCTGACAAATACGAGTAACAAATGTGCACAGCGCATAATGATGATATTAGGTTAATTATAATTGACGTAGTTAGTAAGTTGAAAGCAGTAATGAAATATCTGTAAATTTGTAAATAAATTATAATTGATCGTTTTCATAAAATAAAGGTTAAAGGTAGTCGGTAAAATTGTTGCGATGCAGCAGTTGGAAAAATGGCCTCTTCTATGATGGACAGAAAGCGCTCGAAAAAGCTTTAAACATGCGATCACATGAGATCTTTCTATTGCGATAATTCTAGTGAAATAACAATAACATTCATAGATTAGTATAGTTGAATAAGTAGACTGTCGAGGCTTATCTGAATTCGGCAAAGGCAGTATTTCCGCGACAGTATTTCTCTCGGCTAGAAAAGAGGATCAGGATATTTTTATACGTCGTACGCGTATGACTTATTTTTTCGTAAAATATTTCCGGAAACTGAGAATAAGACCATAATTTTTAAGTAGCCTCCTGAACTTTCATCTCTGACCGTCGTCGGCAAAACAAAAACACATGTAAATAAATAATGTATTTAAGATAGTGCTGACGAGTTATAGAACAATTTCATTATCGGGACAAGCCAAAGTTAAACAGTAAATAGCGAAAGTTTCCTTCGAATTTCGTTGTATTTTATGTTTAGGATCGCGCATAGAGTTAAATTTTTCAATAAATGTTGTGTTATATTGACATTTACTTTCAGAGACGATTACTTGAAATTTTTGAATTTGTGACGAAGCTTATTCTAATTACTTTTATATGCAAAAGTTTTACGACGATTTTTTCAATCGAATCATTTTCACAAGACAACAAAGAAAAATTTCACTGTTTAACATTGGTTAGTCTCTTTAATTCAGACACTCTTCTAATTGTAATCACAAATTTCTCTCACACATTGTACAATTTTTCGTCTACCCAGTGAACGAATTTGCCGTGACATCTTGTGAATATTAACGCGCTGTAAATGTTATATATATAAGTAAATAATTTCTTAGCGCGGATAAAAAAGGAACATAAGAATGAACACGAGAGAGAAATATAGGACTAGAAGACAAACGTCCTTGTGAACTTAATATGAAAACAAATTTTCTCTTTTCTTACTGTAAATATAGATTTAAGCAGATCCGTTTGTCAGCTCTATAAATACATCTCATAGTAATATAAATATATAAATAAACATATAAATATATAAATAAATAAATATATATATATGTATACTTGCGTATATAGTTAGAAGGTAACTCCAGATAACATAATTTTTTATTTGTATTTTGCTGTTATATGTATGTGCCTAGATATAGCAATGTTACATCACTTATACGCATTGTATCATAATTTAATCCGTACTATATTATATTATAAATGCTATAGATAAATATTAATTAATATGGATTGTATGTATCGGGCTCTCAACCATCAAACATTGATATATACATATAATTATAGCAACACTTTATGTAAAGAGCTAAATATTTAGGCGTAAATGAAATTTAATAAATCGAATACAATTTTACGAATTAAATCAGATTATTCATTGCTCACTTCCCAAAATTATATTTCAAAATACCTGCTAATCCATTCAGCCTGGGATTTCGTCCCGATGGTATCACACCAAAGAGTCAATAGCTCAATGTTAAACGTGAAATAATCCTATTTGTTTTCACTGTACTTGCTCATTTTCATTTTCACCGCGTTCTGTCATAGGAATGTGCGTTTAGACTTTCCACATTTCAAAACTTAAAATATCCATTCTATATTTATATTATTGATCCAATTACTTTTTCCTGACTGGAAATATATATTTAGCAATGATATTATTGGTACATTTTTCAAAAATGTGAGTGTTGTGCATTCGATTTGTTTAAAACTGACGTAAATACATGTTTTTACAGATATTGGCATAATTATCGATTTTTGAATAAGGAATCGCCATTCACAATTTCACGATATGCACTTACAAATAAATAATAAGTTTTAGAGTAGCAATGAATATTAACGAAGTCTAAAGTACAGTCCAATGAAGTGCACTTATTAATGTTTTCGTTGACACCAATAGTAATGAATAAATTGCTTTATTATTGAAGCAATTTTATTCGATTGTCAATTTCGTATCAGGTACGCAAAAATCTGTTTTACAAAATGAGCAGTGACTCCAGAAATGCAAATAAAATTCTCGCCTGCTAGCATTTCGTAAAATTAATTAAAGATGTTTTGGAAATAAGTTCACATATTCATTAGATGGAATCAAATTAAAAACAGTTTGTACGTGCATGCATACATGTAGCTATACATATAAGTTATTAATCATTCAAAAAACAATTTTTTTAACTTCAATTAGTTAAGATTTATAATCGTTGATGCTCTACATTCATTAAAAAACTCGCAAAAAAATTACGTTACGAGGAAAACTTTTTGTTTTATCAATGATAAAACTGGCAACGAAGTGACAAATCATTTGCGATATTCTTCGGAGATACTTTATCAAAAGTAATGTGACGAGTGTCAACAGCAATGATGCTTTAATTTAACAAAAAACGATTATTTATTTGAAGAATGTATTGCAAAAAGTTATTTTAGTTTGATCAGTAGTTAAGGTATTAGTAGGATACCTGTTTATCATGTTGTCAAGGTATCATCAAAATTAAAGTTAAGTTGATTGAAAATTGCTATTGAATTCACCGAAAAGAATAATATAAAAACTAATGGCGCAGTGTAATAAAAGTCATAATTACGGTGTTATTCGTCAAAAATGTAATGAAGGCCATAACCGAGTCCAAAATAGATACATTTTCCACAACCTTCCGTTCAATTAATTCGTACATCCCACAAGGTTTAGGTATGTATCAAACAGTCGTTTGGACAATCGCAACTGCAGTTTGAACTGAGTGAACGTAAGTGGATATGACGTGGACGGAGGTGATTTCGATCATTGCTACTTCCGCTCTTTGCCCGCTGCATTCAGTAGACTAAAAGCATTTACAATTCACTTCATACCTCTTGTTCCTGCTCTTTATCATAATTGCATCAATTTCAAAAGAATCAATTTAAGAAAAAAACCTCGCACAATATTATATGAATGAAAACGACAACGAGTCGAAAAACAAAGCGAGCGCATTGCAACAGGAGCGTTGGATGAACGTATAGGGGCAGATTTAACGGCACGCGAGAAAACAGGTCGCCACACGTCGCGAGCGCGGCGGCGGCATCAGCTGTCAGCGAACGCGTCCCTTCGAGCGGGAAATTTAAAAAGTTGCGGTGTTGGCGGCTGCTTACATACGATTGGTTGGGACAAAAGGAAGTTAACGAATCAGTTTGCTCGACTGGCTGTTTGTTCCGATCGTCTGCTACGAGCATCATGTATATAGCGGCTTCTCACAAGTTTTGCGTGTGCGTCGCTTGCGTGTCGATGCCTATGTCGGCGGCGCCCCCCGTTTGGCGGCCGCTGCTGCCGCCGGCGCGTACACGCTCATAGCCAGCCAGAAGAGTCGTTGCGGCGGCGGCGGTAGCATAGCTTTCATTCTCCGTAGCAACACGCTAGCCATCGTCGCGAGGAGCTGGTGAGAAGCGTCGCGATCGCGTGTCTTTCGGGACAGCACGACTCTCAGATAGCGCAACGTACGAACTGACTCGAAGAGCGAAGATCCACACGGCAACAATGGCCCACCAGCAGGAGCAGCTCGACGCAACAGCTGTCGAGAACTTCCGCGAGTACCTCAGGATACCCTCGGTCCACCCCAACATTAACTATGGTAAGTACCCGATCTTTTGTTTTGCATTTTCGGAGCTGGCGCGACAAGAAAGCTTTTGCCCCACCCATAAAGACGATGAGAAAATCCTTCGGAGGATCTTGATCATCGTCTGCCTTGTTCCTTTGACGAGTTGAGGCAGCGACGAGGGTCGACATGGGACAATTGTTCATCAATCGCGAGCGCGAGAGCAGCTTTATGTAAGTGGCAGCGGAGCAGTAGCGTTCACGTTCGCGTTTGTGCTTCGTCGGCGTTGGCTTCTCTTTTCTTCGTGGCTACAATCAGAGCCAGAGCCGGACGTGGCCCGCTATTGATAAGCCGTTTTTTTGCGCGGTCTTAGTTACAAGGGAGCGAGAGAGAGAAGAGAGAATGACGGTGCAGAGAGCAGCGCGACGCGTCTCCCGAGCGCGTCGTGACGCGCCGCCCGAGAGAGAGAGAGAGAGAGAGAGAGAGAGGAGAGAGTGCGCGGCGGCGATGCCTAGCTGTGCCGCGTTAGCGCGGCTATAGCTTTTTTTCGCTATGCTGGCTTCTCGTCGCCCGCGTCCCGCTGCTGCGGTGTCGCGACGCTAGCCTGCTCGTGCCTACCTCGCGACACGTGGGGGTCACGATGCCGTTGCTGCAGTTTGTGCGAGAGAAAGCGACAATGACTTTATAATCGCGACCACGACGCCGGCTTTCAGCTGGACTAGTCGCGCTTAGGCGAGGCTCTCTTTGTGCATCGGCTAGTAGGGCCTATTGGACGTAACTGCTAACTGACCGCGCAGTACGTATTACCTCGACAATTATCCAAAGGTACGCTCCCGTTCGTATGAAGCCAATCGGTCGTTTAGTCCTCACGCGGTGCTTATGTATTATGTGTATGTGTATGTGTAGCGATAGAACGTTCTCGGCCTTGAGTCTCTTGGATAGGCCGCGTTTTTATTTCGGAGCTTATACTCTCCAGCGTGCCAGCGAGGTAATTGGTACTCTCTGGGTGTGTGTTTCCTATAGTAGCCGTAAGAAAAACTCCAAGTGGCATATTTTCACGGGGCTTCGCTATTATTTTCGTGAATCTACGTGTACTTCTTTTATTTGAGCGTGCGCGTTTGCCATCGGCTGCTATTCAATTTACGTGAATATATTGACAAGAGCTCAAAAAAAAAAGAAATAAATAAATAAAAGGGGAGAAATAAACGAAAGCTGAGATGCTGATTACACGCGCGACTCATGGCTCCGTTTTTCCTTTCACCTGCGCGTTCGTACTGTGCTCCCGAGGCGGATAAATGCCGACGCCAACGTGAATACACCGCGATCAAACGATTAACACGGATTAAACCATTTTATGGCACTTTGCAGCTCTGCGTGCGTGCGCGATTTTGCAATCGCGACTTACTTTATTGTTCGGCAATCGTGATTATTTATGACTGTGCACAGGTTCTTCGTCGACAAAAGGTCGCGTATGTGTTCCCATTGCGGAATGTTCGTATCTCATTCATTTCTATTTTTTTTTCTTTCGAAAACTCCCTGTAAGGGCGGTCTTCGAGCGAGGCATTCGAATGTAAATGAAAATTTTAGGTAACCTGTTTTTCTCTTACACTCGAGACGTTGGGAGACGTACGCCTTTTTGCCTATACCTTTTGAATGTTTCGTATATATCTCCGCAGACCCTTACACGAGTTTCGTGAGAGACAGGTCACGTTGGAATTTACAAGAATCAATCAATGTAGAAATCGAGATTTCACATTAACGCGATAGAAAGTTTCGAAAGATTTTACTTTTCACTCTAATTGCTGTACAGCTGCAGCGGCGCATTTTCGCGATTGACTTGATAGACTATTAAATTGTTATTAATAAAATGATTGACATTGCGCGATAGTTAGAGCAATGCGTTTTAACTACTTGCAAGCTGTATATTTGGTGAATTGTGTGATACTGATTTAACTTTTTATTCGCCTTCAAAAAAATTGTTAAAGAGTAAAATCCTTGAAATTTATAACAAATATTTACTGAAAAACATATTATCCATATTTACAAGGCTGAATACAAAGTGTAGGCAATTGTTCACTACTTATTCTGCAAAAAACTCAAGCAATGATAAAATTTCTTTCATTTATTTCATATTTATAATTGTCAATATAATAACAACTTCAATTTTCTTTTACTTTTACATGGTGTATGAAAAATTAAGCATCTACAAAATTATTGAAACGCTATGTAAAGTCAAAGTACTTGTTCAAATTAAGGTAACAATGTCATTTAATATCGTTTTTAATCAGAACAATGTCTAAAATCATAATACCAATCTCGAGCGTGCATTCAAATATGGAGTAGTATAAAAGATAACTAAGCGTTTTATGTTATTACTACATGATTTTATTTAAATTTAGCATTGAGTGATTCATTCAAAACCTATATCAACGAGGCTTATCATGGGTAAAATTCATACAATTGACTTTGTTCTCATTTATCTTCCTATCAGCAACATGTTTTGAAAGGCGTTTGAAAATCAGATCGATTGATGTTTTCAAGAAGATATTCAGTTCGGGAACCGTTAAAGATGTTATGATTTTTTTATATAATTCAAGCTAAAGTCATGCATACTAACAATAAACATGTGATAAATGATTTCGCCTATGCAGTACTGGACAGCTATATTGAAAATTACGAAATTTTTGACAAATATCAAATACCGTCAATGCTCCTGTTTTCCCATCACGCGTTTTTTCAAGTTTTCTCTAAAACAAACTTATTTATCAGTTTTTCTTACTTATTTGCTCTTTATTCCTCTAATTAAAAAAGACTGTCAAAGTTACATTATAATCGATTTGTTTGTTTATAATAAAGATCTAAAAGAATATATAAGCAAAAAATTCTTTTATTGAATGAAACTTTGGCAATTACTTTTGAGTATAGAAATGTAGAGCGGATAACCTCGAAAAATGAGTTTATTTTGGAGTAAACTTGGACAACGTGAGGGTCGATGAAACAGAATCCAACCGGTGCTGATTTATTACATATAAAGCATATCGTTTGTTTAGAAAAAATTTGTGGAACATATCGAATCACTGTGGAACCGTTTAGTAAATTCTCTTATTCTCATTTTTTTTCGAGTCGTTTTTTAATCGCATTTTACTTATTAATACGTCCTAAAAATTAACGTTTCTTCGGAAGAAAAAGCATGTATGATCAAGTACGATCAGATAATTATTATTGATACGAGCTGAGCAAGGCCAAATGGAATAAAACAATTTTCTGATACAGATTTCAATTAGCTAATATTTACTGAATGAAAAATGTAATCACTACATTTTTATGCCAACGTCAATTTACAATCTTTTGATAAACCATCTATGCAAGATACCTAGCAATTAAAAAAACGTATATCATACCAAATGATGATAAAATCTGATTTGTAGTTTGATTGAATACCCGCAATCATAAATAAAATAGGATAACCATTTACGATAACGGCTTTCATCAGTTATTCATATGCCTTGGGAGTGTCAAACGCGAATACATTGAAGGTGAATGTTTGTAGCGTGGGATAGTACAGTGCGGAGGCAGTGGTCAAAGCCAGAGTCACAATATCCTCCGCGATTTTCGCCCCGGTGTCGGTACTTGAAAACATTTTTCAGTTTAGGTAGTGACCTTCGGGTTTTCTTGCAGGTAACGATAATCGGTAAATACGGTGGCGCACGGCGCAGCTGCTGGACTGTTTTGTTTGCTAACTTACGGCCCGGATGGTAACCGGTATCCTCGGCAACTCATAACAGCCTAGCAGCGCTAACGCCCTCAGCCGTACGCCACTCGTTTATCGATTGAGTCTCCTTCGCACGGAAACACCGGAATACGGACGTCTAGGTTGAAAAGTATCAAAGTTCATTTGTTAATTTTAATAATTACAATTGCACAGTACTTGTTGGATCTCATTTCAAATTTATATCATCTCTTATTTTTATATATACCGTCAAATTTATACCTTATATTTATGAGCCTTATACCATTACTATATTGAATAAACTATTTGTTTCTTATTTTCAGATGACTGCGTTAAATTCTTGGAAAAACAAGCCAAGTCGTTGGACTTGCCGATCAAAGTTTATCATGTGGATCCTAAAAAACCAATTGTCGTGTTAACGTGGAAAGGAACTGATCCTTCTTTACCGACAATTTTGTTGAATAGTCATATGGATGTAGTTCCCGTGTTTGCTGTAAGTTTTTATTAATTTGCAGTAGTCATTTCAAAGAGTAAATTTAGGAGTAGGCTCATAATTGTTTAAGATTGTTACTACATGATTCTGTTTAAATTTAGCCTTAAACAACCCAATCAAAATGTATATTAAGACTTTATCAATTGGTGACATTTTAATATAAATTGTTGCTAGTTTGTTACTAAATAATTAATTTTGTTGCCCTTGTAGTGTTCGGTTAAAATCTATCTAAAACACGTAAATATGTCGCGTCTCCGCATAAAATTTTAAACAAATAATAATCTTTTACTTTGAAATAAATAATCTTTAATTTTCAAACTAAATTAAGTGGATAGTAGAGCAATGCAATTAAGACATGATCGTTATAAAAAAATGCTAAAAAATTGTTTGTTACAATTGGGAAATTTAGACTGGGCATAAAATCGAAATGAACAAGCGTCCACTTTAACCAACGAAGATAGACTTGCAGCATCTAATTTGAGCTTTGTCGCTTGAACAGGAGCGTATAGAAAGTATATGTATAGTCTCCGTGAACAGGGGTTCTTAAAAGTTAGCACGTATAGTTTTTTTTCCATATAATCGAAAAACTGATTTAAAAATTAGATTATTCATAAATTAAAGAATGAATTTTGTTATTGACTTTTGGTTGTTCGATTACAACAGAGTTGATAAGCGCCAAAAAATATCATTTTGGGTGCTGAGCACCAGCACCCATACTCTATTCGATGAATATGTCAAGATAATGCGCTATCAAAAAAAGTTAATATGTTCATCAATAATTTGTTTGACAAAAAAACAGCATCTAGGATAAAAATCAATGGTTTATTGACTATTTATGGAATTAAAAATATATAACTGTTTTTGGCTATTCTTAGAGGCTAGTGTTCGCCAACCGAAATACTGTGCATATTCACTAGTACTCCGTAATCTCCTTTCTGTAGGTCGACCCTCAACTCTGCTTGACTTTAACCTGCGATTTAAGCTGCTAATTTGCCGCTAGCTAGGTCCATGTCTCAGAGGATTGGGGCAATCACAGGAGGGTCCGGAAAGCAAATGAGCAAGCGCAATGACGTGGTAGTTGGACGCTAGCCTATAATAATAGCCTATAATAATAAACAATTATAAAATTGGTTTTATAATTGTCATTCCATAAGTGATCAATAAATCATTGATTTTTATTACGGGCCCTCTAATCAAACTTCAAACGATTCGTTAAACAAACTATCGATGGACATATTGATTATTTTTTTTGAGAACATTTTATGTTTGTATATAGATCGCATCTAGTATAAGTGCTGGGTGCCAGTGCCCTAAACGATTTTTTTTTATTGTTTTTATAATAACGTTATAGACGTACAATTAAATCAATAACCAAATTTATGGTTTAATTGATGAACAGTCTATTTCTAAAATTAGTTTTTCGATAATATGAAAAAAAACTTTATGGATGCTAACATTTAAGTCACATCAGTTAGATACATGTGCGAGAAAGTGATTTCAGCTTCGTGGGGCCTCTTCACCCTCGAGCCCAATCGTCCACATAAGGCAAAATAATTGCATATTCGCCGTTTTGTAATTGACTGATATGATGATAAAGTACTGAATTTCGAAATTTTGGATTCTTTAAAATATATGTATTATATATAAAAGCGTGAGATATATATTTCAGTAGCAAATTTAATTTATGAATAATTAATATAGATAATAATCTGCAAAATCGAAATTCATCATTAATGGATTATTGTAAGAAGAAAAGTGTGTATGTTTTGTAATTACACTGAAATTATTAGTGTAAAATTTGGTTAGGAGAAGGAAAAATTTATAGAATAAAATAAAGTAAGAAATATTTTTAGTTTATGATAACAAACAGTTTATCGATTTTTACGAAATAATGAATCAAAATTGAATTTGTGTCCAAATTGCTAAACAAAAATTGATAACACTTTTTTAGTTTAATATATGTGACGAAGGTTTACGTGAATATCTATGAATATAGTGTTATTTCGTAGCATAAGAACTTATTGCACCGTGAGCAATCATTGATAACTATAATGCGTTATCAACAAATTTTAAGAATTCCCTCAATAAAATATGAAACAAAATACTCTTGCCTTTTTAATGAAGCGAAAAAAACGCTATAATTAAAAAACTATAATTACATTAATTACGTAGTTACAAACATGTTTAGGCAAATTTGATAGTTAAATGAAAAATATACAAGTTAATACCCATAATTTAAAAAAAGAAATCAAAGAACGAGTGGGTTAAAAATAACAAAAATTTACTTATTAACTTTAAAGTAACCAATGAAAATAAATTGTAGTTAACTTAAATTTTCTAGAAAGATGAAAGTTCTAGAGAGATGAAAGAAATTTTAGTATGTGATTTTTATGTGTAAGCAGCTTGTGTACATGTACTTATACGTACATACATTGGTTTGTACTAAAAGCAGTAAAAACAGAATCATTCAACTATGAAATTTGAGGTGGGAAAGTATAGAAGTTTTACTATCACTAGACAATAGACACAATGAATTATTATGGTGCCCAAATTAGACATCCTGGAACGGTAAGAGCTTAAATAGTACAAAACCGGTGAAAAATTTATTACTTTAAAATAACAAAATCTAAAATTTAAGGACTAAGTAAGTAGGGATAAGTTTCGCCGCAGGGGTCCGGAATTTTATGGTGAGGGCGTACAATACAAGACGTGCTGATCCCTCCGTGCATAATTTACTAAGAAACTCACCATCTGTCGAACTTATGCTTAATACAAAATATATTGGATTGGACAGGCACGAATTCGGTTTTAAATAAGTCATTTGCACACCGCCATAGATATTGCTGTCATTTTATTTGAAACTGCATGAAGCGTATAGAATTGAGAGAACAGAATGATTGCAACCGTTAAATATTTCTGTTTTTGTCATGTGATTCCGTACTTAATCTATTATTGATGGACTCTTAATTTACATTTGTGATCACTAGATAAAATTAATTGGTTCTTAACGATGTATTTGAACTGCAAATTTACCATTTATGTATATTTATCCTATTTTTTTATTTACACAAAAACTTCATAATTGTAATATGTGATAATTTAAAAAAAAGGTTTCATAAGTACAAATAGAATAAACTGATATGCTGGACAAAAATCGATTCACATTTGGAAATGGTACACCAAATATAATTCTTCTACACTATAATTCAATACAGTTAATAAATATAAATGCAAGAAATAATTGATAACTGAAGAAACGCCACTGTTTAAAAGAAATTATATGAAAACAACAATAATCTCCGAATAGTTTTGTTTGTGTAAATTATCATAAATAACAGAGAAAGGGAAGCATGAAATTAACTTTATAAAAGATTTACTTTAAATTAACACAATATAATATTGTGTTTTTATAAGAAATCAGTTCGAATATCGATTTTATGCATTAGACATTAACCAACATTCATTTTAACGTTTTACAATTAAAAATATTAAGGACAAAACGAGAAATATTGAAAACTTGAATAAAAAGCTTAAATATTAAAAAATAGAAATATTTAAAAATAGGACGAAAGTAATGTTCAAACACGGTTCACTTTTAAAATAATTATATTATGCTAATTGTTTCAATGATTATACATTTGATGCATAATCTTCTATGACACGTATGTTAATACTTATAATATTAAATTATGTGTTAAGTAAATTAAACTAATCCAAACGATTGGAAATAAAACAAGTTTTCCTTATAAATATGAAAATAATGCGAATATATTTTATTATTCAATTAAATGAATGTTCTTTCGAAAGAATATTTATAATATATTTTCAATATTTCATGATTTTTTGAGTGCCTTTATCTGATATTAATTTTATTTTGCTTAGGACCACTGGACTTATGCACCATTCAGCGCTCATATGAACGAGCAAGGAAACATCTATGCTCGCGGAAGTCAAGACATGAAATGTGTTGGCATTCAATATCTGGAGGCCATTCGGCGAATTAAATTGCAAGGTGAAAAGCTCAAAAGAACAATACACATTTCTTTCGTACCAGAAGAAGAAGTTGGCGGAGTATTAGGAATGAAAGAATTTGTACATACCAAAGATTTTAAAGAATTGAACGTTGGTTTTGCTTTGGACGAAGGTGTTGCTAATCCGACTGAAAATTACTACATGTTCTATGGCGAAAGATCAATTTGGCAGGTCGAAGTACACTGTCCTGGAAATCCCGGTCATGGATCAATGCTTCTGGATAACACTCCTGGAGAGAAAGTTCGAATTATCATCGACAAATTCATGGACTTTAGAGCTAAACAAAAGGCTCGACTGGCAGAACTTAAACTCAACTTGGGAAACGTGACGTCCATCAATTTGACTAAAATCAATGTAGGTATTTAAAATTAAAATTTATACTATGGCCAATACTGATTATATAGATTGAACAATTTTTCAACTTCATTATTTGTAAATTTCGTAAATTTGTAGTTGAAGCTATACTTAATTATAGATTTTGCAAACAACAGCATAGTATTATTAGTTATAAAATCTGCATTTTTTATTAATGATTATAAATTAGCAGAAATTTGTGTGCAAATGTTCTGTCATTGTATCCTAATATGAATATATAATTATTATCTCTAAACTCTTCAAAATAATCTAAACATAATTTCTTTATTTTTACATGTCTGAAAATTAAGGATTGCATAATCTGTAAGTATAGTGAATTATTAAAGGGAAATTATTAGGAATTTTTTAAATTAATATAAAATCGTTAGAGCAATGATATTTATAAATTATAAATTAATCATTCATAAAAAATTAAGATATAATTTTATGAGTGCAAAACGCAGTGTCTTATTCATTATTTTTATTGCAGGGTGGAGTACAAGCTAATGTGATCCCGAACAATATTACAGTCATGTTTGATTGTCGCATCGATCCTGATACAGACCACGAAGAGTTCGAGACTATGCTAAAGTCATGGTGTAAAGAAGCTGGCGAAGGAGTTCACTTTACTTACCATGAAAAAAATCCTTTTATTCCAAATACTAAGTTGGATAACGATAATCAATTCTGGTTAGCCTTCAAGAAATCGTGTGATAGGCAAAACATCAACCTTGAAACAGGCATTTTTCCGGGAGGAACTGATAGTCGTTTCATAAGAAGTGTAAGCAATTGTCTTGTTTATAAATTTAATAATAACACTTTTATCGTTAAGACTCTATATCGATATGCATAACACACTAAATATCAAGACATTAAATATAAAAGCCTTAATAATACCATTGATCATTTTTGCTAGTTACTTATAATAAAAAAGTTTTAGACAAAAAGGTCGACGTAATTGTCATTTCAACTGGCGATTTTGTAACTAGTAATAATTGAAGGATCAGGACATAACATTTCAATGTGCAGTGCTTGTGAATGTGGATAGTTTTAACGGCATTTCTGAATTTTCGTAAATCTTGAACAATATATTTTGTAACTAGTTTGTATTAGTACAAGTATGCCGATCTACAATTACTATACAAACCAACATTGGTGTATAATCTAGAATTGATTCAAACTGTTTTCCTTTTTATATAAATTGAGAAAAGCAATCTAAATTATTTATTGAATTCGTGTATTAATATAAATCCTTCTCTAATATGCATTATATAAAGCAAAAAATTACTAAAATTCGTAAAGAGAGTAGCTATTCATAAACTTTATTAATTTAATTTATACATTTAAAATCAAAGTACTATGATATAATTACTTTCTCATTATTAGCATGAAATGGCAAGATATTCAAATTATTTTCAAAAAAGAGATGTTAAAAGAGATTTTATTTTTCCTAAGAAACAAATGTCTTAGTTTTAACAGACATTGTCACTAGATATATCGTATATTTTCTATATAATTTTTCTGTTATAGCTTGGCATACCAGCTATTGGTTTTTCACCCATGAACAAAACCAAAATCTTACTTCACGATCATGATGAATATCTTAACAAAGATGTTTTCCTCAATGGAATCAAAATCTACATGGACATCATTCCATCAGTGGCTAATATTTAAATGATGTAGACAGTATGTTTATCCACAGCTTTTATCTACACTAGTATACGAAACAAGAAATTATAGATATGCATTTTCTTCTTAAAGAAATAAGCAGTAATGGTAAGGAGACCTATTTTTAGATATTGAACTGAGAAGAATTGATAGTATTTTAGATAGCAATAGTCATTGGAATGTGATAACAGTGCAATATGATGAATAACAAATGTGAATGAAAAATTATTGTTTAAAAGTGCAAAAATGTGTGATATATGCATATATAAATTATTCAGATGTACAAAGTTATATAAGAAGCAAAATATTGTATTGCTTGGAAGAAATTTGAGATTTATATTTACAAGATCCAAGCAAATCATGTTATTAGTTTTCTAACATTACATCACCAAAGTGTTACTTGTTGTATAGTGAGTTTTAAAGTTCTAAGTGCCTTGTGTTCAGTGCCAAATATTTTTTATTACTCAGAAGTGTTGAAAAATTGTTTTTACATACAGATATTTATAAATAGCCAGAAGACAAGAATTGCGCAAAGTTTATGCAACTGTTACCCCGAAAAAAGAATGTATTAACGATGCAAAACTAGAATAGATATTGTTACAAAATGAGAATGTCAGAACAAATATATTCTTGAAATGAAACGCAAAAACGTGCGCAGTTTTCCTTGACACAGCTCGGTGAGAGGAGTTTTATCATCACACACGTGTACGTGTACGTATATATGCAATGGGGCTTCGAAGAAAAATTGGCGGGAGTAATAGTGAGTGCATGCAAGGCAGAGTTTTCTATTTATTTTTTTTCTCTCATGGACTGTTAGCTCGTCGAGCACGTGTTGTTCGCGGCTTCCCGCCATTGCCGCTCACCAACGTAGCAGTCCATTCAAACGAGCGTACATCCCCCCCTTCATAGTAGGAAAACATGGACTCGTCCATTCTCCCTTCCCCAGTGCTCTGCAAGCATAACCCTCGAATCTCTCGCATAAGCCTTTTATCTTGTTAAAATAAATATATCCAGTCGGTTTGGAAAAATCGGTGACGAATTATCATGTGATTGTCGCGACAAAGTAAAATATGGATCGTACGTAAATAAAAGACTCCTCAACACCCTGCTTCGATATGAACTCGTCCGTTCGGAGCCGAGTGGGGGAGGTTGAACGTACTCTCCGTGTTTGCAGCTCAATTTTAATGAAAAAACTGCTGGTTGTCCTTGATTTCCCAGTCAAATGTATAATTCGCGAGCCGGAAAAGGTAATCGATTGGTTATCTGCTCATATAAAAGCGCGAATTTTCATGAAAAACAAGGCGCGATCGAAGTATCTCCATCCTTGTCTGGCGAGTGGCAGCGCTGGTGGGGATAACAGCGAATGAGTGCGGGCTTGGCGCACCACGTGACTTTGACCGGCCAATGGCGTGGTGAGGATTTGAAATCGGTGCGTGGGCTTTGTTCGGGCGGGCGAGGCGAGTCAATGAGTGTCGTCGGCCCCGTCGGCGATTTCAGTTAGCGACTCTGTGTGCTCAGTAGTTGGTGCGCGCTCTCTGTATCTCCGCGCAGAAAGCTGCAGCAGTACAGTTCAGTGACGGCCGTGTGTAACTACTTTGCGCGCGCCTTTTCCCCACTCGGACGGACGGCGGGTTCCCCTTAGCCTCCCTCTCCATCAGTATCTGCTTCTGTCGCGTGTTTTCATTCGGAGTCACAACGAGAGTACATGTCATCTTAGTGCAACTTCGATAGCCGGTCGATGATCGTCAGCGGTGCTTAGCCTGCGCTTACCATCAACACAGCAGCACTTCGTACAAGGTAGGTTTCATTACAGTGCTTGTGTTCGTAGCGCGTGTCTGTATAGGAAGAGTGTCAGTGTGTGCGCGTCTGTATGCAGGCAGCTAAGGTTCTCTCACTGCCGTCGTTGTTTCGTCTAGCCGTGTATGTTTACATCCGGGCCGGGAGTCTCTGGCGGGTTGACGAACTTGCTAGCATCCAAGTCGTATGTATGTGTTGCGAAGGGCTGGCGGAGGGAACTTGAAGTTTTTAGGCGGGAAAGGTGTGCGGCAGAAAATAAACAGAGAGGTGAGCGAGCCAGCGGGAGCGAGAGGAGGTTGCGCGCGGCCGCACCTCTTCTCTTTTTCTACCTCTTTGGTCCGTATAGCCACCGGACGTTTTCGAATTCAAAAATTCACGGACAACGGTGGTCCGGTGGTCTCTCTTTTTCTCTCTTTCGCGGATATTAATTTCGCTGAAAAATGTCGATCTTCTGGTCGAGCGATACGCTTGATATATATAGTGTGTCACGCGTGAATGTTTACCCGGCGAGTGTGCGTTGTTTATTATTGTCCGTGGCGCCGGCGCACTCGCCGTGCCCGCGGTCGATTACCCTGCGCAGGCGATCAATTTTCTTTTAGCTGCCGCACACATGAATACGTATACGAGTCGCAGCCACTAGTGCGCGCGTGTGCGTAGATATCTACTTGAATTTTCGAAAAATCGACGGCCGAGCCTCGTCAGCGTAGGAAAGACAGCCGCGTCGTACGTGCTTCATCGGGGGAGGGGCTCCGCCAGTGGAAGGTTTGACCGTGGGAACTGATGAAGAGCGAGAGAGAGAGAGAGAGCCCCTACTCGGTGCCATATGCCGTCCCGTAGAAGTGGTCTCCGGCCGCCGAGGCGGCCAAATTGTCCGCGATCGCAAGTCAATCAATTCGTCAAGCCGTCCGTACTCGTCTGCGGCTCTGCGCGCTTGCATGGTCCGCTAATGTTCCCTCACTCGCTCTCTTGGCGTTTCAAGGGCACGGTCGCGAAGGTTGCTCACCCCGAGCCGTCGCGATGTCTGGCCGCGCTCCTTGCGCGGTTAATTCGAGTCTACGCGCACGCGCCCTCGCTTCTTTCCCTCTCGTTGCGAGTATCGTCGTCCGCGCGAATTCACACGTATGTACCGTCTCTCGGTGATACCGCTACGCCGCACCTTCCTCGCGAACGCTGCTCGTTCTTTCTACCGTGCCCTAAGGTCGTCGCCATCTCGGTCGCGTTTGGCCTGATTTTAATGTGCATCGATCGGCGAAATCGAGAATCATCGCAGTTGCGCGAGGTCGGCAATGACTATTCGCTCGTCGGAGGGTCTAATCTAGCAGCTGCCGAACGACGATCGACAAAGATTAATAACGCATAAGCGCAGTCACACACGCAACGAGAGAAAGAGAGACGAGAAGCCGGCCGGCGATCGATAGTCCGCGTCGTTGGGGGGCCGCGGGCACACGGCTAAGCACGCGTATAGTATATATGCCGCGGGGAGGCTGTACGTCGAGGGGGAACTGCTGCCGCCGATCGATACTCGCCAAAACACATCCAGCTCGTTCTCGCGGTCCATCGGCCCGCTGCGAGGAAACGCCCCAAGTGCGCCTCGCTCCTTCGCCGAGCTCGCGCGCGCCTTTCACGCCGCGACTTTTTCCGTAATTGCCTGCGCGCGGCAGCGGCCTGACACGCGTGCGCGCCCGGCATATCCGTCGCTTATTTATATATCGGCGACGCTCTTCCCGACGAGCCGCCAGATTATTGGATTGCTCGATAGCCCTGGCAATTTCGCGAATCGCGCGTTCCTCTCCTCTATCGCGACGTTCGCGCGGAACGTCGCTGCTAATTGCCGAGATGCAATTTGTCCGCCCGACGATGGGCACGCGATAGCTTTATTGAAACGATTTCGAGCCATTTGCGAACATTTCTCCACGACCCGCCTGGCAATTCGTTACCTGGGTTTTTCATGCATCTCCAAGTTTCTAGTCATAAAAGAGACATCATAAATTACATCCCATTTCTTGCAAACATTTCGGGCATTGTTAAGATCCCTGTCGTACGATAGAGTACAGAGACGTTTAACAACCCTGCCATATTCTATAGTACACGGTCATCGCCAGGCCATTAGGTCCCAAACTAATAACTTAATACACAAGCTTCGGACAATTGTCTCTCATCTGGCCCAAGAGACAAACTTATTACTGTTGAAGCACTTTCACCCCGAGGATCCGTTAATAGCCGGCCACTGTCTCGAACTCAGATGGAGGCCGACACCCCGTCGAGAGAGAGACAAAGAGAGGGCTTAAATTTCCCAAAAGACACAGGTCGGATAAACAGTGCCCGGCAGATAGACTGACCAATTTTTGTACCTGGTTCTCGCAGATCCGTAGGCTAGATGCAGCCGCGGCGAAATTCCCTCCTAAATCCTGGCTCGGCGTCGGCGCGCACGTTTTTCGCACGTGCTCCCGAGGCAGCCTCGACCGGGCAGCGCTCGCTCGCGCTAATAAATACGCCACTTTCGTAATGACTGTGCGCGCTCGCTCGCGCAACCTGCATTTTTATGAATGAAAAGCGCGCGCCGGCCCTCCCACCTCCCGGCGACTCCGGTAATCGTAATCGCGTTAGGCGTCGTGCGTCGCACGGCCCAATGTGCGCGAGCCAGAATGCGACGGCGATAAGACGGTGGCGAATCAGGGCTCGAGGGCTCGCGATCGAGCCGATTTCGAGCGTAAAAGCGCGCGTCTCGCGGTAAATGGCAGTTGATTATGGTCCTGGCGGGCGAGCTGCGCCGGTGACGCGCTCGCCGGCCGCGCGATCTATTTGGCGCGAGGGCACTCCGCGTCGAATGCACGCTTTTGCGACGCGAGTGGAAAGGATGCAGGAGTATTCATAGCGGAAAGCGATTTGCATCGCGTAACAGTAACACACTACGTGCCCCGCGGCGCGGGGGAAGGGGGGAAGCCGGCGCTCCGGTTCGCTCTTTCTCTAAGCGCTCGCTGACCTTAAATCCTTATACTTCGCGTGGGCTGCCTTTGCGAAGCCACCGCGAGAGCGATTTTATTTCTAGCGCCTTACTACTCATTGACCAAATCATCCCCTCCCCCTGCTCTTGGCAGAGCATGTGAATTGGTCGGCAATCCGTTAACTCGAATTCATTCTCGTTCGCGGTCTTCCTCTTTGTTCCAGCCTTGTATTTCAGTTTCTTCCCGAGATAAGCTAGTTATTCGGCATCCCCTTTGTGTGTGCGCGCGCGTGTGTCGGAATTTTCGGCAAGCGCAGCTGCCCGTCCGACTGATTCACCTGCCTAACGTTGCATTCTGAAAATACGCCGCTGGCGTGTAATGTTTCGCGGCCGTTTGCCTGGCAAACGCGTCTTCGGCGCATAATCACGCTCCTGTGAGCTTCCGTTACCATGACTGTTTTCGCGGAAAACAAAATGAAAAGATCTCTGTCTCTCTGTCTCGTTGCTTTATTGTTCGGCGGATCGTTAATTCCGAGCGCGCGCGCGCGAGAGAGAGAGAGAGAGAGCTCGCGGCAACGGCTCGAAAGTTCGTTGACAAAGACACTCTATCGCGCCATCATTTTTCCATTACAGCTCAACTCGTTCCTTACCCTCGTTCAATTTCGAGTCTTCCATTGCGCGCAGGCGACGAATCACAGTACGCAAAACTCACTGGGCACTGTGTGCAGTCGCGGATACAACTGCGCCGATCGCCTCGTTAGAGCTTCGCGTCGAGGGCCGCGCGTTCGGCGAAGTCTCGAAAGTGCGCTCGGGTGGAAAAGCGCGCGCGCAGTCGGTTATTATTGGAAAGCGGAAGCTCGTCAGTCGTCGATAAGACGCCAGAAAAGGATTCTCGTCGGCGCGTTGCCGACACGCGAGCATCGCCTCGCTGGTTTTTCGGCAGCCGCGCCGGAATCGTCCAGTCAACGAAAAACAAAAAACAGTCGAAGCTCTTCTACGGCTTCCCTCGAGCCGCGCGATCAAGGAGGTACTTGGAGAACGCGTTCTTGGGCGCGAGTGTACGGTACGTGAAAAGACAAAATGCAGGGAGCTTCGGGAGACGTGGAAACACGAAAAGGAAGGGCCCTTTCACGGATATAGCGAATGGAAAATTCCCAGATGGTGTCTGAAAGTGAAAAGAGACGTAGCCATTCCCCACCGCGAGACATTGAAAACAGGGTGGTAGGTCAAGCGGCACAAGGTGCACCATTGTTGCACACGCCCATCGCAGCGGAAGACGGATTAGCGTCTAGGCCAAGGTTAGGCCCGGGCCTTGTGTTATTTCCGGGGCGAGGGTATGCAGCGGCAACGTCTCTCGTGCGATCATCAGCGATTAGCTCGCGGCGAGCAGCCGCGTTTTCGGTCCGCGCGTCTTCGCTGCGGGGATAAAAGGGCGCGGCGAGCGCGCTTTCACTTTCGCGAAGAGCGCCGCCGATGCACCTGCTTTTGAGCGCGGGGCGGAGAGGGGGGGGGGGTGGCGGAGGGAGGGACGCGCTCGGCTGATAATCGCGCCAACAGACAAAGGGGCCCGGCGCGCAACCTCTCAGATGACGCGGCCCACTGCTGGATAACCTTTCTTCGACATCTGTCCCGCGCGCACGCCCTTGCTGCGTTTTCGTGCTGCTTGGCCAATCGGCCGCGCGACTGTTGCTCGCGTTTCGGCTTCCATCTTCGCTCTGTTGATGAGCACGTGTCCGGGAAAATACCTGCTCTCTTCTGTCTGGAGCTGTTCTTAATTTTACGGGGGTCTGGGCTCTTTATTTATTCGTTTATTTTTTAAAATTTAGTGCTTTCGTATTAGAAAATATCGCGAAAGACAAGGCGGCAGGGGAAGCGGGGATTAATGAACTGGAACGAAGTAACAGTTTTGAGTAATTGAAGTTTTGGAAAATCTAGACATTCTCGCGTGGAAAGATAAACGAAGGGGGCACGAGAGAATCTTCATTCAGTACGGATCACGTACGCGCGCAAAAAGAAAACAACTAAAAACAACAAAAGTCACGCAGAGAGAAAGAGGCAAAGTAACGCCCCACCCCCCACCTCAGCCGGCGTGAAAAACCAGTTTTCAGGTGGAAAGCCAACTCAGAAAAATGCCCCGAGTCAGCTTGGCCGCGCGGCAGCAACACCCCGTATACTCTCGTTCTCGAAATGCTTGGAAACCGGTTTCTCGAAGAGGCTTTTTAGCTCGCCGCGCGACCTTCGCTCGCTGGCGCGCTGCGTTGTGTTACTGCATCCCTCGGCGGCCGCGGCGAAATTTGATTTTTGCGCGCTCGCGCTCGGCGGAAAACCGGCGCACAATGGAATATCCGCGGGCACCGAGCAGCTCATTTTTTTTTTTTTTTTTTTTTTCGTGCTTTCGCTTTCGTTGCCCGTTACGCTCGCGAGCCGCTTCGCCTGCCGAAGGGAAACGTGCCGAGGCCCAGGCGCGCGGAAAACCGCGGACGTGGCCTCGCTTCTGCTTCCTTCCCACGAATGTCGTCTCTCGTCCTGGTCGTCGCGCCCGTTGCGCAATATTGCTCTCTTGGATACGTGCGGTTGACGAAGCCGAACAATGCCTCGCGCACTTGATTTCGATCTAATTTATGCCCCGTCGGCGAGCGGGAAACGAGCATTTTTAAGGACTTAATTGCCGGCCGACGACTGCGTGAAAGTCGGCTCCTCTTTTGTTCGGAGCCTTTTCAAATAATATCTCCGGCGAAAAATCGCTTTGCATCCTCTAATTAGCGAGCTTTCCTCGGCGCTTTTCCACTCGGCGCCCCGCTCCTTTGCCGACGCGTCCGATGCTCGCAAAACGACGGCTCGACGTCTCCGCCGATGCCCGAAACTCGGCCGGATTCTTTCACGGCGAGAGCGTGGCACGAGCTCGCGCGGTCGAATAGCGAAGGCTGTGCGCCTCCCGGCATCGGCTGCGAAGAAGGAAAAAAGAAGGTGGATACCGTGCACTCGATACGAGAGCGATCTTTTTCGTCAAGGTCGCTCTTTCACGGCGCGCGGCCGAGAGAGAGAAAGAGACGCGTCCAGTCGCCTGTGAGGCCGCTACACTTTCGGCGAGCGCGCGCTCGCTTTGATTCCGCTCTGACCTCCAAGCCGCGCCGGCAATTATTCGCGCGCGTACTCATCTTTGTAACGTCGCGACGCTTGCTCGCTGCGACAGATCACCCGCGACGTCCCTACGTCTTCCTCGACATCTCCGCGCGTCAAGCTCCTTCGAACGCAAATGACGATTCATTGAATTTTCCTGTTCCCCTCATATTTTTACTCGTTTACCGCGGAATTCTCGCCCGTAGGATCCAATGATTTCTCGTTAAAATTTTCTAATACCGAAAAGTACACCCCGAGATATTTTCGATCGCGTCCTACAAATAAACAACGGAAATTCCGTGAATTCCATTGATGAAGATCGTACTCGTAAACAAGAAATATCGGCCGACGATATTTTCAATATCGACCGAATATGTAAGCTTCCAAAGGTGATCTCGTCGACGCCGAGGCCGAATAAAAACGTAACTTTGCGCGAACGCTGTCCGCGCAGCGGCAGAATCGGCACTCGGCCAATAGCACAGGCGCGAACGCAGCAGCCGCCACGTGTTTCGTTACTCGTCGAACCAACCGAACGCGCGCGCGCACACACAGATCGGAGGAAAAGCTCGTGTTTACGCGACAAGCAGCGGCAGAGGGGCGCCGGCGCGTGTGTTTCTCGCGGAGAACGAGCGGAAGTACAAGAAACGAGGGGAAAAAAACAACATCCCTCGAGCACATGTGTCCCGTGTTGTGCGTGTATCCTTGAGTCGGCTTTATTTTCGGAGGGAAAGAGTGAGAGAGAGGGAGAGGTCTGGAAAGTGCAGCAGTCTGCGTTATGACGTACCGCAGCGCTGCTTGCATTATCTCGGCTCATTCATGCTGTACCACTGCCTCGGCTACAATGCCCGGCTTTGTGCGCGCACGCGCCTACTCCGACGATCTGTCGTGGCTGTCTGTGAGAAGCTCTCGCGATCGTTTTCGATAAGAAAAAAAAATAAATAAATAAATAAATAGGAAAAGAAAGAAAGAAAAAAAGATTGGCTTCGGCGAAGGCCGAGTTACGGGGCCCGTCGCCGGATTCGACGGAAAAGTCAATGGCCCGGAGTTGCGTGGCCAAGGCCTTGCGGGACACTGTGAGTCGCGCGCTAATTTTCGTTTCGACGAAACTCGGCCCCGTGGCCGTGGCCCGTCCAGCGATGGGTTCTGTCGGCCGCGCGCGCATTCCGACGAACGACCACACGCGCGCTCGCGCTTTTCTTCGACGCGCGAGAGACGCTTTCCCCGAGAGAAAGAGAGAGAGAGAGCTCGTCGCGCTCGGGTCGTGAACCCTCTGAACTCCGCGCGCGAGAGCGAGCGCTCGGCGGCGGCATCGTCGTTCGCCGATCGAACCCCGTCAGCACGCCGTTTTCCACCGCATACGTGTCTGCCCCGAACAGCTCGCAAGGCGCGCGGAATGCGGGTGGAGCGAGGGCAGCACGCTACGTGGAAGTATTTATGAAAGTGGCGCGCGAAGCCCCTCGTATCGATCACTTGTTCGCGGGCAAGCGCAGGGCAAAGGGAATTGCCGCGCGCCGAAAACCTCAGGTTATTACCGGGCGTCGAACGCGAAGCTGCTCAGTGCGCCCAATTCATGCGTGACACCATCGAGAACGCATGGACCGCACGGGCAAGACGTCGCCGGCTAGAAGGGCAATCGGCGTTCTCAAGTTAATCAACGAAAACAAACACGGCGAGCGCGCGCGTGTTGACGTACTGTACTTGGCCGCACATCTATTGATCGGTCTAATAGGTGAAATGGCTTTTCACGTAATCTAGATGTTATCGTTTCATTGTGGATTTTGCACGATGACCTCTCCTAAATAACGATGGCAGCGTATGATTTCCCAGTCACAACGCCGGCGTGCACGCAGCGGCTTTCTGGCGTCTCTCTCGGATTCTTTTTCACGGCGGTGCTGCTGTTCGTCACCGCGCCGGCGGCTTTTGCCTCTGTGCGTCTGCTGCGCTTGTTGAAAGTCACGTCGACAACGTAAACGTGGCCGCGGATATCGACACGCGGTCATGTCGAAATTACGCGAAATCGAGATGAACGCGAGTCTGCTGTCCTTCTCCACGCGGTGCGCCTCCATTTCAATAGGCCGCGGAAAGTCAGCGCGCGAAACGCACGCAGCAGGGCGAATGGTGGCGATCCGCCGGATCGACAGCCAAACGACAGAGGCGCATCGAGAAAGACTGCGGGCTCCGAGGCCCGCACCCACGTACCTCGTTGCGGCTCGACCCATTGACTGGCGTTCTGCATTGCACGTATATAGAAAGAGCGCGCGCGCGCGCGCGCGCGCGAGAGAGAGAGAGAGAGAGTGCGTGCGCGAGAGGAGGGGGGCGGCGGGCGAGAGGCAAGAGCCTGGCGAAGCGAGATAGGCGAGTTACGTAGTAAGCGAGTCGTAGCGTGTAGTACTACGCCGCGCGAGCGAGCGCGGTGAGTCACACTTACTACGTGCGCGCGCGCGCGCGCGCGAGCGCGAGCCAGAGCGGAGCTGGCGAGCGGGTTCAAGAGCCTCGGCACCGAGCACCGAGGTCACAGCTCTTGCTCTCCTCTCTTTCCCTTGGTCGTGCGCGCGCGCGCCACTTTCCTCGCGTAAACAAACCTCTCCTCGCGTCTCTATTTTCGGCCGCGCACGCGGCACACCGGACTTGGGCCAGATGCACTCGCCACTTTGCCCCGATGGCGAACAGCGACGGAGCTGCTCGGGTACAGTTAGCCCCTCCCGACGAGACTCGCGAGCCTCTCCGCTACGAAGATTTAAGAATAATAGGCGAAAAAGGGACAGAGACGAGCGGCTGAATGAGAGACCGGCGAATGGAAAGTTGCTCTCTGTAATAAGAAACATTAGCACGTGGCCGCCAGTGCGCCGCCACTCGCGTGGATCGCTCGATAAGAAAAGGGGCTTTTTTTATCAGGGCGACGAATCAATAGAGGCGAGCGCTTCCGCCTTTGCGGGCTCTCGTGCCTTCTGAAAAATAAAACGATACGCAGCCCGACGACGGCGTGTCTTTCCTTGGGCTCGCTTTGCGCGCGACCCGTCGAGGTGGATGCCTAACCGAGCTTCGCTCTTGCTTCTGATTTCAGCCGGATAATGTTGCAAGCTGAGAGCTTGCCCGGCACCTCGCTGGACGCCGGACCGTCCACATGGGATCCCTGGCTAACCACGATGGACTGGAACCTGGGCACGGACCAATCGCTGCAAGAGATGCTCGACTGCGACATCAAGTCCGAGGTCGACAACGTGATTGGTGGTCACCCGGAGCTGGGCTTCAACTTCACGGACCTGTCGCCGCTCGAGCTCGACGAGGACTCCGCCAGTAACTGCTGCCACACCGAAGCCAACAGCTGGCTCTGTCCGCACTCGCTGTTCAACAACAACAGCGTCACCTGCAACAGGTACGGCCCCGTTGCTTTGCTCTCCCTTTCTACTCGACCAATCCCAAACTCGTGCAGTGCCGTGCACTGGTCCGCGAGCCAAAGCCCCCCTTATCGACGACTATTCGTCTACTTATCGAGCCGGTGTGCACGAAGCTCCATCTCCCCTGAACTAGCTGTCGCGGAACCAATCGGAGTCATGTTCAACGATCGGAACGTAAAGGGCCGCAAACGCATGGGTTATTGGATTATTGACAATGGTCGCGCACTTCGTGGACGGATCGCGGTACGCTTGGTGGAGACCCGGCCATCGTCTCAACGAGACCGAGTCGTGAACGGAGCTTAGGCCGAGTCAGCCGCGCGAAGCCACCTCGGTGCAGAGCACAGCGCGCTGGTGGTGGTAGCGCGGCGCCACTCTCACCCGACCGGATTAAGGCGCGACGGCGTGCCGAGGTCGGCTCGCGGACGACAGTGGTGCCGAACCAGCATGAGCGAACTCACGCGTCGGGAGTTGCACGCGGCCATCTTGTACGACTACAAGCGGGGCCTGAGCGTGGACCAGTGCTGGCGTAGCATCAGGCGCTGCTTCGGCGCGTCGAGCGCACCGTCGCGCACCGCCGTGCTGAACCATTACCGGGGCTTCCTCGAGCGCGAGCCGACGGGACCCGGCGCTCTTGACGCGGACGCGGAAACGGACGCGCGGCTGGTCTGCGAGTTCGTCGAGAAGACGCGTCAGTTGATCGGGCTCGATCCCAGCCTCGGCTGCCTGGAGATCGCCAAGGACCTGGGCCTCGACCTCGGCCTCGTGGAGAGGATCGTCGGCAGCGCCCTGAAGCTGGGTCGGCTGGGCGGACAGTGGACGCCGCTGAGGCTGACCGACAGTCAACGCTGCCTGCGGGCCGACTGGGCCGGCTTCGTGCTGGACCGACTGGAGGCCGATCGCGTGATCGCCTGCTGCCACGCCTGGATATACAAGTGTCGAACGGTCAAGAAGTCGGCGAGGCTCGTGCGCGAGTACTGGACCTTCGAGAGGTGCTCGCGCCTCGTCGACAAGCGGATGGTCGTCTCGTTTTTCTCGCGTAGCGGCGTGCGCGTGATCGCGTCGCTCGACAATATCCGGCGCGTGGCGCCGCGCGATCTCATCGAGGGCTGCCTGGCGGACGTCGCCGACGAGTGGGGCGCCGAGCTGCTCGCCGGGAGCAAGTCGTTTTTGTACATCGAGACGTCGACGCACAGCTCGCCGAGGCTGCTCGACTTTCTGCGCGAACGCGGACTCGGCTTGATCGCCCTGCCCGACTGCTCGGCCGATCTTCGGCTGGGCGGATCGTTTCTCGAGCCGGCCTTCTGGACCAGCGTGCACGGAAAGAGGTTCTCGTCTCGCGAGCGCGCCGTCGACGCTTACAAGGATTGCCTCAACGCCGCCGAGCCCGAGATGTGGGAGCAACTGTTCGTTTGTTGGTTCAAGCGCCTGAAGAAATGCGTCGATTGCAAGGGCGACTACGTTGAACCGATGTGATTGTTTTTCACTAATATGCGACGAGATTTTCTTGATTTTTTTTTTTTTTTTTTTTTTTTTTTTTTTTTTTCATAATCGACGGTTCAAAAGGGTTTCCGTTCAGCGTTCCTTTGTTTGTTCAACCGTTGAAATCAACCGTATTGTTCCAATGATTATTTCGAAGTGGTGTAGCATCGATAGCGAATTTATTTGAAAGTTCTAACTGAAAAACGGTATCGTTGATACACCATTTCTCACAGCCCCGCCCGAAAGCTTGTTGTTGTTCTTTGATAAGAGCGGAAGCTCGCAGGTCTTCCTGCACCATGCGTTGTTACAGTAACTCCAACATGGATCTGCTCAGTTGCGACGCTGCCGCAATCATGGTCAATCCAAACTCGGTGCTACCGTGCCACCAAGTACCGGTGAACACGTCCATAGCCAGCAGCAGCGATGTCATTCCCGCGACACAGGCGAGCTTCACACCCACGACCACTGCCATCACTACCACCACCACCACCACCACCACCACTACCACCACAACCTTCACCACCATCGCCGTCACTACCCTGGACACCAGCACCAATACCACCCATTGCACCAACACAACGACCAGCAGCTACAGCTACGTGACGAACGCCACCAGGCGGCCCGTAAGCTACTCGGTGGAGGTCGAGCCGACGGAGGAGACGCTCGAGGTGACGGAGCAAGATCTGCTGCAGGATCTCGAGGACGAATCCGAAAATGATCCCGACTTTGAGAACGACGTGACCGAGGAGGAGGAGGAAGAGGAAGAAGAGTCGGAGGAGGAGGTGCTACCACCGCCGCCCACTGTCCGCGTGACGCCACAGCCACACGGTCTCAAGCTTACGATACCAGCCAGCGGCAACAAGCCCAAGACGACGCTGTTATTGCCCGCGAGCACCATCAAAACCATCTCGCCGCAGCTGATCAAGGCCCAACAACAGCGAGCCGCAGCGGCTCTCAAGGTCAACGGCATCACGGGCATCAGATTGCAAAACTTCAAGATTCTCGGCCAGAGCAACGCTAATGTGCAACAGCTGCGCCGTCAGATCTACAACAACAACGTGCGCATCGTCGCCCAAGCTCAGCAGCAGAAGCTGTTGGAGCAGCAATTGCTTGCGGCTACGGCTGTAATAGCACAGCAGCAGCCCAGTTCGCCTACTACGACGGAAGATGAGGAGAAGACAAACCAGGATTTTCCAAAACCCGCCTACTCCTACTCGTGTCTGATTGCCATGGCACTGAAGAACAGCATGACCGGATCGTTACCCGTGTCTGAGATCTACAATTTCATGTGGTTAGTTGCGTCTTCTTCTTTTCGTTTGATTCTACGAGAATAAGGTTGTTTTACATGCCGATCACGGTGGCACATCGATGATCGCGGATGAGAAACAGACTAGTACTGAATTTCAATCTTCACTGGATCTCTCTGTCAGTGGATTTACCGTGACTACTTGATATGCGCGTATTTCTCTGCTTTCGCAATGCAGTTATCATCTCGCGCGACAGTTTTCATGAATTTGGCCACCTTTATTTTTCGATAATTCTCGTTTTTCCCTTCGACCCTTACCGATCAAGACAAAACGACTATAATTGTTTCTACTGAGCAAAATATTTCGAGCGCGCTTTGATTTCACTTATTGTTGAATAATATAAAAGTTGAAATTCAAAAATATCGCAAGACCGCTTGTTTTGACTGAGGTTTCGCCAACCAAGCTGATGCACCGCCATCAAGCGAACGGAAGTGAATAATTTTCAAAGGCAAGAAAAAAAAACGGATGCGATCTTACGGAACATTGAAAGACTTGAGAGCGCGCGCAAAAAAAGTCGGAGGCAGCAGCAGTAGAGTGGCAAGCAAGTGAAGCGCGGGCACGGCGCAATACATAAATAAGCATATTAGAGTCGGTCGAGCGAGTACATACGGGGCGCGAAAGCGAGAATCGGCGCGCGCGCGAAGAGTTCGCGCATCTGCGCAGTTTCTGCGACGACAATAGATTCTCGACGTATGGTCGCTCTCCGTACTGCACGGCAGCAAACCGCGCGCGTGCTCGCGAAATCTTCGGTAGCGACCCGCTTTACCGAGCCGCCGCCGGGCGCGTAGAAAAAGAGTCGAAGGGAACGCGAGAGCGAGGACACACACACACACACACACACACACACACACACACACACACACACACACACACACACACACACACACACACACACATGACGTTGGAGTTTTGAAATCGCGGCATTGCGAGTGCGGGGCTGCTGCGTTCGAGCAAAAGTATTGTCCCTCCCCTTCGTTCCCTTCCACGCTTTCTCGTCGGGGGCTTTGGGGGGAGACACAGAGAGAGAGAGCTCGGCGAGCGGCTATTTCGTATGAGGCCCTTGGAGAGCGAGCGAGCCCGCGTACAAACACATGCGCGCACACGTAGAAAGACGGCCAGGTGCATGCCTACCAAGCTACAGTCCAATCAGAAAACCAGAACCTCTCTCTTTGTTCCCCTCGCTCTCTCTTGCGCTTAGTCCTGCCGCCGACAACATGTAGATACAGTACACCTCAAAAGTATTATCTTTCCTTTTCTCTCTCTCTCTCTCTCTCTGCTCCGCGAACTTCTTCTCTGTGCTCGACTCTCTTTTCCTCTCTCGCTCTCCCCCTCTCTCTCTCTTTCTATCTCGTGAGAAATGTCCTACGTGAGTTTCCGACGAGTTACGAGCTCGAAATACACGCTCCGCACTCATGCCCCCGTAAGTTGACTACGCCAGGCGCTCATGCTTGGGAAATAAACTCGGAAAATGGCTTGGCCTAGCGCGCTTTTTCGACTCTCCGTTTTTTATTCTTCTTGGTAAATTAGCTTTCCAACAGCCTTGTGTTGGCTCGTTCTGTTTAACGCTGCTAGCCTAATACAAAACAAATTTTTGACAAACGAATTCGTACGTTCTTAACGTCTGTTGTCGAAACCAAGTCTTTGCTCGATATGCTGATCATATTTTTATAACTCATATCTTTTATACAATACGAAAAATATTCGTTATGGCTAATATTAATTATTCAGGGATTCAGAGTGATGTAACGGCCGTCGTAAAGTTATATCGCACTCGATATTTGAACTAACAAAGTGCCAAGATGAAAACGTTCAAGTTACGTTGTAAAGTATTTTATAGAAAAAAATTGTCATCAAGTAATACAACCAAAAATATAGTTTAAATCTAAAAGTTTAAGGTTAATGTAGTGTTAAATAACGAGAGCGTATATTAACATTCTATTTTGCTCTTTGTTTCAGTCATCATTTCCCGTACTTCCAAAAAGCGCCAAACGGCTGGAAGAATTCAGTAAGGCACAATCTGTCGTTGAACAAGTGCTTCGAGAAGATCGAAAAGCCGCCAGGCAGTGGCAATCAACGCAAGGGTTGCCTATGGGCCATCAGTTCGTCGAAGCTGGCCAAAATGGACGAAGAAGTACAAAAGTGGTCGCGTAAAGATCCTAACGCCATCAGGAAAGCCATGATCGTTCCCGAAAATCTAGAACGGTTGGAGCGCGGCGAGATGAAATTCATCACCCTCGCCGTCAAACCCACTAAGACAGTAGCGGGTTCAGCGTCAGCGTCAGCGTCGGCATCGGCGTCAGCTTCGACATCGGCGTCGGAAGCAACTTCGTCAGAGAGCTCGTCCGATGAAGTCGAACAGCAACGCGGCAGCCACCAGTTGGCAGCAAATTCTGTCACTGATAGCTACGACGAAAGTAGCCAAGATTTACAAGATTGCGAAATCGATCTGAATGAGCAACTGTACGAAGAGATCGACATCGAAGAGAATAAGGATTTACTTCACATGCAGTTCATCTCTGACCAAGACGAGTACCAAATAGTCCAGCCATGCGCTAAACGCCAGAAGACCCTCACTGGCACACTACAAGGTAATTATATTTATCAGCCAGTGGCGGTACGCAGGAAAACGCCGCTCACCTTCCTAACGACGGGTACAGCCGCGGGATCTTTCCTCAAGATTGAATGAGCTCAATCAATTTCCCGTCTTGCAAGCTCTTAAGCTCTTTTCATTCTTATATTTGTACAGTTTTCTCTTCATTCACACGTCAACGCGTTCTTACACTTTATGTTTCATTATTGTTAGTATACCCCCAACGTGATTGTATTGTGCGATAATTCGCTCTCTTCTACTTCTTTTTTTATATACTTAAGTCGTGGTTAGTAAACGAAATCGTAAATGTGTAAACGTGACAGCAAGATTCAATCTACTCAACTGAAAGATATAATTGCCAGTTTTAAGACAAAAATCAATCAATAATTTTTTGGTATTTTAACAAGTAAACAAAATGAATTAACTATATCTTGCACTCGACTTACTGGTCTATACCTGGCTGTCACGATGAAAACCATTCCCTCTTACGTTGAAAAATCGTATCGGTAAACAAATCGTAGTTAATTCTTCATTTACCGTATGATTAAAAAAACACAAAAAAACAAAAAAAAATAAAATTTTACTTTATTATTGCAATTGTATAAGTTTGATGCATTTGCTGAAATGCATCGAATTTATGACAATATTATAAATGTAATATTACTTGTTCAAAAAAACATTTTTTTCGTTTGTGAGTCACGGAAGGCTCTAGGGAATAGAAAAGTTTCAAGGATCTCGGCACATTGCAGCACTATAAAAACATTTTATGTGATAGGTACGATCGGAAAAGTAAGTAATGTTTACGGAATATTTTTTGCTGAATAAAACTACATTGATAGTTTTAAGTGAAATTGTAGTTTGTGGATATTTCAATGATATCGGATAATCAATATCACAAACAAATGAAATTATGCTTTAGAAATGTAAATTGATACGTAATCTCTTTCAAATAAGTTCAAGAAATTATTGTAATGTACAAAGGTATTCGAAATTATCACGAATAAAAGCTTTCATGAGCAGCAATGCTCAACTTTGTAAGATACTTAGTGTTTAAGCAGTGTGTAACTGGCGCGTTTGAGTGACGGTATGAGTGTTTGCAAGAAAAAACTTCTTTTACAAGTTTTGCTGTTTGCTCTTAATTATACGTATTTTTTTATTTGTGTGTTAGTATTTCAAATGTTGGAAATGTATAAATCATTTCCCTGCGACATAGAGTTCCAAATAAAGTTTTGACACTACTTTGTGTGAGGTGTACCGCATGTTTATGACTGCTATGAGTGAACATATTATTACGGAATATACTTAGGTTGTTAAGTATTTGGCTCATAAATTGCCAGACTGATGTATTATAATTTTTATACATTACTGGACTAAGTGATATATGTAAATGTTTTTGTATACTTGAGGTTTATAACATTACTCAGATTCATATTCAACTATAGTACAAAAAATCATAGCGAAATCCATCATTGTAAAATTTTGTAGAATACAGAGAAAATTAAAAGTTTGTCGGCTTTGTTTAACTTTTACATGTGATTATATTATTTACGTATTTTTTATAATTAGATACAAATTATTTCAATATTCATTACTATTTCACTAAATTTACACAAATTTAAATGATTAATGAAAACTGTAAATCCAACATATATACTTAATTACTTTCGCAAGGGTTTCGTACATCTGAGTAATGCTTTAGACAGTCCAGTGCTGTGAAATATGATAATGAGTAATTATCGGAATGAGTCAACTAATTAATTAAGCAAATATTAGATTATGTATCTTTACAAATCATGTGTGCCCCTCATAATATATCGCAATGTAAAAACAAATTTCCTTGAGAAAAATGGTTAACATTGCGCTGTATTCATTTATCGAGGAATTTGCATACTGTATAGTTGTACATAGAAAAAAAACTCGATCAATTTGTCACCAGACATTGCATTTTTAGATTATTGCGTTCGTGAATATTATCACGCTACGAGAAATCAGTCACTATTTTCTTAATTTTATTTCTTAATTTAGTTAAGCAAATCTTTAGCCGTAGAAATATCTAAGTTTGATTCATGGACTATTAAAAAATTTCTGATTACATTTATAAAGATAAAGAATTGCAAGTGCGAATTCTAGAAAAGTAAATATTACAAACACAGAAAAAGTCTGAATACACATGTAATAAGGGGACCAGAAAATTAAAGTCCTTTACAAAAAAAATGAAAATTTTATACTGCTTTGCTGTTGTTAATTTTGTATAATTGAAATAAGCGAAAGAAGATGTTCACAGGTTGATCAATTTATTGCATCTTTTATTTAAGATTTATAAACTACAAGAAAAGAAACTTTCAGTAAACAACACTGCCAATAATAGCCAAATTTTAAAGAACATGATCTGTATACAAAAACTTCACTACACGAGACTTAAATGCAAAGTGTTTTTTGCACTCAAATTCAGTGAAGCCAATTCCTATCTTGGAGCAAATCATAATTATTATCCGAGTGAAAGTAGAGATGCTTGTGATTATTCTTCATATCGTGTGTTTAGTTGTACATAGTTGCATCACACATTTGTTCCTCGAAATAAAACATAAACGATAAAAGATCAGTGACATTTGCCTCAATGTGTGAAATATGCGCAATGTAATTTGTGAGATGTTAGTAGTGATAAGCTTTAGTTAGTAAGGTATACATAATGCTAGACTAGTTTTTGTACCTGTTTATAACTATTTCTATACTTATGTAATTTTAAATAAGTAGCAAGTGATCTTATATGATACATAGTACATACTACAACAAATGTACATGTGCAATCTTAATAATAAAAAAATCGAAAACTATACATACATTTGTGACTTTTTCCTATTCCAACTCCTAAGATTCATAAATAGCCTTTTTAATTTCATATAATACTTAAGAATTTTTAGAATTGTATAATTTAGTAAAAACTGATCAATGTCAAAAGTTACTGAATTTAATAGTTTCACTTGTTTCTTTTAATGTTTAAAATAATTATCTGCCATTTGATAAGTAAAAAACGTATTTTTTAAATATTTATTAATTTTTTTGAATCTCAATTTGATTGAATTTTTATTTTAGATCAGACTCATAGTAATTAAACGATAAAATCTTAAGTCAATTATTTAGTAATATTAATTGATTATTTGGCAAACTTCAATAAACATAAATGTCATTACTCATAACATGAAACAGTATGATAAATAAAACTTCATTGTAGTCATAAAATATTGTGCTTTCAATTAACATGTATAAAATGTTATTGTTTCTTCTACAGTCTTCATATTTTTAGAACTAATTTCTGTTATGACTATTTTATCACTTTTATCATTATCAAAAACGAAGTTGATAATCTTTAATTTCAATCAAATGTGAAAAAGCATTGAAATTATTACAAGTAATTTTTCCCAAATAAGACCGACTTAAAACCTTCATTTACTGCAATTACTCGCAATCAAGCTAATAATAAAATAGAACCAATTCATTACCCTTTTTAATGAGCCTCCAAGTTAGTTGAATGTTGAATCGTTCCATAAATATGCGCGTACAGAGGTAAAAAAATTTATATCGAATATAGAACCTCTTCCTTATTTGAAGTCAATAAAAATACATGAGGTCTTTTCCGGATAGTATGTAGTATACAAATATTAAAGCCAAATGCCCTCTCTGAACTATTTGACTATCTTGTCTCCGTCAAAGTATCACCTTTTCTTTTCTAAATCATTAATCCCTCACAACAAGGCTTTGTACTAATTTGTTCTACCATTATAAATTTTACTGAATTTCTTGAATTTATAATTGACGCATTTGATTCAGAAACCCAAGTCATAATTCTCTATTCTCATGGTGCCTATCTTATTTGATAAATCGTAAATATACTGTTAAATTCCAACAATTTATCTCATATTCATATACTGCATTCTCAGGAGTTTCTCAAGGTTTGCATCTAGGTACATAATTTTTCTCTAGTTTTCATTATTAACTTAATAACCAAGATTAAATATTCCAAGATATCTTTCTATGCTGATAATGCCAAACTATTCAAAACCGTTGTCTCTTCTGCGGATGCTGTAGAGCTCCAATTGGACTTTAATCATTTCTTTCAATAGTGCTTTAACAATGGCCTTTCCCTTAATATCTCCAAATGTGCTATCCTTTCTTTTTCTCGATCGAAAAATCCCTTTCTTTTTTATTACTCTTTCACTAATTCTAGAATTAGCCGTGTTCTCAAATTTAAAGATCTAAGTGTTATTTCTGATTCGAAACTTACTTCTGTATCTTATGTTTCTCTGCATCTAGAGCCTTATCCTATGTCTTCAAAAATAGTCGTGACTTTTAACGCTCGGGTACATTGATAGCTTTATATTATGCCTTTGTTCATTCTAAGCTTACATATACTTCTGTAATTTTGGCACCACGTTATGGAATCTACTTAGCAAGACTAGAGATTATCCAACATCGCTTCATACATTATCTTACTTTGGTAATATGGATTTGGTAATAGAATGAATAGATTCGATCATGGTTATTCATTGACTGTCCAATAATTTATCATTTGCTCTATATCTTCTTTTATTAAATTACATTTGGTATTATTTATATATAAAATTTGTCGTTACCTCATGGATTTCTGTTACCTAACTATCGCATCTTATCTTGGTTTTTCTCGCCTTCTTCCCAATAGTATTGAAACATTTTATATCCTCACCCGTAAAGGTGGATTGAATCATCTTTCTGCTATTGATAGATCTTGTAAAATTATAAACGGCTTTAAATTGCCTCTAGATATTCATTTTATTTCTACAGTAAATTGAAAGACTATTTTAAAACCGCAGATTTTATCTTACGATTAGTCAATATTAACTGCCTTAATTATATGTCTATACATTTTTTTTTAATTATTTATTTTTATTGTTATACTGCTTATTGTTAGACGTTTCTTTGTGTATTATTTTATTATTGTTTTTATCATTTAATTTTTGTTGTTATGTTTAGTAATTTACGATGGGAGTATTCTCTTGATAACCAATAAAAAAAAGAATATGAATTTGAAAAAACGTAAGCTTTCGATGTTGTGGAAATACGACTAGTGTAATTGTAGCGATTTTTAACATTTATAATTACCGTCCCTGACTTATATACAGATCGTCGTGTTGTATAGAAAATGCAACTCGGCTTTTTTAACACTTGTAAAAATTGAAAACCAGGGTAAGGACATCATTTATCATTCTAATTTGAGTACAATATAAGATAGCCCAATATCGAGCCTCAATAAAGATTTGACATATTGATGTGAGTAAAAATTAAAAATAAAACACTAAAAACCATGGAAATATCACTAATAAATCCAGAATTTTCGTCTCTTTATCATAAATCGAATAACCCTATCTGTCTAAGCGGCAATTACGTATTTTTAAACTTGTGGAATACGATGGGCTTGTATTCACAAATTTTTTCCAAGCCGCCGTTTTATTGTCGATCTGTTTTTTAGCGAGGAAAACATTAAAATAATCGAAAATATATGGCCAAAGTTACTTTTTTTATTGTGAAATTTTCCGCTCTGTGGAAAGGCTTGCAGATTTACGAATCGGCTGTCAGAGTTGAAATATTTTTCACGGAAAATTACAAAATGGCGTATTATATGTTGATAAAAATTCAATGTTACATTGGAATTTTTCCCTCTGAAATTGGTTGCGCATTGAGCGTGTCCGTCGCCGTGAAACCGCACCAACTTCTCGGCACCGAGGGCTTAACCCTGGTGTCCGTTCGACCTCGCGGGTAGTAACTCACTCCCAGGGAACGAAGGTCAGCTCGAGACGGAAAAGAGGGCTGTCAAGTCATTCCTTGGGCCGGTCGGCTGGCGAGCTACAAAAGCGGCGAGGGGGAAGATGGGGTACGACACGAAAGACGCCTGAAAAATAGACGGCGCTCGAAACTGGCCCCCAACGATGCATGCGAGTGGGGGCTTGAAAAGGGGAAAAATTTGTTTACGTACTTATTACAATATTCTCCACTTGCTTCACATCTCTTCCGGTGAGCGTTAGTGTTTTCAAAAATTTTTATTTAATTTTCAATATCCCATGAGCTGATTAATTTAGAATCGGATTCTTTACGAAAGAGAAGTTCCATTAAACCGGACATCTTGCTGTATGCTTTATCATTCACAGTCACGTTATCGTTTTCGAAGAGAATTGGAGAATTGCCTATGAGATATATATTTTCTTGCAGGCGGACACCAAATGTCTTATCTGTTACTTTTCTGTTGAGATTCGTGCAATTGTCAAACATAGTTTCTTACAATCGAATCATTCAATAGCTGATGCTGCTGTTCTATGGATACATTTGAAGTAGTTTTGTTTAAACTTATAGTAATTATATCGAGTGATGATTCTGCAGTCTTATCAAATTCGTCATCATCATCAATAGAAATATCTGATTCAAATATATAAGCATCAAGCGGTTGCAATGTAAAATTTAATTCATAAGTAGTACTATTGAAATATTGCGATTTATTGCAAGTGTCAGCTGTTGCTCTTGACTTGAAAACATTAACCAAAATGAACCGTAAAACCGTAACAATATTCATGTTATCTTGCCGAAATAAAACTAGTAAATTCATATTATCTGGAATGAGATGCTATTTTATATGCGGGCATACAATTGGCAGAGATAGAAACTATTTATTTTTTATATCTTCCCATACAGAAGAATGCTCTCGCGTTGTCCTGCTTTTCGGTGACTATATCGTCGAAAATCATGATGGAATTCGAATAAGCTTTATCTGTTGAACAACTGGTTCATGCTAGCTGAATGCATAATATTTTATACCATAAATCGGCTCCTACAAGTCTTTTAAAAACTTATACTTAGGTTGATTAAGGGACTTCGAGTAAACATATACATTTTCAAATCTAAGTCCATTAGGATAAGTGGTTAATGTTAACAAACAGTTAATTTTCCCACAGTTACTAAGTCCGCAGAAAACTGTTCGTATATCGTCGGGCAGTAGTTCACCGTGTCTCGTCTTTCCGTCTCCATCACCCTATCAATATTTATGATTTGCAGCTTAAGCACTTGCTCTTTGAAGTCTATATTGTTTGCACGTCACCGTTTCGACAACGAATGAGTCCACTAGCTATAAAAAGACTGCTTATTTGCTTTTACTTTCATTAAGACTTCGTCTTTCAAAGAGGTGTATGTTCATTCATCACGATAGAAAGACTGGTGGTGGTTTAGTCAATAAGATCATCAATAACTTGCAATTCGAAGCTCATTTGCCCAGTTATCAGTATTGCGGACCGGGAACTTAATTGAAAAAACGACTTGCTCGGAATGATCCTGGAAAAAATCCTCTAGACGCTGCTTGTAAAGATCACGATATTGCTTATTCTCAGAATCGAGAGAACATTGGCGCGAGGAATGAAGCCGACGCAATTTTAGCTAAATAGACTTAGAATAGAGAGAAAAAACGAAAGATAGTAGTTTTGAGAAGAAAGCTGCTGCATTTGCTGTTGCCAAAAAATTAAAAGTAAACTTGGTATGTCATCAAGGTAAACGAACAATTCTTTGCCTTGTAATCCTCGTAATAGATTGTCCAACACTGGGAAATAGTTGGAGCGTTTTTTAATTGAAATTGCATTCTTATGAATTCGTAATGCCCAAAAGGTATATTGAACGCAATTGTATAGCTATGATTAGGGTATATTTTTATCTGATAGAAACTCCTGGTAAGATCTAAGATTGATGTTATTTATATTTGGTATCGGATATGAATCAGCGATCATTTTTTTATTAAATTCGCGTATATCCAACACCATTCTTCCGTTTTCATCAGTAGCTTTTGGCACAATCCATATTGTAGAATTATACGATGAATTCCACTCTGATAACACCTGTTTTTAAAAGCTTGCCAATATGATAATTCAACTTATCCTTCATTGCATGAGGAAATTGGTACTATTTGTAGTTAATCGGTACATCGTCTTTCGCATGTATTTCATGCATAACTAAATCAGTACCTCGCTTCGCAGGACAAGAATCTACTTTCCCGCACTTGTATCGTAATGTACTATTTCAATACTCCGTGCACAAAGTGCGTCCTTTTCTGCACGCTCGGAAGAAAACGTGCGTTTTGAATGGCACGTTCCACACGTCGTATAAAAAAATACGGTACGGCACGTATGTTCGGGAAAGAGTTTCTCGTCTCGTGTACCTTTCCACCCGCGCTTCGCTTGGGCGTAAACGCCACACAAGAATGTACTTTGCACTTGTATCGTAATGTACTATATAAATATATATAAATGCATAATGCAATAACTAACCGATATCAAAAAAGTAGAAGTATTGATAAATAAGTAATATATAAGAAAAATTAACGAGGTTTATCAATATTATTGATATTCTCTAGATTTAGCCAAGATGTTTATAGATGACCGGTATGAAATGTGTGGAACATACGTATATGTCAATACTATCTATTATCAAATACAAAATTAAGTAATCAGCATAGCAACCTCCACTTCGAAAACTATCACCGCTAAGTATGCGTGTAAGTAAATACTGCACCCGCTACTCGTCATATAGCGGTAATCATCTGCAGAGACCATTGAGTCTGAGGTCTTATTGAGATGCATGGATCCGATTGCGCAGTAGCAATTGCACATTGCGCAGTTGCAGTATAGAGGCTTTGAGCAATCGGATATATTTATATTGATAGCACCTCTGGTCTGTTATATTTTGAATTTGGCACATGCGAAATAGTGTTTTGGAGTTGTTAACGTTTTTGACGTTCTGACACGGTTTTTGACGTTCTTACAAGTTTTTGGCATATACGTGTCGGAAATCCCTGAATTGTGTCATTTTCCCACCATTGACGCTGACTGCCCGTCAACCACGCACGGTGCCGTTACTCGTGTCTTCGTTCAGCTTCGTCTTATTTCTCATGAGTGCATCTTTGCGACCAGTTTTTAATCAAATTTTTGCCGCATGTCGTAATAACAATCTATCTAATTGCTCTATAATGCCAAAGCGATCTTTACAAAATTCAACGAAAATTAAGAAAATTAAATTAAGCAGAGATTATTCGCGTGACAGTGTCTCTGCAAGTTCAAAAATTAGCCAGCCTAACCTTAAAGCAACTAATTCTTTGCAAAAGATTGATTGCGAAAAAAATCTTAAAATGACAGTAAACCATCCGGATACTGATAAAAAAGTAAAAATAGAAATCCAATATCTGGACACTCCAGACAAATCTGAAAGTGACAAAAAAGAATACAGGTATATTTTTGTAGCTCTAAAATTGCTTAATTACTGTAAACAAATGTTTCATTTTGGACATACTTTTAAAAAGAAGTTATATTTTTATCTTATTATATTTTTTATGATAAATGCATTAATCGTTCCATGATGATTTTATCATCTTATTGATAGAGTTATTAAGTTGGAGAATGGATTGACAGCACTATTGGTCTCTGACATTGCCTCAAAAATAAATGATATTGACAAAGGTATATCAATTTAAATACAAAATAATGGATTGTCCTCTTTTTTTAAATAATATTTAACTTTTATTTTCATAACAGAGACATGTACTGCTGCAACAGATGATGAATATGAAAGTAGTGAAGATGAGTCTGGTGATTCTGAGGAAAATTCTAGTAGTTCACAAGAACAGAGCAATATTGAAGATTTTGAAGATGAAATACCTACTACAAAGCCTATGAAAAGAGAAGAGAAAATGGTAATTTTAATAAAAATACTTTATACAATAATAAAAGCTTAATGGCTATAGCAAAAAATATTTTATTTATTTTCAGGCAGCTTGTAGTTTATGTGTTGGTGTTGGGAGTTTTAGTGATCCATTAGAAATTCAAGGAATGGCTCATTTTCTTGAACACATGGTATTCATGGGTTCTGAAAGGTATCCAGAAGAAAATGATTTTGATACTTTTATTAGAAAATGTGGTGGATCTGATAATGCATATACTGACTGTGAACAAACCACGTTTTACTTTGAAATACAAGAAAAACATTTACAGCCTGCTATGGATAGATTTGCTCAATTTTTTATCAGTCCTCTGATGAAAAGGGATGCTATTAATAGAGAACGTGAAGCTGTTGAAAGTGGTTTGTAGTCATTTAAAAAAGTGTGATTTTATAGTATCACATTTTAATGGTTTATATTGGTTTTCAGAGTTCAGAATGGCTTTACCATCAGACTCCAACAGAAAAGAGCAATTATTTTGCAGCCTTGCAAGAAAGAATCATCCAGCTACAAAATTTGCATGGGGAAATTTAACTACTTTACGTGATAATATTGATGAAGATAAATTGTATTCAGAACTGCATAAGTTTAGAAAAAGGCACTATAGTGCCCACAGAATGACTGTAGCAGTGCAAGTTAGTGTCTATATAATATCCTATATTAATAAGTTCAAATATACTGAAATTTACATTATAACTATTTGTAGGCTAGATTACCTTTAGATACTTTAGAAGAGTACGTTAAAAATTGTTTTTCTGACGTGCCAGTAAATTATCTACCAGGAGATGACTTCAGTCAATTTGTAGGCAAAGATTCGTTTGATAATCCAGATTTTAGAAAATTGTATAAAATTAAACCTATAAAAGACGTTTGTAAGGTATTACTGTTATGTCAGGTCATTCTAAAAAAATATAAAATTGATAACTAAATGAATAATTAAAATAATGAATTATTGCAGGTAGAATTAACGTGGGTAATGCCTCCTTTACATCATTTATACAGAAGCAAACCTCATCAATACGTTTCGTGGATAATTGGTCATGAAGGAAAAGGTTCTTTAATTAATTACCTCCGAAAAAAGATGTGGTGTTTAGATATTTTTTGTGGAAATGGCGAAGGAGGATTTGAGCACAGTTCAATGTATGCTCTATTTAGTTTATCTTTGGTACTTACAGATGAAGGTAATAAGCATTTCAAACAGGTTTTGGAAGCGGTATTTTCATATATCAATATGTTACACCGCGAGGGTCCACAAAGAAGAATATTTGATGAAATTCAACAAATTGAAAAAATTGATTTCAGGTAGTTATAATTTGTTTTTGGTAATTTTTATTATATCCTTAATATATTTTTATAATCATTTTAATAATTTGATGTCACAGGTTTACAGACGAAGATGATCCGGTTGAGTATGTAGAAGCTATGTGTGAAAATATGCACTTTTTCCCACCAAAAGATTACATAACTGGAAGTGATTTATACTTTGACTACAATCCAGAAGCTATTAAAGATTGTATTGACGCTCTCAAACCAGATAATGTGAATATAATACTTTTTGATAATAAATTTGACGAAGAAGAGTTTAATCAAATAGAGCCGTGGTTTCAAACAAAATATTCAAGTAGCGATATTCCCGAAGAATGGATTGAAACTTGGAAAAAGATTGAACCTTTGCCAGAATTTCATTTACCTAATCCAAATATGTTTATTACTGATGATTTCAGTCTAATTGAATTACCAACTGAAATATCAAGTTATCCAGTGAAGATTCATCATGATGATATAGTTGAAATATGGTATAGGCCCGATCCTAAATTTCGTCTTCCCGAATGTTATATGTATTTGCATTTAATGACTCCAGTAGCTACTGAATCGCCTAAATCGTAAGTTATCAAAATGAAGATATAAAAAAATATTTTTAATAATATTAAACAACTATTTTTAACGTGCTCTTATTTCAGGTCTTCTATGTTAAATATTTTTACAGCGTTGTTGAAACAATTAGTTGTAGAAGATTTATATGATGCTACAGCTGCTGAATTAAACTATCAAATATATACTCATGAAAAAGGTATTATTATCAAAGTCAATGGCTTCAACCAAAAGTTACCTGTAAGTATTTTGTTGTAACGAAACGTAATAATGCATCAACATATTCAAATAATTGTAATCTTGTTCGCTTTGTACAGCTGTTAATAAGTACAATATTGGAATACTTAGCTGATTGTTACAAATTAGTTTCTGAAGATTTATTTAATGTTATGAAAAAAGAGCAACTGAAAACGTACTACAATACATTTTTAAAACCTGGGAAGCTTAATAAGTACGGTAAATAAGTTAAATACATATGTCGTACCAATTCAAATAAATTAATTAAATTTTTTTATTCTAGGGAAGTTCGATTATCTATTTTAACGTCGGATATATGGACATCAACTGAAAGACATGCTGCTGCCGCAGAAGTAACTTTTGATACATTCATTGATTTTTCTAAGCATTTAACTGATCGTATGTTTATACAATGTCTTGTGCAAGGCAATATGACACAAGATCTTGTATTGGAAAGTATTTTCAAAAGTATTGAACCTTTACATTGCGGGATACTTTCCGCAGCTGATCGTCCTCATATAAAAGTACACGAGCTTCCACGTGGAATTAAATGTTGCCGTGTGAAAAATTTCAATCAAATGGACGTGAATTCCGTTGTAACGAACTATTATCAATCTGGTCTTGAGTCTATAAAACAAGCTGTAATTATTCAGCTTTTGATGGTAAGTTGATTAGTAATTCCGTTGCATAAAAAATAAAATTTTGAATTTTTAAATCTTTTTTTAACAATTTAGTTAATTATGGAAGAGCCGTTATTCAATCAACTTCGAACTCAAGAACATTTAGGTTATATCGTCTATTGTTTATTTAATGATACTTTTGGGGTTTATGGCTTTTCAACTGCTTTATGCACACAAGCTAATAAATTTACAACAGAATACATTGATGAGCGGATTGAGCAATTTATTCAAGATTTTAAAAAGACTTTGAATGAAATGGCAGAGGATGACTACAGCTTTGTAAGAGAATCTCTTATCAAACTAAAGCAATGTACTGACGTACATTTGAAAGAAGAAATCAACAGGAATTGGACTGAAGTGATCCGTGAAAATTACGTTTTTGATAGAAATAATCAAGAGATTTCTGCTATAAAAGAACTACTTCTCAGCGAAATTTGTCAGTGGATTGATGATCATAGTATTGGGGGCAAAAACTTGAAAAAGTTGACAGTTCAAGTTGTGGGAATTAATGATCCCGATGCAAAAGTTGATAAAAAAAAAGGTAAGGAAATGTCACGATTTGATTAATATCTTTTTAATTAAACGTGACAAGTGATTTCATTTTTTCAGAAAATGATGATAATACGGATCTTGGCATTGTAAAATATAATTTATCATTTCTAAAGGATGAGAATGATATAAAGAAAAAGCCTGCAGACTATTTTATCACTGATATTACGGAGTACAAAAATGAATTGTCTTTTTATCCTACTAGTTCTAATTTATGACCTATATAAATTTTGAAATTCAATAGAGAAATTCTTTATTAAAAATGTTTTATACTTGAAGTTTCTAGCTAATTTGTTAAAAACAATATTAAATCATCTCTTTCATTTTACATTTGAGACGTTCGCTTCAATTCTCGATCTGAGCATACGTAAATATTGTATATGCGGCGATAGTATCCTATGCGCATAATGTTTATTAATTGCAATGCCCAATATAAAAAAATGCTATTTAATAGATTTTTATCAATGATGAGATGTAATTTCGATATAAACCTCCAATTTTAATTATGAATAATAAATAATTATCGCCTATTAAAATACTCTATTCGATATATTCTTCTGAAAATACAAATTATACTCCATTTCAGTTTAATATATCGAATTATTCTGTTATTAACAGATTAATAGATCCTATTAGATATATTTTATCGACGTTTAGTTTAAAAGATTCTATTCAAAGATACTAAGTATTCCATAGATTCTTGTCTAATTTCGTATATTCGATTTTAATATGAAGACAATTTTGGCATATTGGATAGCAAAATAAACTCGAAATAAATGGAAGGTCAACAGACGCTCGAAACATGCGTAATGCACCTACCAGTTATAAACTGTTTGTTTCAATGAGCTGTAAGTATTTCGCAAAGAAATCTGTTTCTTTGTATTCTTGACAAAACCTCGAAACCCTCAAAATATGTTAAAAAATTTTTTTCTCGTAAATTACGAATCGCAGAAAAAATTTTTTTTTTTAAACTCTGTTAAGGAAACTGAATAATTTTTATTGCATAAAAATAACAGTCTGACGACAATGTACCCAAAAGCATTCAGATTCAATAGGTAAAAATAGACAATTCGAAACACCTCGATTGATCCTCTTCGAACTGAAAAGACTCGTTAATTAAAAAACATAGTCTAGGCTAATCTTATGTATCCACTGAATACACTGGTACTATTTTCGGCGACAGATAATTTTTTTCAGTAAATATCGATCATTTCAAGCATGAAAGATTTCTGGAAACGTTTCATGAAATATTTTTCAAAAATATTTATAAATTTCCAAAGTTTAAAAATTGACGTTTTTCCAAAAAACTAATTGTCGCGCTATTGAACACTTTTAAACTTAGTATAGGATTGGAGTTAAAAAATAATTTTCTCCCCTTTGGATCCTTCTGAGCCAAATTTATTTCACAAAGCTTGCTGACGTTGTCTATCGCCATTACCAAGGCTATTGCAGGTGAATAAACAAACATGTACATGGAATGAGTACATACGTGGAGAAGCGTGGCATATATAATCGAAAAATACCTACCACACCGTTATTTGTTAATTGTTTGAGTTGCATCCCGACCAGAGCTCTACTGACTTCTTTTTACTTGAAATAGTTTGAAATATATATGATAACATAAAATATTTAATTTTTATATAAATCTCAGAAACTATCGCTCTCACTGTCATCAACACCATGTTCTTCGTTTCTTAATTTTCTTAACTGTCTTTAAACTTTGAAATGTTATTCCCATCTCAACAACTGATAATAATCTTCTGTAAATAAATAAGCATAAAATTATAAAACTTAATTTTGTTAAAGTTTATATTGTTAGTTTTATCGATTTGATATACGTTTTTTATAAATGTTTCTTCTTTCCATAAATATAAAACTATTAATTCTTTTTTATGAACTGGTAGGAACTTTTAACTTGACATGCCTTATTTAGATACACCGCCACAGTGAAAATGAAACATAGTCGTCTGTAAATAATTGATTCATATCTATATCATAAAATATATAACATAGTAAAAGGTATAGTTGAATTATATAATTCGTTTATAGCATTGCGTGACTTAAGTCCGCACTTATGCAATGCCTTTCCGTGACATAAGTAGTTCATATAACGACAGCGTGCTTTATAAGCTCAGGCGATAAGTTTACTGTGCCGTATGAAATTGCTAAGTCGTGGAAAGAATAATCGTAAGTGCGAATTGAAGGGCAGCTCTATAAAATGACAAAAGAGTGACACTCGACGGCACCACCAGCTTCGCTGTGCTTGAGTACCAACTCGTACCCCAGCTGCTTTATCTTGTGACTGCTCGACCCACCTTATAAGTCATTCCATTCTTTTCTTCCCAAACTTTTTATAATCATCCGAAACGTATAAGCATTGTTTGATTTTTCTTTGGTATTTAGATTTCGGTGACTTCTTCATTTTACATTATACAATCTTTTCCTCCTCCGTATTATCGGGTCATTTTACTTTCTTTGATACATTAGCTACAAATTGCGGAAAGTTTCGCTTGAAGTTCATGGCTTCGCAGCCGGTAAAGTATTTCTTATCATGATATATGTCACTGTAAAATGCCTTATCATTAGCATTCGTTACAAAAGTTGGAACATTATGCATATTGTAGATGACAGAATCAATGAGGTATGAATATTTTTTTCTATCTTAGTATTTTTTCCTACTAAAAAGAATATGTTACGTAATTTAGCACGTGATAAATCACGTATCGTTTTTACATGATTCAATATTACATGAATTGCTACATTATATTACGTAAAATCATACGATTAATTCATAATTATTCAAAATCGTACGTCACATTAGTTTACGTAACTATTAACACGCGTGATTGTGTACATGACATCACATAAATTTACACGATTGATAAGTCTCCAATTCGAAAAATATGTTCGTTTGGATGATATGTCACTAATGCGCTTGCTAGGAATACAATATTTATGTAACTATTTTCAGAGATATCACATAAAATTACAAAATTAAGAGGGTTGATTTGAATCCGAAAATTTCGGAAAGTTAATTCTTTGTTATTATAACATTTCATTTCTTTATTTATTTATTATTGTGACGGCTAGCCATAACTTAGTTTTTTTTATATTTAATTATTAAATATGACGAACGGAGTGGGAACCTTCCTGATTTCCCACGATGAAAACGCATTCGAAATATAAACTTTGATAGTGGCCCGAGCCTGCGTACTCAAGCTTACAATCAACGCTCTATCCTGCTTTGTCCCACACGTATGTGTTGACAGGGGCCTACGATCATCGCGTATACATCGTGAAGTGTTATCACGCCGATAATGGAAGGGGACCATAAAAATGCAATCTATCTTTTTTTTTCCCACCGATTTTTAAGAAAATATCCGTAATATTAAATAGATTTTCATCAATTTTGTAAGCCATTATAATGCGCACCTTTTTGTCACCGAATAACCAATAAATAGAACAATAATGTATTTTATAATAAATCGTAAAAGGTTTGAATTTTTCTGAATGTTCATAATAGTCACTATGTATCGTCATAATTAATTAAGTTTAGTACAATTATGTATAAGTAATTATAAGCTATAGCGTTACTCTTGCTCTTAAAAGTGGCACTCCGAGAGCCATCTCTGGAGAAAAGGGCCCAAGTTAAAAAGGGACCGCCCTTTCTCTCTCTGAAAATTCACGCCCACAGACCAATAAAGAAATTCTGGATATGATTAGAAAATTTCCGACCAATACAAAATTTAGCCGTTATCGCTTCATGGGCCTGAGGAAAGGGATTTCCACCCAACCACCCACGGCTTATAAAAAGCTCTGTACAAGGCTGGAGAGGAAGTTAAGTGAAGTTAAGCTCAGTTCAGTCAGTTAAGTTAGAGGAAGTCAAGTTCAGATAGAGTAAGTGCGGAGTGAGCACCAGGAAGTCCGTAATAAGAAGTTTTTACTAGTGAGCGAGTCCCGGAGCAAGCATCAAATCACCCAACTATATTCAGAACATATAGAGAGAGAAAGAGGCCAAAGAGCAGAGAGAGAACGCAACATTAATAATAACTAAATTGATAAAATAAAAGTAAGTAAAATCTTAAACCTGGCTATCCTTTTCTTTCTTTAAGTAATCCGCCTTTCTTTTGGAAATTCATTAAGCGTGAGTCTGGTGAATTTCCATTAAAGTCCCTTAAGAACACATTAAGCGTGAGTCTGGTGTGTTCGTAATAACATTTGGTTATTACATTCCCCGTTAGCATACAGTTTTCTCAACGCAACAATATTGCTCGTCCCGGCTTGTGTGTTACACGATAGCCAAATCAGAGCAACCCTGAGTTTACGCTTGCTCCAAGCGTACCTGAGAGTGACCCCGACGTCACATAAAAATTTTGGAGGCCCCGGAGGGATTAAATTGTTGCAAAGAAAACTGTTAGGGTTTTCCTTTCTTAAATTATATCAGTGATCAGTTAGAGTAAAAGAAAATTAAGAATAGATACTACTTAAAGTATTTTATTGAATTTGAAATCTGTGAAGAATAAAATAAAGTAATAAAATTTTTTTTTTTGAATAAGAATACAAATTTATTAGTCAGAAAATCACTGATTTAATTGAGAAAATAGAAAATAAGTTTTGTGTTAAACAAGGAGATAGGTTAAATTGAAAGTGAAAATTAATTGGAGTTTATTTGGATTGAACTTAGGAAAATTTTGGGAAAATTAATGGGAATTTATTTTGTAATAAAGAATAGTGAAATAATTTAGAAAATATTGAAATTTGAATGAGTAAATTAATAGAAGAGTTAGAGAAAAATAAAGAAAATTAAGTTGTTTAAGAAAAGAGTTTGAAAAATATTTGAAATTTGAAAAAATTTTCAGAGAAGAATCATTTTTTATGAAAGTAAAATTATAAATCAGAATAGAAAATTCGTCCAAAGAAAAGTCTTCTTTTGTGCCTTGAAGAGAGAAATAAGAATAAATGCTTATTATAGAAAAAAGAGGGTTTTGAATTTATGTTTTGTTCTAAAAATTGTATTTAAAAATAAAAAGGTTAATTTAGAAAGATTGAAAATAACATACAGGAAAATTTTTTGAGATAATATTACGAATCTTGTCTGAGTCGGAAAGAAATACATTAGCAATAAAAATTAATTAGAGAAATTAGAAATCTTGCGGAAGAAAACTTAAAAATAAATAAATAAATAAAACTCGGAGTAAAAATAAAAGAGTATTGTGTTTAAAAGAAATTTAGGAAATCTTGCTGAGAAAAATAATATAAAAGTAGAAATTTTGAAATAAATAATTTTGCAAACTAGAAAAATTTAAATAAGAAAATTGCCTGTTATAAGTAAAATAAATAATTTTAAAAACAAATAGTATCAAAGAATGAAAGGTTTAATTAAGAAAGTTTAAGTAAAAATAAAGATAAATATCTTTCTGTAGGAATCAAAATTTATATCTAAGAAATGAGTTGCCGCAATATATCTGTAAAAATAAAATTTTAATAAAACGTTCACATACAGTTTTCATAATTCTACAAA